AATACCACATTCAATTCACTCAATTAAATATCATATTTCTTAATTTAAATATTGTTTTCTCTAAGTTTCCAAAAAAAAAAAAATTTTTAGTAAACAATTATTCTTTTTATGTGATTATCGACTCGGAATATAGCCTTTGAAAAATTAAATTTATTTAAAAATTTTATTTATTTATTTAATAAATTAATTAAAAATAATAAAATAATAATATGAAGATCGGAATAGTGAGTTGCACAACAAAATGAATGAATTTCCAAATAAAGAAAATAAAGGAGATCGCCATGCTGGCGTGGATCTTCAAAATAAAAAAGTAGAAACCCCAAATGAAATTCCCCATGGATGCTCTACTTAATGGACCCGGATTTCTTTTCGTGCCACTTCATTATTTGATATGTGTGGGGCTCATTACATCACTTATGCAAATTCACATATTTTCTGCAACAACTATAACACTTATGCAACTTCTTTATATATATATATAAATATATATATATATGTTATACTTAGAATGTATGTTACACAATCTTGTGCATGAATCTTGTTGTACGTGTAGATTCATGTACAACAAGATTGATGCACAAGATCCCGAGAATCCAAATTTCATACTAATAACTTATTTTGGAGGATATGTCCGGACCGGCCATAAATCCTCCCAAGAGTGGAATAATAAGTTGACATTTTTTTCCTTTCGAGAAGGATCATTTTAATCAATTGCTTTAGAAGTCGCAACCTTTCTAGGACAGTAGGACCTTCTTATTGCATTAATAGCGTGATATTATTATATAAGTAATGTAATGGCAAAGGACGCGGTATACATTGTGTAACGCCTCTTGTTAAAAACACCAGGTACAAAACTACTTATCTAGAGTGATTAAAACTTAGCTTGGATCTCCACGGGGACGGATCTATGTAAGGGTCGGGGCAATTGTTTCCTGAATATTATTTTCTTTATCACTAATTGCTAAAAAATATTATTCTTGCCTCCCTCCCGGTCCTGATCTTTACACTAGTTTATTTTCTTCTGTCTTTCTGACGAGGAGGTTTCGGAAGTTGTACCCATTGCCACAATGAAGTTTCCAAGCTCGTTCCTTTCTTTAAAATTTTCCTCTCCAAGCTGGAGTGCGGCAATCATACAAGTTAATTAACCACCCTCTATTTTGTTTCTAGCACTAATGAAGTTTCCCAGCTTATTCTTTTCTTTATGAACCATTGTATTGAGCTGTCTTTCTTGAAAAATGATACAATAAACGTGGGTTCACAGTGAACTCGCACCCGTATCAATCTTTCGTTGCACAACCTTTGAGAATATTCTCACTTTCTTGACAGGAGGACCAGTTACAAAATAGTTCGTCTAAGGGGTCAATCTCGATTCTCATATTATTATTATTATTATTATTATTATTTTTTTTTTTTTGTGTACACCATGAAATGATGGAAGTATAAAGGCTGGCGTGTTAGTTGATAGTGGTGTTAAGACCCAACTTTATATGTCTTAAACTCTCCTTATTAGAATCCGTTGTCTCATTATGATTTTGTCCTTTCTAACAACAGAATATTCAGTAATGACCCAAACACGTTCAAGTATTTTTATTATAACTAAATTAAAAAAATTAAAATATTATGTGGTGCTAATAATTTTATATGTTTATGACGACCTTCTTGGTTGGTCATGAGACAAGAAGTCATGACATAGAAGCGGAGTTAGGATTGCAAAGTGAACTGAGGTAAGAGAAAAAATAGTATTACATATGGATTGGGTTAAGAGAAAGATTAGTATTACATATGGACCAAGTTGGTTAAGAGAAAAATTAGTATTACGTATGGATCAAGTTGTGAAGTGATGTATAATAATATTAAATTTTTTATTTTTATTTTTATTTTTTAACTGGACTATATCCCTTAGTAACTTCGCCCCTGGACAAAATGATAAACTCGTGGACTTAATTTTTTATTACTTATTGTTCATATGTCACAACATGGTTGGATTAGCACTCCTATTCTCAAGCATGAAAGGAACAAACTCCATCATCTCCTTTACACAACTGAAAAGCAAAGTGATTTGACGTGTAGTATGAAATAAAATAAAAAAAGAAAAAAAAAAAAAACCAGACAAAAAAACAAAAGAAAGCAATTCAGGAGTGTTAGTATTTAAAATGGCAAAAGGGACAAAAATGATGCTCCAAGTCGAGGCATTGGCCATTACATGCTTTATTGAGCCACCAAACCTGTCAATTTGTGTATGTATATGTATACAAGGCCATCAATGTCGTAACTTGTCTCATGCTACACAATTTAATTTACTCCAATGATACAAGAAAATTCCCATTTTCCTTCGTCAAAATACATGACCTAACCTAAATTATGTAAAGTTTTGTTCTTTTTAATTTAAATATAATCTTTAAATGAAATTTGAGCAAATTACTATTATTATTTTTAAGGAAAAAATGTTAAGAGTTAGTGATTAGTAGTTAAATGAGAATACGAGGGTACAAGGTTGAAACACAAACTCTCAAACACAGAGAGCAACTCAATTACTTGGACAACACAATACTTGTAATTTGAGTAAGTTATGAAATGTTCTAAATTTTCACAATAAACAAGATTGTGGGCTTTAGGAATAATATTAGGTATGTTACAAGCTTGAATCAAATGTGTGAAATTGTCATCATGCCATCTATCTAATAATCTAATGACTTTTTTTTGGTATCTTTCTATCTTGATTATGTATAAATATTGAGGCGTGAATATATATTGAACACATCAAAATTACTCTTATGATTTCAAATACTAAAAAATAAATGAATTTTTATTTAATGAAGTCTATTTTTAACAAAGAAATAGTAAAATGATGGATTATTAAATTTAATAATATAATTATTTATATTTAAAGTAAGATTTTGTAATATTTTCTTAGATATAAATAGAATTAATGATTAGTTTAAGAGAAACTATTTTTTTTTTTTTTAAAAAGAGGAGACGAAGAAACTGATGGCAATACTAATTTTTGAGAGGGATTTGATTGTATGTTATTTGTTGGCAATTATATATGAACTTGTGGAAAAACAAATAAAAAGTTGTTTTGCAAATAACTTGCATGCTTGAAATCCAGTAAAAAAAGAAAAAAAGAAAGAAGTTATTTTACACAATTAAGTTAATGGGTAAAATAGGAATGTAAAAAAAAAGACACTCTTTCATGAGAAAATATTATTTACGCGTGCTTTGTGCAGGAAAAGTTTTGAAAGAAGATAGGAAAGTGTGGAAACTAAATTTTCATTATGTTTCTTTTTCAATATATCCAAACTCTAAAAAAATTTAAAAATTTTCTCTTTCATTTTCTCTTTTCTAATTGATTCATCTAACCAAACGAAGCTGCGTAAAGTAATTTTATTTTATAATATTTTGATTATTATTATTATTTTTATATAGTGAGATAAATCTGGTGATATAATTTGTACATTATTTTCTTTGGACAAAAATAAACTAATTAAAGGAGATATCATGAGAGACGTTGTAGTAGCATTATTCAAATTTTATTATAATTTTTATATTTATTTATGTAAAATGTTGTTAATCTTGTCAGTCCCGTCTAATTTTATTTTATAATATTTTGATTATTATTATTATTATTTTTATATAGTGGGATCTCGTGATATAATTATGAGTTCGTTTTTATTATTATTATTATTTTTGTGAATTAATGAACTTTCAGAGGACACCATTTTAAGAGGACACCATTTTTTTTTAATTTTTCTTTTTGTGAATTAATGAACTTTATTGAAGCATAGAAAAAGGGGTCATAGTCCCATTAAGGCATTTAATATCGTGCACACTGGATATGGATTGCGTAACTGAATTAATCAAATAGATTTTGGATATGGTTTCCATTAATGAAAGAGCTGATCCACATCATTGACACGTTCGCAGTCATGTGGTGGGACCCAAAATGGAAGACTGGATCCCACTTGTAAACGCACTCGTGAGAGAATATCAAATGAAAATTAATAGTAATTTATTTTAAAAGTGCACTAAATGCGGCTGATTTAGCATTATTTATTAAAAAAAATATAGAAAGAAAGAAGTTGGTAACATTTGTCCTGCATATGAGCCGTTCAATTGTTCTAAACTGCAGTGATCAAATGCTCTTTTTCTTGCTCCATCCACTAGTTCGTGGTCTAAGCTTTTTTGTCAAACTAGATTTATTTGATTTTTTAAAAATCTCCTCAAATTGAAATAACGTCTAACTTTTTTCTGAACCTCACAAAATAAAAATAAAAAGAACGCAAGAAAAAGTCAAAAGCAATTGCGCATTGTGTTTAGCATGCTCCAGAGGGTAGGGCCGGTAGGCCCAGATTTTTACAGCGATGAAGTGTAAAATTATATACTATAATTTATAAATTCGTATGACTATTTATATCTTCTACATATTATTAGTAATTTTTTAATGTATATTTTTTTAAATAATACGACAAAAAAATATGAAGAAAATAAATGTTGACAGCTAATAATAAACTTGAGTTTGGGTTGTGGGCAAAATGGAAGTAACAATATATATATATATATATATATATATATATATATATATATATAAGAGTATTAATATGTTGTGAAAAGAATTACAATAATTATTAACATTTATTTAATAAATTTAAATTTTGAAAAACAAAACTAAAAAATTTATGTCCTTTGAAGGGGGTAATTAGTATTTTCTTTTACAAACCAATTTTAATATTCAATATAAAAAAACTGAGAAAAACATTTACTATTATGTCCAAAATCAGTTTTAACAATCGTAAATAAGTCCCATTTACAGTGTTTTTGATAAAAATTTGACCACCTCGCCCTCTCCAGAGGTAGGCCGAGAATGGTGCTAGTACACGTTAGCTGTTGTGTCCGCGTCCGCATGCGTATATATTTCATAGACAAGACATACATAGATATATATATATATATATATATATATATATATATATATGCCAAAAACTGTTATACAATTCATACATACATACATATATATGCTACACTCCAATTTGATTCCCATATTCAAACCACTCAAGAGAGTCTCATTAGGCTCAAGAGTCGCAACGATTATATTCAAATTCAGAGTAAGATCATAATCGTCTGAATTCGCAGCCAATGGCGTCTCAGAGCGTGGTTGGTTTCGTTGGCTTGGATGATTTGAGCTTGGAATTGGCCGCTTCTCTGCTTCGCTCTGGCTATGCAGTCCAAGCTTTCGAGGTTTGTTTTCGCTTCCAATCTCTGCCTTTTCTTCTTCTATTTTTGCTTCTCCGTCTTTTCAGAATTGAATTTGTTAATATGACACTTCTTTACAGGGAGGTGAAAAATGTAGTACATTTTTTTTTTATAATAAATACAGCACACTTTTTAATGTGAAAGGACATAAATATTCCGAGTGTTTGTGATACATATTTTTATGATTTATATAATTTTCTTGTCAAGATGAATATTCTGAGATTTAACATCGTAACTGTTAGTTAATGGTACTAATTGAACTCAATCAATGAGATTAAGTTTCTTAGGTTGGGATAAAAAAAAAAAAAAATTAGTAGCAAGGACTTGATCTGGACTTGTTTGGCTCTGGACCTAAGACAAGATTCTAGTAATGAGAATCCAAGTATAAGGGGCATTTACGTCATTGGGTTAAGAAAAAAACAAAAAAAAGGAGTGCATTTATTCAAAAGTTGAGTGGCATTTTATCATTTCCCTATTTTAAATTGCTTTCCCTAATTTTGTAGAAAATGTAAATGTATCGAAAAAGGAACAAAAACAATTGTGTATCTGGAAACTGGTGTACAGTTGGTTGTTAGTGAGAATTAAGAATGCACGGGATTATGGTTTCCTTAGATTAAAGCTAAAACAAGATCTTGATAGACTAGGCCGTTTGATCTAAAGGAGTACAAGTGGTCAGAGCACTTTATTTAGTTGAAAGGAAGATAAGGGATTGAATTCTTTGAATGTAAACATTAAGAGGCCTATGAAGAACAAACTTGAAGGATAAAGAAATTTTGTAGTTTGGTTTTGCATCAATATGGGGGCTTCATTAGCCTTCTAATTCTTTTGAAAGTTTTGAATGATTTTGGTACTTCAGTTATCCTATAACTCTTTATTTTATATAATCTTTTAACATATGAAGTACTATCAGTGAATATTTGTTCTGGGTTTCAGTAGGATCATAGTTTGTGGATCTCTATGCGAATCAAGATTGAGAAAAAAAGGGACTTTTTATTTATTTTTATATTATTGACGCAAACCCATTATTTGAACAGCCTCTATTAATGCTGTTTTTCTTTTGGTAACTTTATTGCTTTCAAAATGCTAACCATACATTATGGTTAACTCCAAATTTAATGCTTTTTTACTTTATTAATTTCAAAATGCTAACCATTCTTTATGGTTAATTCCAAATTTGTCTCTATCTCCTACAATTGATTTGGTATTCCTAGAATTCATAAATGTTATGGCACTCACTTGTTTATCAACTGTTGGTGTTTGTAAGGAAGATATCTATAATATGAAGTTACATTTGAGTTTCTTCTCTCTTTTATAGAGTGGAAAATTTCTGACTTGATTGGAATACTTCATTTGAAAAATAACGGTGACAAACACGTACTTCTGGCGTATATCCAATTTGAAGCTGAAATATTCATTTCTTATGTCCATAAATTACATATATGAATATGTTTTCCTTTGTATTTGTACACTCTGCATATATTTGTTACATTGTTGACAGGTTTATAGTAACTGTAATTATTTTCTGGTTAGCCGTAATTTTAATGTTAGATTGCAATTGTTTCTTCTGCAGACATCCAGTCCTTTGATGGACGACTTTTCAAAGCTAGGGGGAACAAAATGTGGTAGCTCTATAGATGAAGGGAGAGGTGAAACACAATGTTGTATTTTTATTTTTCTGATTTTTAGTAACTCTTTTTAAGACACTGTTTTTGGTAGAACGAGTAGTGTTGACTTAAGGATTATTTTTAATTCCATCAGTTTCCATTTATTAATGTCTCTAAACTTGTATAAAGTTAAACTAATTTCCAGTTCATAAGTGACTAAGGATAAACCCTTAGGGGAAGTTAAGAACTTGGGTCTCTACTGAGTCTAAAGAGTGTCATTTCATGTTTGACCAAGTAAATTCCTTCTTGCAATTTCTCTACTTTTCCATAATTTACAAACCTGTGTTCTTTTATGGAGTGTGTTCCTATGCTCAAGACCTCAAAATTGACTCTCTGACACTTTCTTCCCTCATTTTTTTTGCTTGCAGATGTTGCAGCTTTGATTGTATTGATATCTCATGCAGATCAGATAAACGATATTCTTTCTGGTCACGAGAGTGCTTTAAGAGGTTGTTATGAATCTTCTTAACACAGATTTTAAATTAATAATTGGTCCACTTGGTTAATGTACAAAAATATAAATATCTTTTTCTGGATTTGCAGGGTTGCAAAAGGATGCAGTAATCATTATTCGTTCTACCATATTACCTGCACATATTCAGAAGCTGGAGAAGCATCTTACAGGCAACTTATCTCTTTATATTATTTGTTCTATATGGCAATTTTTTTGATAGGCCTTCTCAAAAAATTTTGGTCATTGGGAAATGGAGGCATTGCTAGGGTTCATGAAGGAAACATTGCATCACTCAAAGCTGGTCGATCTTAGTTTAGTAATTAAGTATAACATTGTCTAAATCTTTTGGGAGTTCTCTTGAAGTTTTGGTCATTAGGAAATCAAGGCATTGTAAGGATTCATAAAGAAAACATTGTCTAAATATTTTGGAAAAATTACATTGACTTCCCTTGATTTGTCATAATTAGACTGATATTCCCCATATTTTGGATAATTTCACTGGCCTCCCCTGCAAGGGACGAGGACATCCGTCAAACTATGACAAACCCTTGCAATGCCTCCAACCTTATTTCTAATTATGACAACCTTAGTCTAACCCAACCAGTCCAGAACTCATCAACATCATCATCATTGCCTTTATTTTTTATAGATGTTGCCGGCCACATAGATTCCCTTTTTTCATTGTCTTCTGTTATAAGCCATTTCTTTCATTAGATTTAACTTTTGTAAGTCATTTCTAATTACCTCATTCCATGTTATTAGTTTTGGTGGACCTCTTTGTTTCTTGCCTTCTATACAGAAACCGATCTTTCCTTTCTTACCGGCACATCAAGAGGTCTATGGTGAATATTTCTATACCATCTAAGTCTAGTTTCTTCACACCTAAGGAGATAACATGTAGAAAAAAAATCAGTGTTTTATTCATGCCACTCTTAAATGTAATTGAATGCTAGTTAAATTATACGCCTTCACAGTTTTTAATAGTGTTTCACCTATTTCATTTCTCTTTATAAAGCCATATTCTCTATGAATACGTGATCATCCTGTTTGATCAACCCTTAAATGTCCATTAAGTCACTTCATATGAATATACCTTCATGACTTGGTATATTTTGTATCATTTCATCTATTGACTGTCAGAATGCCTTCTTTATATCCTCACCTACTGCCCCTTGTGGGGCATATGCACTTCTTATATTCAATATTTATTTGCATCCAATACAAGTTTAATAGCTATTAATATATCTCTTTGTCTTCTAACTTCTATTATTTTCTCTCTCATATATTGATCTACTAGTATGTCTACACCATTCTTATAGTTATCATTGCCATCTGCATAAAAAAAGTTTATACCCTTTCCTGATCTCTCGAGCATAACCTGACCATCCGAGCCTAACCCGAGCTCAAGAAAATAAGCTTGGATTAGGCCCTCCAAGATGGGTGTGAGGTTGGGTTGAGGGTTTGATACCTTGGATAAGATTAGGTTGAATCCTCAACCTGCCCTACTCACTAGAGTTGCACCCCATTTTTTTATGAACTTTCGCAGTTCAAAATTATTTTGATTAGATTTTGCCACTTTCACCCCAATTTTTGTTCTACTTTCCACAATGCTATGATATGTTGGTTAGTATGAGTTATTAATTTAGGATATTAAATCCTAATTTTTCTATTACATGCCTACATAGGGCCATTGCACAATCCCTTAGTGCATAATAATGGCAATTTTTAGGTCTGTTTTCAGCCAGTAATGCCAACAAAGACAGGGAAATGGCCAATCATGCCTTCAGGAATTTAGTGTTAGTACATAACACGATTCCCATACTCCGGCATAGTAAAAGAAAAGAAAAGAATCCCGCTAAGCTTAGCAAATTTGCATCTAAATTGAATTTGTTTGAAGTCTTTTAATATTACTTGGTTGTACTCTTGCAGAGGACTATGGGAGAACTTTTATAGTTGATGCATATGTCTCTAAGGGAATGTCAGACGTTTTGAATGGAAAACTCATGGTAAGATTTCATTCTTAATCTTTTATAGATGTGTATGTAGAGGTCCGCTTGTCTTCTTTCCTTAGTTTCTGGTGGGTAGAGTGCTGATTTTTTTTCAATGATCTTCAGATTATTTCCTCAGGAAGGTCAGATTCCATTTCTAGGGCAAGGCCTGTTCTTTCAGGTACAGTTCGCACAGTTTTTACTTGGACACATTTGATGGGGAATCACTTATATAATTATTACTCTTGAATCTATTTATATCATTCATTAGTGCAACTTTTTTGTTCTGTGAACAGCCACATGTGACAAATTATACGTTTTTGAGGGTGAGCTTGGCGCTGGAAGGTCTGCTTTCTTCCCGTCTCCTTGTCATGTCTAGAATGATGTTAAATTTAATATTCTTCAATCAAAATTTCATATAATTATATTGACAAATGATGAAAAACTTGTGTAAAAAACTTCAAGTTCTTGCCTGACATACTAATTAAGATCATAAATATAATTGTATCTTGGTTGTGCCACTTTAAAACAAAGTTTATTGGTATTAGGGATTATAATATGGCATCTAAAGGCCAAACTTTTATGCTTTTGACATCTGCTTTTCTCCCATTGCAGTAAAATTAAAATGGTAGTCAACTTGCTTGAGGGCATTCATTTAGTTGCTTCTGTTGAGGCGATTTCTCTTGGTGTTCAAGCTGGGATTCATCCAATGATACTCTATGACATCATTTCTAATGCTGCTGGAAATTCATGGTGATTGCATTAATTGTTACCACTAAATAGTTCTTTTTTTAATGATTATATTTTCTGTTCAAATAAGTGCATCATAGAAGATCGCTATTAAGCATTCTGAAAAATTATAGTAATTAGGTGTTAACATTCTTGTTGCTAGTCCAAATGGTCGGGTAATGCATCACTCAGCCAGGTGTTATTTAGTTAAAGATCAGGTTCTCATTTCTCATTGTGGGTTCATATACCTTTAGATTTTGATTTTTATGTCAATTTTGGGCATGGTCAAAACTGAATTGAAACCTCAAATTTTCAATAATGTTCAGTTTGTAGTAATGGCTCAAATCATAGATCAAGTGCCAAAATTTTATAGTTTTGTTGAATCATTTATCCCTTACAGTTAGTCAGTTGAATGAGACCAAATACTTCAATTCGAAAGCAGAAGTAGTAAAGAAATCAACAAATACACACCCATATCAAGCTATACTTCTCGTGCCTACATTTATTGAGGAGAGGTGGAAAAAGCTAATTGTCTCTGAGATTGGGCTAACAAACCATAGCACGCCTTACATCTGTCAATTTCAAAACTCAATGCCTTAACATAGTCTTGGTTGATGCCTGCAGATAATATGTGAAAATTGAGTGTTTTACAGTACTAAAAACACTCTTGCCACTACAATCACACTTCTGGAATCCTACGAACCATCAAGTGGAATGTTGCGCTTCCTAGCCTACAAAGTAGGGTTATAGGTTACCACCAAAGGCTGTAGCCTAGTGGTACTTCCTCACCTACCAAAATAGAAGGTTGAGGGTTCAAGTCCCTGTAGGGGCATTGTGGGGGTGCGAGTATGTTTCTTGCCAATGGAAAAAGTAGGATTATAGGTTAACAATATTAAGATGAAAATGGGACATGTATGTTAATAAATTGCAATCATATGTGTGCGTCTTTATTTCTAGCTGTATCTTATTTCATAAATATGTGCTAATTGTTTGAGTCTCTTATTTATTGTTTATGATAACTTGAAAATTATTCGCTAGCAACTACCTTATTGATTTAAATGAGCATATATCTGGCCCCTTGACTAGTAAATACATGAGGTTTATAAAAGAGGATATTTCAAAATTTCTTTTAATTTTGCTAATTTTTCCTTGAACTTTCATAATTGCAAAGCCTTTTCCTCTTGATGATGACCATAACTATCTGCCAAAACTTTAGAAGAAAAACTGCTATAATTGACTACTGGATTATAGGGGATGTCCAGTATTATTAGTTTGGACAGAGTGAGAGATATTTTGGCTTCTTAGTATCTGATTGAGCTAGGACCCGAGCTCTTCACATTTTGTGAACATTTGATATCATTGCTACTTCATTTTTTGGGGAAAGAAAAGGCTTAAGATATTTTTTGAAATCTTAGATTACTTTTCCTGCAAGTGTGGCAATAAATACGTAAAAAAGAAAAAGAAAAAGAAAACGACGTGGCAATGACACATATTAACCCTGTTGCTTGAGTGCTGGACGGGAGCAATGATTGCTTGGCGAACATTGAATATATCAATGGAAATTGTTCTTTTGACTTCAATACCTATACGTCTTGGGCCAAACTAGTTCACATACTCGGCATTTCATTGTCTATTCAGCATCTCTCCTCAAGCACGTAGGGTGCTCTGTGTATTGGGTCTCTGTGCGTGTGTACACGTGTCTTTTTGTGTGCCTGTGTGTATTAATTCATCAATTAATTAAGGCTTTGTTAAGTTGAGTTGTGCATTTATGTATTAACTCGAGATGCTATAAATTAGCTTTTCATGAAGTTTTTTTTAAAAAAATAGTTTTTGAGCATTTTTCTGTTTTTTCTTTTGTGCTTTCTGTTGTACACCATATTGTGCCCTTCCAAATTGACATTGACATTTCCTCATTTTTACTATTCTTTTTCTTTTTCTTTTTCTTTTTGGGTTCAATTTTGCAGGGTTTTCAAGAATCATGTTCCCCAATTGCTAAAGGATGGCAAACATCATTTCCTGAATACTTTTGTTCAAAATGCAGTAAGATTCCTTTGGGTTATGTATAGGTTAAGTTGCTTGAATGTTCTATAAAGAACTTCTCCAGTTTTAAATTTTGATGTTAACTTCAATTAGTGATGTTGGGTGACACTGTCTTAAAAGTGTTAGTGAATCCTTTCATTCCATCTATTCTTTTGTATCTTGTGAAAGATTTCAATAGTTATGTTGTTAGGACATAGGACCATCTATCAAATTATGTGTCTCATGCATACTACGTAAAAAGTTTTTATAAGTAATGAGCAATGACCTTTTCTTGCAGAGGTTAGTACATATGCATTGATGCTTTTGTTTGGATTGATCAAGAATTCTGTAGATTATTAATTTGCTCAGTTTGTTTGCGAGAAAATTTATTTTGTAACTATGATTCTGTAATATGTATCTTGTTCTACCCCTTAATCTGGAATTATGTTATCAAGCTCACATGTCTGTTATTACTTGAAAGCAATTTATGGTATCTAGGAGAATAAAGGAAGGAAGGGAAAAGAAGAAAAATAACTAATAACAAATTGAAGGAAAAGTCACAAAGGGCTTTCTTGGTTAGAGTAATATATGTCTGGATTGCCCTAAAATTAGAGCAACATTTAAAAAGTATTAAAAATGTTAATAAATAAGTTGCAAAAGTAGTAAGATAAGTTAAATATAAAGCATATGATAATTTCAGTTCTAAATTAGGCACAAAAGATGGGTAGAAAAGTATATGTACACTTGCTGAAATAAGGTAGAAGAAAGCAATAGATTTTAGTCAGATGAAATGCATCAAAAATGAAGATTTAAGGGTTTTAGTAAAAGATGATGAAATTGAAGAAAGATGAAAAGTTATTTTGAGAAATTGTTAAATGAAAATCATATAGGAAGTTCAGGCTTAGAGGAATATAGTAAACTAGGGATAACATAATTTTCAGTAGGATCGAGGAGTGCAAGGTTAAAATTGCATTAAGAAAGATGAAATCAGGAAGGACTTTAAGCCTAGATCGTATATTGAGGTTTGGGAGTGTTTAGGGTTTGATGGGTATCTTGAGTAATAAAATTGTTAAATAGAAATAACAAGAACTAAGAATGTTTGACGAGTGGATAAAGTAACATACAAAGTTGGACTAATTATCGTTGTATTAAATTGAGTCATACTATGAATATTTGGAAGAGAGTGATTGAAGAATGACTAAGATGGAAAACTATATTGTTGAAAGTCAATTTGATTTCATGCGGAGAGGTCCAAATTGGAGTCTCTTTATTTGTTGTGGAGACCAATGAAAAGATATCGAGAATTGAAGAAATAGCTTAAATGGTTTTTGTCATGACAAACGCAGCGAACCCAAGCAACAATCATGAAACACGACATAAAGTAAACACGCCATATACAAAGAACAAAAAGCTTTAGCGTGGTTCGGCAAAGCCTACATCTATGGTGAAGATCTGGCGAAACTTTTCATTATGTGAAAATCTGGAGATTACAAGTTTTAACCTCCAAACCCTAGCTCTCGTTCTTACTCTGTTTTCTGTGATTTCCAGTCTCTCAATATCGCACTCCAAACCCTAAACTTATTTATATATCGAGCTACAAGATAGTACTAATTAGGGTCCACGACCCACAAGCAAAAACTGGTCAAAAAGCTCATCTAATGGATCGTCGGGTCGCAACGCAATCCGTCACCAAATTTGGGCCATAACTAGGGGTGGCAATATTTGACACGACACGAGATAAGCGGGTTTGGGTTTGGGCTAATCGTGTTTGTGTCATAATCGTGTCGACACGGATTGACCCGCTAACTAAACGTGTCGTGTTCGTGTCTGACCTTGTAAACACGATTATGACACGATTAACCCGCTTAACTAAACGTGTCAGATAAACGTGTCGTGTTCATGTAAAAAATGACCCATTTAGCAAAACGTGTAGAATAAATATGTCGTCTTTGGGTCAAAAATGACTTAAATGTGTCTTTTCGTGTCGTGTCAAGTCTTGACCCCTTTATTAAACAGGTTATGCGTGTCGTGTCGTGTTACACGTATAATAATCATGTTGTGTTCGTGTCAAGGGTCTTAGACACGATTAATAATCGTGTCGTGTTCGTGTCAACCCTAATTGTGTCCATGTCGTAATTGTGTCGACACGAACACGACACGCCAACACGAATTGGCACCCCACAACATCACAATTTTTATTGATTTAGAGAAAGCCTATGATAGGGTACCTAAATGTCTAATATGGAGGGTTTTAGGGAAAAATAGATTCACAAAAGGTCTATTGACGTCATAAAAGACATGTATGATGCACGTGTGACTGTAGTTAGGATAACTGTGGTGGAAACAAGTGAATTTTCAATTATTGTAAGCTTACATCAAGGGTCAACAATAAACTTACATCTTTCTGCCTTGGTTATGGATAAGTCTGAGAGTAGCTATTTTGTAGTTTGTATCTAGTCCACCCCCTCCTCTAGTGTCCCAATGTTGGTGGGACAAATACTAGGTATCGGCCTTATGTTGACTACAACTTAATGAATGTATTAGTACCTGCAATATTTTTAAGAATATGTTCCTGTTAAATCTTTTTATATATGTGAAATAAAAGCTATTTTCTACTAGTTTTTGCTACTCTGTGATTTAATTTCTTGCATGGGGTCTTGTATTGTTGGAAGATGGCTCAAATAGGTTGAGCAATATATTCTTTATTTATTTATATATTTTTGATAAGCAATATATTCTTTATTTTTGAACCCTCATATATTATCCTCATTATTGTCTTCTTGATACCTTAACTTACCTTAATTGAAGTTTACACGAGCCTAATGGACTTCTGTTTGAATTGAAGGGGATCGTTTTGGATATGGCTAAATCATTTACATTTCCTCTGCCACTTTTGGCAGTTGCGCATCAACAACTCATAGCAGGTATGAATTATGGATATCATAGTTTCTCAAATCTATATTTTTAGCCTGTAGGTGACTCAATTATGCTTGGAGGCAACCTGGTTCCTGCTGAGTTGCTTCGAACATTTCCTTAACAGGCATTACACATGGTCGTGGGGATGCTGATGATGCCACATTGGCCAAGGTTGTGCTTATATTCGATGCTTTTTCTAGTACAAGTTGAATTAGCAAGTTTTTGTGTCTTGCTTTGATGCCATCTTACAAGGAAATTAATTTGTAAAATTCTTGGTCTTATGTTATTATCATTTTTGTAATTTTCCTTGTACACAACTATTCTTGCACAGGTGTGGGGAAAAGTACATGGAGTGAATATTATGGATGCAGCCAATGCGGAACCTTACTACCCTGAGGAACTGGCAAAACAAATTACTGCCACACCAACTCCTGTAAATCGAATCGGATTCATTGGTCTTGGAGCAATGGGATTTGGCATGGCAACTCACCTACTAAAATCAAATTTTTGCGTTATTGCTTACGATGTATGTTGCCATTTTCATGCAGTATTAGCAAAAGTTGTTCCATAATCTTCTAGATAGCAGTTCACTCCAAGTTCAACTAAATATTAAAACGGTCAGAAATAATGTCAACATCAGTGGGAACCAGAGCTGTTGATGGGTTTTCTTTATTGCTTTCAGAAAATGAAAGTAATAAATACTAAAATGTCTTGCCATTTGTTGGAGTTAGAGATAGAGATCTCTTGTGAACCTTGAATTAAATGAAGATTTTGCTCAAAAAGGCGTAATGCCTCTTGTTTTTGTAATGGTTTCTCCTTTTCCAATTGTCTGTTTCCTCTTAAGGTCGAGATCGCATAATATGAGATAATCACCTGTTCAATTTTATCTCGTTGTGTATGTCTTGGAAACATGAACATAGAAATGGCTTTTCATTTGTATTAAGTATGTATATTTGTTATATGTTATATTATTGTAGTTATAAGTTTGTACTGCATATATATGTTTATGTATTCAATATGAATTTTGGGTTCATTTTATTGTATAAACAATTTCCTTATGATTCTACATGTGCGCACTTGCGTGTCTTGGAGGCTTTGAGCATAATATCATACGTAATAAATGTTGGAATTTTTTATTACTTCAAAACTAATGATATTTTCATCCTATTTGGATGGTAGGTGTATAAGCCAACTCTTTCCAGATTTGCAAGTGCAGGTGGCTTGATTGGGAGCTCTCCATCTGAAGTATCTAAGGGTAATTCTTGTCAAGTTCAAAGGTCTACGTTTCAAGTTCCATCAAGAGAACAACCACATTCTCTTTTTAAGTTCCATCAAGAGAACAACCACGTTCTCTTTTTGGACTAAGGAACCCACTTTCTTCTCTTATCCATGCTGTCCATACTAAGTTGATTTCCTCTTCAATGCAAATATAATCAAGAAAGAAGTGGAAAAGAAGAAAGAGGAGAGAAGAAACTAGAGTGGATAAAATGACTGCACATTAGAATGTTCTTTCTCTTTCTCTTCTCTATTTCCATTTTGTACTATAACTGTGAAATTTATGAACATATCTGCAGTTACTGTAAAGATCTACTGTAATAGCAAATCCTGGTATATGTAGATTGACTTCTTATCATATGTTTGTGGACAAATATACCCCAATAGTTAAATGATCTCTTTGCAGAGCAAGAAACATTATTAACACTTGTATTCCTCCAGATGTAGATGTGCTTGTTATCATGGTAACAAATGAATCTCAAGCTGAAAGTATTCTATATGGAGATCTTGGCGCTGTTTCAGGTACAATAGTCAGTATCTCATTTAAAATGTCTTGAGTTTTACTGATCTTATTTGTCTGTGTTATATAGTCCTTCCACCTGGAGCATCTATTATCCTTTCATCTACGGTTTCTCCTGCATTTGTGAGCCAGCTAGAGCGACGCTTGCAAAGTAGGTTCTTCTATCTGACTTACACTTGCCCCTTGTTTTGTAATGCAGTTGGTAGTTTTAGCTTGTGCATTAGATATTAATATCATGAATTCATTTTATTCTTTACTATTATTTATTCTGTTATCTCCGTTTCTTTCCTCAATTTGTTCTCCTTGCTATTATTTTGGTCTTATGTTAGATCGATGTAGCTTGAAATCTGTTAAGGATAATTAATCACTATTGTCCCTGGAGAAGTTTTCATTTATGACTATTATTATTCATTTTTCATAGAATTCCTAGTCTTTTAATTTATGCAAATTTTAGTTGAAAGTAGGTTTGTTAACAACTAAATAGTTTGACTACCAGTTTAGTGATAGTTGGAGATCTCTTATCACTAGAAAGATAACAAAGTATTGTATTTGAAAAAGAAGAGGACTTTCTTCTTTAAGGTTTTCTATTAGATTACAGTTCTCTCCTTACCAAATTTGAAATATATATAATTTTTATGGGTAGCTTTGAATGCTCTTGGAGACTGTAGAAATAAGGGAAGAATAAAATTTCCAAGCATACATATTTTTTTTTAGGTAAATATTTCCATGCATACTTTAAAGACAATGTTTTTTTTTTTTTTTTCCTAGTTGGTACTCACACACAGTTGTCTCTTTTGAGACTTGAACTCCTGACCTCCCTTTGGGAGGTAGGAAGCTGATACCGCTAAGCCACTGGCCCGTTCTTTTTAAAGACAATGTTCATTCTTTGATAGGTAAACTATCCACTAAAAGGTGCCAGGGGGTGCAACTTATGTACACACGAAATGTAAAAAAGCAAAATTATACAAAACTGTACCCTTGTCACCCAAAAACTTCACAAAAGAATTATTAACAAGCGTAGAATTCTCCGTAAGCATATGGTACAAGGGCCTCAATAGAAAATGCTTCATCTTTAACAAATAATTTTCTCCATTCCATCAAAAGGTCTCACCGTTGCTCCCCTTCAAAACACATGGCCAAAGTAATAAAGAATCTTCTCATTACACTGTCAAAGGGAGCATCCACTACAATCTACAGAAGAAAAGAAGAAGAGTCTACAACTCTCCAATAACCAGCCGATGGATAAGCAACTTATTAACAGTCTCTTCATTAATCTTACACATATAGGGGGAAAACATTGCAAATTAGCATCATTGTTGGAACAATCAAATACGCAAAAGCATAATTAAGACACTACCATTCATACAAGTGCAAATTAGCAATGATAAGGTTGCTCCATTTTGACCTGGAGGTCATGAGTTTGCATACATTTAATCCTCCCCAGACCTGGTAATGGTGGGAACCTCGTGCACTGGGCTAGCCCTTAGAAGTGCAAATTAGCATTGCGAAGTTCCCCCAATTACAAATTTGTAAGTAAATAAGGTAATAGAGAGTTTTTTCCTTGTTTTTACGTAATACCACAGACAGTATATCCCTTTCCATATGCAGGTTGCATTGTTTTGAAACTTCCCTCCTTCTGTCCAACCTAGAGAGATAGAGACTAATTTCCCTGTTTATATGCAATATCATAGATAATGTACCAGTTCCCTGAAGGGCAAGTTGTACTGTTTTCTACCCCATAAACTTTATAAAAAATGCTAGCTAGATAGATAGAGTGAGGCCCGTTTGTACATAACAGTGCAGTTATTATACCACTTTTCACAGGGTAGGTTCCATTGTTTTTTGAACCCTCAATACCTTTCTCTCTCCAACCCTGAGAGAGGGAGAAAGTATTTTCCATTTTTATATGCAACCTTACAGATTGTATACCACTTCTTGTTGGGGCAGGTTGCACCAATTTGAACTCATAGCTTGTAGCTGAAGTGCCTGTCAAAGCAGTATGAGGCTACTAATAGTTTCTCCTTCTTAGGACACTTAATGTAGTTATGCTTGTAATACTTTCAAGTTTCATCATAGCATGCCATTTATCTGCTCTTTATTCGACTCTTATAATGGAGGGAGAAAATATATTCCATTTTTATATGCAACCTTACAGATCGTATACCACTTCTTGTTGGGGCAGGTTTCACCAATTTGAACTCATAGCTTGTAGCTGAAGTGCCTGTCAAATGAGTATGAGGCTACTTATAGTTTCTCCTCATTAGGACACTTAATGTAGTTATGTTTGTAATACTTTCAAGTTTCATCATAGCATGCCATTTATTTGCTCTTTATTCGACTCTTATAACTTTCTTCTTCATCATGTTCCCGTACTTGATGTTAATTGTGCTCACCATAAATAATTCACTTGTGAATTTTGTAGATGAAAATAAGGATTTGAAATTGGTTGATGCTCCTGTCTCTGGTGGTGTTAAGAGGGCCTCCGATGGAACACTTACGGTGGGGAAATTAAACTTTTCTTTCACCAATGTCTTGGTTTAAGAGATTGTTATGTTTAGTTCCATGAAAACAGCTGTTAGCAATGTTTATTAACTGAAGTAACATGTTATTGTTAGATAATGGCATCAGGTTCGAATGAAGCTCTAAAGCATTCTGGTTTGGTTCTCTCAGGTAGTAAACATTTTGGATAAAGTTTAAAGGGAGAATTTATAATTATTCGTTTCAAGAATCTTGAAATTTATTTGATTGACTAATTAAGTGATCCTTGGGTGTTTCTTGTGAATAGCGTTAAGTGAGAAGCTCTATATTATCAAAGGAGGTTGTGGAGCTGGAAGGTACTTCTTAGTTGATCTTAGTCTCTTTGTTTGGATTTTCTCTTGACTGGGTCATGAGAGCTTGTACAAGTACATGCATCTAGATGCACAATATATTATCTGTGATACAAAGTATATTGATTCATTTTGTGATGCATTTAGTGTTTTGAGTTTACTGGGAAGGAAATACCACTCATATCTTTTTTCTATGTTTTGTTCTCTAGTGGTGTAAAGATGGTTAATCAATTGCTTGCTGGAGTTCATATAGCATCAGCAGCTGAGGCAATGGCCTTTGGTGCTCGATTGGGGCTAAATACAAGATTTTTGTTTGATGCCATCACAAATAGTGGAGGAACTTCTTGGTATGATCATGCATGATGCATTGCATAATTGTTGTTTTTCCATTAAGAGTAATTTTGTTATATTTGTTATAATTCATAAATATTACTTTTAGGGAAAATGAAAAAGAATCCTTGAATTATACTGCATTTCCGAATAACCTCCCTGAACTTCAAAAAGCTTCCCTAAACTATAGAGGATTTACAAATAATCCTGTCATGTAGCTGATAGCAGAACAACAAACTTACATAACTGTCCTTACAGAAAGATATTAAAAATTGATTTTGAAATAAGAAATTGTCCAAAATTAAGTTAAAATCTTAGGATACACTGTTGAAATAAGCCCATATGTTTCCTCGTATTCGGGTCCAAAAAATGTATCTCTTCATATGTTGTTGTCCAAAGAGTAATTAGTCTACATGGAGAAAAATTAAACAGTGATGCATAACCTGTACATCACTGATTTGAGCCTACCATATGTAATAAATAGCCATGTGCTACGTGGTTTTAATTGTCAATGTTATTATTGATTTACTACAGAACCTACCTTGCTAGTTTCATGATAATGCAAAGAAGAGACTTCCTATCTTGGCTAGAATAAAACATCAAATTTGACTTGAGTTATTAATGAGCCAAAAAATTCTTACAATTGGAATCATATACTGACTCATTCTCTTACATCTGTTTACTAATGCTTCCTATCACATACTCTTCGCAATATTACATCCTTTACAATAATCATGCTGCTTTACTCCCTAAAAACAAAACTATATGCATCTGTTATTTGTCAGAAATGCATTATGTTATGGGCTTTTTACCTTTATACAACAATGTAGTGATTAAATTTGAAGTCTGTTGCAGGATGTTTGAGAATCGTGCTCCACATATGGTGGAAAATGATTATACACCATTATCTGCACTCGACATATTTGTGAAGGATCTGGTTAGACTGACATCACATGCACTGCTGTAAAGTTGTTTTTTTATAATTACTTTAAGTTTGTTATAGATTATGGTTGTGATTGTCCACAGGGTATTGTTTCTCGTGAATGCACATCCCGTGGAGTCCCGCTTAATGTTTCTACTGTTGCACACCAACTCTTCTTATCAGGTGCAGTCCGATTAGCGAAGATCTTTTCCTTAACTTCTAAACTTTATAGTTCTATTTGACTTTCCATTCCATCCTTTGAACTAAGATGTTACAACTTCTATTGCAGTTCATAAATTTTCTGTTAAACTAAAAGCAGTTTCTAAAACTTGGAAAAACCTAGAAAAATATAACATTTGACCCTTGCGTTGACCCCCAATTTGTAACTGCTAGGTTAGTGCAAGCTAAGACTGATGATTAAATTAGGTCTTGGAGAAGTCTTCTTCTTCTCTTTCTCCCCTCATATTTTTTTCTTCTTTGGGGCCACAATGGTAGCTTAAAATTTAAAACAAAAAATGGGGAGAATAAAGAACGTAAAAATTAGACGAGATTCAAACTTTCTCCAAATATCCGAAGAATGTGATTGCTTCCTTACATGGTTTGTATTTCATCCAGAAATGGATGAGGACATATGGATATTGTCATTATCATAGATGACACGTTCATTATTGTCATAGGAAATCATTTGATATTTTTATCATCGTAGAATTTATTCTCCACATTTATTCCAACCCCTTCTATTGTTAGAGGATTTAATATTAAAGTTACACCCTCTCTAAGAGTTTAAGCTTTTAGAGTGGATGGTTGGTTACATGGTACCGGAGCAGGCAAGGTTCTGAGTTCAAACCTCATCGTCACGCTAATAATTAAAATTGAAAACACGTGTTTGACCAAAAGAAGGCCACACGTGAGGGGGTGTGCTAGAGGATAACCTCACCATCACCTAAATAATTAAAATTGAAAACACGTGTTGGACCAAAAGAAGGCCACACATGAGGGGGCGTGTTAGAGGATTTAAATATTAAAGTTACACCATCTCTCTCTCTCTCTCTCTCTCTCTCTCTCTCTCTCTCTCTCTCTCTCTCTTCACACACATACACACACATATATCAATCACACATCTGATCTAATTGAAAGTGCTTTCAGTAGTAATGGCCACTCCTATGACTGTTTCATTATTAGCCTTTATGTGAAACAAGAAGATAATCTGAATACTTTATTTGCGGTCTCATGCAATTTTATCTTAAATTATCTGCATGATAGCTGAAGTCAGTTCTTTTTTAACAACAAAAGTAGTTTGTTGTAGCTGGTTGCCATGTAGGAGAGGAACTTGTCTTGGACATAAAGACTTAAGTCTGAAGATGAAGAAATATGAAAATTAGCTTGATCATCCTCGCAACGCAGAAGAATGTTTTTGCAAAAAGTGAGATCACATAATATATGCCTTAGCTTTCTTTATCACAAAAGCTGACAATTTTTGGTTCAATACCAGTTGTGCATATCTAGAAAAACCTCTACAATTTGTCATAATATGAGATGTGCTGCCCTCTTTGGGCCTTTGGAGTTATAGGTGACAGACTTTGTGATGTTGTGGCCCGAATTTGGTGCGGGTCGCGTGCGATCCAACGACCCGTTGGATGAGCTTTGTGTGGGCCCCAGCCCACCAAAATTTGTCCTGTTTTTTGCTCATGGACCGTGGACCCTAATTAGCCTCTTGTAACTCGATATATAAGGGCACTTAGGGTTTGGAGTGGGGAAGAGAGAGAGAGAGAGACTTTGAAAATCGTACAGAAACTGAAAATCGTACTGAAACTTGTAAGCTTCGATTTTACACACAGTGAAGACTTTCGCTGGATGTCCCGGATCCCAACTGTGGACGTAGGTTGTTGCTGAACCACTTATAAATCTTTGTGCTCTTTGTTTGGTGTGTTTACTTTTCTGTCCTGATTCTTGGTTTTGTCTTGGGTTCATTGCGTTTGTCATAACAGACTTATTCATTCTATTGATCAGGTTCTGCTGCTGGATGGGGTCGTATAGATGATGCTGGTGTAGTTAAGGTATAGACTCTTTGTGTATATGTTTGGATTTCAATTGGAGGAAGAAACAAAAAGGAAAGAATATATTTGTTAAGGAGTGCATGGATTACTTAAATTGGACCCATAAACATGATATTAAGTTCAGAATTGAATTTTAACTGCATTTCTCCTACGTGCGAACTATGTTTTTATCATTCAAATCTCTTGTTGTAGTTTAAAATATTTATTGTTCGTTATGATATGAACATACAAAATATATATTATAGTAGGTGAAAGCATGCCAATACATAAAGATCATGATTGAAAATTGAGTGGTTACAGGTTAATTTGCAGTCTGTTCTTATTCTCACAGGTCTATGAGGCACTCACAGGTGTCAAGGTTGAAGGAAAACTTCCTGTTCTTAGGAAAGAACTTGCTTTTCAATCTCTTCCATCTGAATGGCCTTTGGATCCCATTGAGGATATATGTAAGCTGGATCAAAACAGTTCAAAAACTTTGATTGTTCTGGATGATGATCCAACTGGAACACAAACTGTTCATGATGTTGAAGTATTAACAGAATGGTAAGTCTCTTGTTAATTACATTATATTGTTGCTTTGCCAGATCATTGGTGAAGACAATATTATCCACCCTGGGATGAATAAATATTGTATCCAGCTGTAAAGCAAAGTTGCCGTATTTCATTTCCATGCCTATTGTAACTTTGTTATCTGATATCCTTATTCTATCATATATAAACAAGCACCTTAAACGCAAGTTCATCAAAAGAGAATCACTTAGTTCTATAAAAAATTCTATTTTACTGGCTAGTGACTGTACATTAATGTTTTCAGGAATATTGAGCCACTCGTTGAACAGTTTAAAAAGAGGCCTAAATGCTTCTTCATTTTAACAAATTCTCGGTCCTTGAGTTCTGAGAAGGTAAGGAGCTTTCTAAATGTAAAATCTTTGATATTAATGCTTATTTCCTAATAAAAAGAAAATGATCCTTGTTTAAAAACTATATACACTAGAGAAATCACTTTACTATTTTCTTTTTTAATCTCTGAGTATAAATTTGACTTCTTACAGGCCACTGCATTAATAGAAGATATCTGCCGAAACATTCGTAGTGCAGCTAAATCTGTTGAAAACATTGAATATACAGTTGTTCTGAGGGGGGATTCAACATTACGAGGACACTTTCCAGAGGCAAGGACAGGGACCCTCTAATAAAATTATACTATAGTAAATTTTAACAATATCCTTTTAACTCGTTTCATATCTTAATACCATCTATATTGGCCAGGAAGCAGATGCAGCTGTTTCAGTATTAGGTGAGATGGATGCGTGGATCATTTGCCCCTTTTTTCTTCAAGGAGGCCGCTATACCATTGAAGATGTGCACTATGTTGCAGATTCTGATCGGTATTATTCTTTCTTCTGCTGAATCACAGCCTTCAACTAGCTAAATCACTTACACTGTTTAATGATCTTGGTGTCTGTAGGCTTGTCCCTGCTGGGGACACAGAATTTGCTAAAGATGCAGCTTTTGGCTACAAATCTTCAAATCTCCGCGAGGTTTTTCTTTTCTTCTGTTTTTTCTTTTTCCAATTATCTTAACAAAGCACATGACATCATGAATACTCCAAAAGAAAGGAGGAGTTATTTCAGTTTTGTGTCTTGTACTAGTGGGTAGAGGAGAAAACTAGAGGCCGCATACCAGCCAGCAGTGTGAAATCTATCTCTATCCAACTGTTAAGGAAAGGTGGACCAAATGCTGTTTGTGAGCAACTTTGTAGTTTTGAAAAGGTACATAAACCTGTTCATAGATCATTTTACAGTCATTTTATTGGCTAGCATTTTATGTCTATTGCTGCAGTTGGTAGTTCATTCTGGTTATTTTCCTATTTAAGCTTACATGTCAGGCTTATGCACACATACACATGCACACTACCTCAAATGGAAACATATATCTCAGTAGGAACTAGATAGTTGAAATTTAAGTCTTTGCTTAGTTGAATTGTGGACACATATAATCTAGTACAACACATTGTGCAGTCAACTGATTGCTTGCCTATCTATTTGAATTTGTGATGTTGATGTTTTCTGGTCATTTTCCTAAATATACTTACATGTAACACATTGCACACGCGGAAATAGTCATAATTAAAGGGTTATGAAAGCTAGATATGCATTCTACAAGACCTATTTACCCCCTCTGGGTCTTGATCACGGGCTTTGTGCGACTCTTTCAGATCCTTGGGGTCCTTACTATCAGTTTGTATTCTATTACATGCTTCACGTCAGAACATTAAGTTTCTACTTTTGTTTTAATTTATTGGGTGAAACAGGGGACAACATGTATAGTTAATGCAGCCAGTGAAAGAGACATGGCTGTATTTGCAGCTGGAATGATCCAGGTTTCCTCTCTCTTTTATATTTCACTGTTGTAGTTCTTATACTCTGTCATGTCTCTGACAGAACTGAAAAGTTCTTTTTTTAATTCAATATGCAGGCAGAACTGAAGGGAAAGAATTTCTTATGCCGCACTGCTGCTAGTTTTGTTTCTGCGCGGATTGGAATCATTCCAAAATCTCCAATATTGCCCAAGGATCTTGGGATAAATAAAGGGAGGAGTGGTGGACTTATTGTTGTGGGTTCATATGTTCCAAAAACAACGAAACAGGTGAAAATTGTTCTAAAAGTTTCTTGTAATTCTTTTCTCACCTAATATTTCTGTATGTTTATTTGTTGAAGTCATAACTAAAATTTTTGTACTCCATAGGTGGAAGAACTGAAATTACAATGTGGCCATATCTTAAGAATTATTGAGGTGATTCAGATGCTAAACATTTCTTTATATTAGGAATGACCTGATAATGGATCTTTTCACGAAAAAAATGAGATTGTTGCAAAACAATTTGAATTTTTTTTTTTTACACAAAGTTTAAGGAACATATTTGCCTGTCGTATGAACAGATTTCTGTTGATAAACTTGCCATGAAGTCATTAGAAGAGAGGGAGGAGGAAATCAATCGAACATCTAAGATGGCAGATGTTTTCCTTAGGGCTTGTAAAGACACTCTAATAGTGACCAGTCGAGAGCTCATCACTGGAAAAAGTGAGTTTTCTCTTATATTTTTGCTGTATTTTTTCCGAGCTGCCTATTCATATATAATTTTCAGGATAAAAAATTATCTTCTCCAAAACCCCTCAATATGAAAAAAATTGCAGAACTGAATCCAAGAACATAGTTAATACTTGAGAAATATTCTTCTTCTTATTCTAATATCTCATCCCATTTTTCCACTGACAGCTCCTTCTGAGAGTTTGGAGATCAATTTTAAAGTGAGCTCTGCACTGGTGGAAATTGTTAGGAGGATAACTACAAAACCTCGTTATATTCTTGCAAAGGTACTTCTAGTTGTCATTTGTTCCCCGGTTTACTCAACAAGGAAAATAATGATCTTCATTTTGTTTTATCATGTACTCGTTTGCTCTATACTCTTTGTCATGGTTGTTATTGTTTAGTTTATGGAAATATAAAAATCTTGGAATATGTTTACTAAGTAATAAAAAAGTGTAAAAATCAATTAATTACATTGTTTCAATTTCCTTTTTGTTTCTACAAGAAAGTGGTGTTTTCACACCTAAGTGTTATTGTTGTCTCTCTACATTGAATTGCTATGGAGAGAGAGAGAGATAGAGAGGAAGAGGAGGGAGTGGCAATGAAGAGAGAGAGAGAGAGAGAGAGAGATTATTTGTTGATTCTGTTCTTTGCAATTTTTTCTTCTCTTGGTGAAAGAGATGATGAACAAAGAAATATTTCATACAAGAATGGGTTTGGAATTAATTTGTTATTTGGGATTAATGGGTTTTTTTTATCACCATTTGTTGCTATGTAATATATGTATATAATGTGTAATTTATTTTATGTAAAATCTGTTATATGTATTAAGCATGTATAATACTTAGGGAAACAAATTATGTATAATTAATTTCATTACGTTAATTTAATAGAATAAATTATATCAATTTTAAATGAAATTGTGATGAAATGTATATTAAATGAAAATGCCCTTATACATAAAATATTTTTAACCAACTGAAGGGAAAAATTGGCATTTCCTAAAATTTCTTTAATGGATTTAACGGTTCTTTACCAGTAGGGTAGGTATCTGAAAGTTAATGAAATCTCAGGGGGCAGTTGACTTTGTCTTTTTTCAAAGTTCTATTCATGCCAAACCTTGGGGAAGTTGAGATCATTTACCCAATTTTTAAAGTAAAACTAGGAATTTGCAGACCTGAACAGTTCACCTGCATGTCGCCTCATCTTTATATCCTTTGCATTCTCATATCAATTTCTTACTCTCCATCTTTTGTTCCTCATGATTTTTACGTCTAGTGGAAGTTCTTCTTCAGTCAATTTTGTCCTTGTATCTGTTATTTTGTTTACCAACTTAAGGCTGAATGTTTTATTTGTTTTGATGTAATGTACGAAGATTTTAGAAAGAAAGGGTGCAAATTTTGTGTTCATAGTGGAAGATGTAGGAATCCCCTTTCAAAAGGGAAGTGCATCCCAAGAACTACGCAAGGGCAAAGACACCCACTATATAAGCAACACGGCCACAAAATCTACTATATCTCCCACGGATTTACTATTTGACCCCTGTACCCAAAAGAATAAAGAACTAAGTATAGAGAATTTCAACACCCAAATCGGAACCTTTTCCCCATCAAAAGACCGCCTCTTCCACTCCCGCCAGCAGCCCCACCATAAACAAAGAGCGCCACACTCCAAGCATCATGGGCTTGCCTCATCACTATACAGCCCCTCCAAGCCTCAAGCATGCTCTTTGGGGACTCCGGCATAACCAACTAGACTCCGAATAAGGCAACAACATGGCCTATCTATCCCTCACCACTGGGCAGTGCAAAAGGTGACCTACTGGCTCCTCCCCACCCTTGCATTTACAACTCTAATTGACGATAGTCTGTCACCACCTCCTCAGATTATCAATAGTCAGAGTCCTCCCCAGCACCATTGTCCGTCCAAAAAAAGGCCATATTAAGGGGTACCCTAGTATGTCACACCGCCTTCTAAGGAAAAAAGGTTTGCGAGCATCCACCAAGCACCGATAAATTGATCTGTCCATAAGCCTCCCATGGTTGGATTCCATCCAACACCACTTATCATCAGCCAAACCCATCACCTACTGCCTATACAACAGAGCCTGAAACTCACACACATCTCCAAGCTCTGAATCTTGGAAGGATCTCTCAAACTGCACATCCCACAACAACCTCCTGCTATCAAGACGATAACATTGAGCTACCAAGATCTCCTTATCCACCGCAATCTGAAAGAGCCTCGAAAAGGTAGACTCCAACAACACACATCTTTCCAGAAGCCAACACATCTCCTATTCACCCTGAAACAAATATGCTTTGAAAATTCATCCTGCCCCTTTAGATGAATTTCCAAACACCCACTCCTACCAGCGATCTCACCTCTGTCAAACACCACCCTTCTGTGTCTTCACCAAACTTTCTGCAAATTACCGTCCTCTAAAGAATCTGTCTATCCATATTTCCTTTTCCAACCTCCCAACCTTCTCTCAAAGTGCTCCACCACAGGATCCCAAATGGACACCCTCCTTGAAGGAGCTATCAATGGGAGACCCAAATAAGAAATCGGAAATCACCCCACTCTACACACTAGAATGTCTACCAAAGTGTCTATCTCGACCACAACTCCCACCAAGAGTAACTCACTCTTTCCAAGATTCACCTTCAACCACGAAACCGTCTTGAACACGTCAGAACACACCTCAAAAGCCTCAGTTGTGTCTTGTCCACATCGCAAACCACAATAGTATTATTCGCAAACAAGAGGTGGGATACCTCTATCTGATTCAATGACTCTCTCTCCATTCTGAATCCTCTGATGAATCCCATCTCCACAGGTCTCCTCATCAATCTGCTAAGAGCTTCCATCACCATAATGAATAGTAACGGTACAAATGGTCCCTTGCCTCAAACCTCTCGAGCTGCCAAAGAACCCAATTAAGGACCTGTTAACTAGGACTGAGAATCTCACTGTAGAAATGTAGAACCATATCCATCTCCTCTGTGTCGTCCCAAAACCCATCCTCTCCAAAACATACACCAGGAAACTCCAGTTCACATGGTCATAAGCCTTTTCCACATCCAGCTTACAAATCACACCTGGCGCTTCACTAGTCAGCGTAGAGTCCACACACTCACTAGCAACCAAAACAGAATCCAGAATTTGGCGACCTCCAACAATGGCATTCTGAAAATCACACCATCAATGACACCTCTCAAATGCAATGCTAGAACTTTAGGTACTAGTCAAACTAACAGGTCTAAAGTCCTTTGCTTTTGATTTATAGACGTATAGCCATATAGGTTTGCTTAAATATGCTGAATTACAAACCATACAATTTTAATAAATGGGTCTATATGGGGCAAGAGGGGGTGAGGATGGGTGGAAATTAGGAATAGTGAATCTATATATATATATATATATATGTTGCAAATATTTTCTTGTTTGTGTTTAATTTGTTTTTGTCATTTTCAGTAACCCCCATGCAAATAAAAAAGACATGTACATTTTGACCATTATCTAACCTTTTCTTATCTCAGGGTGGAATCACCTCATCTGACCTTGCTACAAAAGCTCTAGAAGCAAAATGTGCAAAAGTAGTTGGACAAGCCTTGGCCGGTGTTCCCTTGTGGCAGCTAGGTCCTGAAAGTAGACATCCAGGAGTTCCATACATTGTTTTCCCAGGTACAATTCAGGTCTTATCTCATCTTAATATTTTTAAAATCTAGTAGGAATCGACCTGTGGATGTTTCACGTATAAATATGCCTTTCTTAGGGAATGTTGGCGACAACAAAGCTGTGGCAGAAGTGGTGAAATGTTGGGCTCGTCCAGTCAAATTTTCATCAACAAAGGAGCTCCTTATTGTAAGTACTCTTAAATCAAAATTTTAGACTTTACCCATACTCAGAGAGTGACTATTATTCTATATACAGAATGCAGAAAAAGGTGGATACGCTGTTGGAGCTTTCAATGTTTATAATTTGGAAGGGGTTGAGGCAGTTGTCACTGCGGCAGAGGAGGAACAAAGTCCTGCTATTTTACAGGTTTGAAGCAATCAATTCAGAAATATATGAATAGTCTAAAAGCAGCTGATTCTCAAAACTTTAGTCTCATGTAAATACACTGCAAAAGTATTCTACCTTTTACAGTTGCAACATATTTTCACTTGTTATGTCAAAGATAATCCTGAAATTTCATTCTCTTGATTATTGAAACTGTGACAACTTGATCTCTTAATCTTCATAGATCGAATATTTTTAGCAAATTTACTAAAACACTCTGTTTTCCAGATCCATCCTAGTGCTTTGAAGCAAGGAGGAATTCCGTTGGTTGCATGTTGCATCTCTGCTGCTGAACAAGCAAGTGTAAGTGGCACTAGAAATATTCTAGAAGTTATAACCAAAAAAAAAAAAGAAAAATGAAGAAGAAGAAGAAGAAACGAAAAATCTTTATATTTTTAATCATGCATTTTGTATTAGTAGCTATACCGGTATGAAGCATCAGTGAAATGTTTGGTATAGGACAAGGCTGTTCCCTTTACAATAGATGCATTTGAAATTGTTCAAGTTGAACTGTGGGCAAATTAGAATGTTACAGGAAGAATAGCAAGGTGATAATTTGGTCTCCTAGTGAACAAATAATTCACTGTGAAGAGGTTCAGTGGCCAAGAATGCTTAATGCAGAATTTCTGTAAACGAAGTTGATGTGCTCAAATTTTGAAGGCCATGTGTGACTTCCAAATGTTTGCTTCTACAAAGCTAGCTTGCGACTCTGCCCGCTTATTTGCCTGCAAGACATTTATTTATTTATTTTTTTGTGTAGTTGGTACTCACACACACATGCCTCCATTGAGGCTTAAACCCCTAACCACCCCTGACCTCCCTTTGGGAAGTAAGAGGCTGATACCGCTAGGCCACTAGCCCGTTGGTCTACCTGCAAGTTGGACCAATGAAAAATCTATAGTCTAATTGTCAACGTCCCACTTCTTAGTTTGCATTTTGCAAATGTTCTTTTCTGTTCACACATTGCATAGTTTTATATAATATTGGGATAATTAGATGTTTGAGCCAAATCTACAGAAGATTGTTTAACCATGTCTCTTACTTTGTTCAATTCAATGTATTTAAAATATAGTAGGTAATTAACCGTCATTTTATGCACTGTTTACCTGCTAGTTAACTTTTAAATTTAAATACCCATGCATTCATGACAGGTTCCCATCACGGTTCATTTTGATCATGGAAATTCCAAGCAAGAGTTAGAAGAAGTTCTTGAGTTGGTATGTTAGCTTGTTTAATTTATTTAAGGGACATATATATTTGTCTCATCTCGTGATTAACAGTTGCTGATGTTCAAATCGTATCTTCAGAGTTTTTAATGTATTAGCTTTTGTTTATTCCTGTGTTGAAACATGCAGGGATTTGATTCAGTCATGGTAGATGGTTCACACCTTCCTTTCAAGGACAATATCTCATACACGAAACATATTTCATCCTTGGCACACTTAAAAGATATGCTAGTGGAAGCTGAATTAGGGAGATTGTCAGGAACAGAAGATGACTTGACTGTGGAAGATTATGAAGCAAGGCTAACTGATGTTAATCAGGTTCTTTTTGTCACTTAACTAATATCAGATCTCCATTCACGTTCTTGCATTGACAATATCATCATATTTGGTTCCCTATGTTTTCCAGGCTCAAGAATTTATTGATGAGACATGGATAGATGCTTTGGCAGTCTGTATTGGAAATGTCCATGGAAAATACCCTGCAAGTGGCCCGAATCTTCGACTTGATTTGCTTAAGGTCTGATACAGATAGTCATACTTGTATTTCTTCTTATAAACCTTTTATTAAATTTGAGATTTCTATTATTTGATTTATGTGCATCAATTATCACCTGATTACTGTTAGACAGCTTGGTTGATGGACATATCCAGTACACATAATGTTTAAAAATTACGTTTAATTGTACAATGGAAATGAATTGCAGAAAATTTTAACTCTTCCCCACTTTGGCTAAGATGAATGATCACTGACATACATCTTTTCATTTTCTACGACAACACTCTCACAAACTTATTATTCTCAATTATGAAGTTCTTAACACACATTTAAAATTTGTCCTCTAGAATAGGAATTTGTCTTTTTCTTTGAAAAAAATTTGCCTTGGATAAAGTCATTTCGATAAAAGTGTTGATGCATCCATATCAGTCATGTTGCCCATTACAGTCTTTGTTCTGTGTCCAGGATCTGTATGCATTGAGTTCGAAGAAAGAAGTTTATATTGTTCTTCATGGAGCTTCTGGATTGTCCGAGGAACTTATCAAGGTATATCTATTCACAAGACAGTGCTATTGAATTTCAAATATCATCAATTCTTAATGATATTGAATTTCAAATGTCGTCAATATTTTTTTTTTTTTTTTTTTTTAATGTTCATAGACCCTCCTAGATACATTAACTGCTCGACTGCTTTTAACAGGAATGCATAAAGCTGGGTGTAAGGAAGTTCAACGTAAACACAGAGGTCCGGAAGGCTTACATGGATTCACTGAGAAACCCTGAGAAAGACATTGTCCCTGTTATGGAATCTGCAAAGAAAGCCATGAAAGCTGTGGTTGCAGAGAAGATGCGCCTTTTTGGCTCATCCGGAAAATCATGTTGAATGTTCTTTGCTAGTCACTTCGTAAAAGGAAAAGACTGCTGCGGAAGTTGCAACTTAAAACCATAGGGAAGCAACCAAATCATGCTGGCATATTGCTTTTTCCCTTATGAGAATATATTGTATCTGTGATATGTAAACAAGTACCCATTCAACCTAAAATTATGTAATTATATGTTGTTTTATTCTTTCTTTTCCTTTTGACTTGATTGATATCTTCAACTTTTTTTTTTTTTTTTTTTTTTTTGGGCAAATATGATGCTAGATCCTATTATGCTTTTTCCCCTTTTGGATTCGCGAATCCACTTTGACCTTTCTTAAAAAAGGAAGATAAGAAAGTTAAACTTTTATCAAGAGAATTTTTACAGCTAACCCAAGGGGTTGGTTCAAGTGGTAAGTCACTTAACTATGGTGTCTCATAAAGTATCAGATCGAAAAAAAAAAAAAAAACCTTTGCAGTGGATAAAGTCATAAGGTTTAATAATTCACCTCTGCTATTGACAAACATCTCTATCAAATTCAACACAAAAAATGCAGGTACGTTTGTCATCTCTATTATCATTACTCAAGCCCTATCATTTACCCAAATAAGCTGGATAATATAACTATTTTTTCCATGGCCCTGCCTGGATTAGTGCTGGTTGCAAAAAAATGAAAACTCCTAAATTGGTCCACTTGGGTTCTGTATTTTAAAAACTGTTCTTAGAGATATGAGTTAAATGAGTTCAGATTTTTAGAGAATAACTTTGGGTTGTTTTCTGAATTTTCTAAAACCTGTTCTTATATAACTCTTTTTTGCACTATAAATTGAATGATATGTTTGAGAGTATTGAATCAGTGTCATAATTTAGAATTAAATGAAATTTAGTTCAAAGCTTATTATGAAATTCCTCTAATTTTAATTCCAAAAGCTAAAAGTACTAGGTTATCTTTGGATTGAATTATTTATCGACTGACTTTGAGTTTTTGGTTTGAATTATGGGTTAATTTACTTTTGACAAATTATTGGTAAATAATTTCCAAAACATAATATAGAAAGAGTAATTACAAATACATTAATTCTACACTTGAGTTATTTGCCAATAAATTGTCAAAAATTAAATTAACCCAAAAATACTATATATAGAAAAATAAAAAAACAATTAAAAAAAACATTTTTAACAAACTAAAAAGACTCAAAAACACGCTTAAATCAAGTTTAAACTAATACAGTTTTTTGACTTCGAATCCAGAGGGTGATTTCCTCCGAATTCTTCAATGGCCCGACCCAAATATTTGGGTTGTACTTTTACCATCTGAGCCCTTATGCCGGGTGGCAACAATATAGGCCACTAACACAATTATTTGGAATAAGTTGACCGTACGCACGCAAAGTTAAACTCGGAGGATGATGTCACTCTACCATGATAAGAGTCCTCTACATAACCAAACACACACACAATCCAAACTCTCTCTCATAAACCCGTATCTGTCTAAACTTCTGTTTGATTGATCCAATCTTTCTCGAAGGACACAGATCACTTCAATGGCCGATCATCAACAGCAACAGCCAGAGCTCTTCGAACTCAACAATGGGACCATGCAGGTCAAGGTCACCAACTATGGTTGCATCATCACCTCCTTGTCTGTACCCGACAAAGATGGTACACCATTTCTTTCTTTACAATCCTTCTTTACTTTTCCCTCAATCGATTTACTAATAGTTTGGATTCTCTTAATTTTGAAGGAAAATTAGCTGATGTTGTTCTTGGATTCGACTCTCTTGAACCATATCTGGTGGGTTCTTTCAGCTTTTACTGGAACCTCATTTGATTTCTCTTCTTCTTGTTGTGATTTTGTCAAGAAATTGATCATGGGTATTGTTGAAATTCCATGGATTTATATATATATATTTTTCTTAGTGAAAACAAAATGACCCATTTGATAATTTGTTACAAAATCACTGTTGAATACTGGACTGGGGCGATGATGAATTTTGTTCTGATTTTTATTCAAAATCTGTGTTTTTGGGTAATCTGGGATTGATCAGAAAGGTGCTGCACCTTATTTTGGCTGCATTGTCGGTCGGGTTGCGAACAGGATCAAAGATGGGAAGTTTACTCTGAATGGGACTGAATACTCTTTGCCCATCAACAAGCCCCCAAATAGTCTTCATGGTATGATGTAGTTACTTTCCTGAATCTAAAATTATTTTCTTGATATGATAATCATGTTTGTCCTTAAATTTTGATAAATTTCCACAAATTGACTTTACTTTTTTTTTTTGATAAGTAAAAACGCATTGAAAGCGTTCAAAAGGGGAACGCATCCCAAGAGAACAAACACAGGGCCAAAACAACCCTTTAAGCCTTCAAAGAGGCCAAGAAAACAACAATATCCTCAGAAGATCTAAAATCTCTACCCGAAACACAACAAAAAAGAGGGGAAAGAATAGAGAACTTAAGAAAAGAAATAGGCCTCTCCTTTCCCTCAAAATATCTTTTATTCCTCCAAAGAGGCGTAGCCCTCCAAGCATCACGAGCATGGGCCCCTACAGAGAACCCTCTCCAAGCCTCAACCATCTGTCTAGAAGAGCGAGGCATAACCTAATAGAACCCAAACAAACAAAGCATCAAGTCCCAACATTCCTTAGTCACGGGGCAATGAAGAAGAAGATGATCCACTGTCTCATTATCCTGAAGACACATGTAGCACCGATTAACCACTACCTGATTCCTCCTTCTCAAATTGTCTTGGGTCAAAATCTTACCCAAAACAGAGGTCCAAGCAAAAAAAGCCACCTTGAGAGGAGCCTTAGAGCGCCAAATAGACTTCCACGGGAAGGATCCTCCAGGCTCAGCTGTAAGACACCTGAAGAAGGAACGAACCTCAAAGCGACCTTGTGGATTTGGCTTCCAAATCCAACAATCAGAATCACCAGCCATAACGCTCTGACGATACAACGCCTCCAGCAAAAGAGTGACATCCTCGACCTCCCAATCTTGAAAAGGACGCCTGAATCGAACATCCCAAACCAGTCTCCCATTATTAAGACAATAACAGTCAACCACCTTGGCTTGTTTATCCGAAGCCATCCTAAACAACCGAGGGAAAGCGAGGGCAAGAGAAACCTCCCCGCACCAAACATCCTCCTAAAAACTGATCCGCCTGCCATCCCTAAGTCTGAAACGAACATGAGTGGAAAAGACGGTCCACCCCTTCCGAATAGACTTCCAAACTCCCACACCCCTCGGGCGACGCACCTCAAGAGAGCACCACCCTCCTCTACCTTCCCCATATCTACTAGCAACAACCTTCCGCTAGAGCCAGTGCCTCTCCACCCCAAACCTCCACAACCATTTTCCAAGGAGAGCTTTATTGAAAGGCACCAATTTACGAAGGCCCAACCCACCATAACAAATCAGCTTGCACACTTGCTCCCACCGAACCAAATGAAACTTAAACTCCTCCCCTCTTCCCCCCAAAAGAAAATTGCGTTGCAACTGTTCAATTCTCTCGGCAACAGAGAGAGGAATCTGAAAAAGTGAGATGAAATAAGTAGGAAGAAAAGAAAGGGTACTTTTAATCAGAGTAACCCGCCCCCCTTTAGAGAGATATTGCTTCTTCCAACCCGCCAATCTCCTCTCAAATCTGTCCACAACAGGATCCCAAACCCCCACACACCTCGAAGGAGTTCCCAGAGGGAGCCCTAAACAGGAGATAGGAAAAGAGCCAGTACGACAACCAAGAATGCCCGCAAGCGAAGCTAACTCAGGCACCTCCCCTACTGGCACCAAAACACTCTTGCCAACATTCACATTTTGGTTTCTTCCAGCCATTTTTGAATTAATTGACGAGCAAGATGAAAAACTGATTTTTTTTGTTCATTATGCTGGTGCATGTCATTTAACTCGGTAGGAGAATGGAGACTTCTTGATCCAGCAATTAACTCGGTAGGAGAAAGAACTTTGGAGACTTCTTGATCCAGTAATTAACTCGGTAGGAGAAAATCACTAGTTTTGAAGGAGTTGGTGTTGACTTTGTGTTTTGGCATTGCTCAATTATACAAAATTCCCTTCTTAAGCATATGCCATGCTAGATACACAGCACCTAGGTTCCGGTATGAGATTTTGTTGGATGTGCTTGTTGGACATGCACCAAGCATGCATACTAATAATTCAAATTTACTATATAATTGTAGATAAACTCTAGCATTATGCTCCTTTAGTTGCATTATAATTTTAAAAAGAGTGAAGTGTTCATGTTAAACAATCTACGTTGCATAAAATTCACTATATAATTTTTTTTGAAGAATCATCATCTTCCTTGCCTTTATCGCAAATTTTTTATAAAGAATTTGAATATTTAAGTGCGGTCTTATATTGATAAGACATATATCTGCATTCAAGAAACACATTTAAGTTTACGTAACTTAAGCTATCCCCCTTGCATGAAAATAAAGTGAACTTTGAAGTCTGAAAAAATAAAGTTAACAAATGAGCATGCAAAATGGATAACGAAGCTAAGGATGCCTAAGTTCACGAGGTAAAGTGATAAATATAAAATAGTCAACCAAGCTAAGGATCCCTAATTCCACTTAATCCTTAATGAGGCAGCACTGGCCTTGGTTCTACTATATAGAATTGAAAGTACAAAGCCCTGACAACTTTTTTGAACCTGAGATACTAAAGTTAGAAATAAATAAGAGTTTTACCCGATATCTGCCCCACCACTAAAAAAATTAAACTTCAAATCTTCCTTTAAACAGGATTTATCTTTGAAGATCCCTTGGCTTGAGCTTTTAATGTTTGAATTAACTGCATCTGTGTGCTTCTAGCTTTGTTGTTTTGCAATGATTGCTGCAGCTTTGAGTTGTAGTGAAGTTTATGTAAGCTACCCATGAGTAAAAAGTCTGTCATATCCAGGGATGGACCCACATTAATGTGGGGGGGGGGGGGGGGGGGGGGGGGGGGGTGCTTTTTAGTAATTTCAGTGTGGACAATAGTGTGATTTTATAGATATATATAGCAAAATGAGAAATATGATAGGGTATAATACTAAAAAAAAAAAAAGTTCAGTGGGGGCAATTGCCCCCACTGGGCTATTAATGCGCCCGTGCCTGGTCATATCGGGGGATGGTTCATTCTACTATGAATGTTCTGTGGAGACTAAAGCTGGTAATGGTTTCACATGTGCAACCTTGTAGGGGCATGTTAGGTTAATAGTAGTCCCTGGAACAATGTTGGCATGGTATAAAAGATTGATGATTAGTTGTGAAAGTTGGGTTGTTTACATACTACATTATTGTGTCAAATATCTGGCAATCATATTGTATTTATTTATGTGGATGATGGTTCCCATCGGTTCCCGGTTCGAGTGAGAATTGTCATCGTAACTCATAAGTAACACCAAGCCCCCACTAAAAAGATCGATTGAGAAAGGGCCGCACAGGCCAAAGAAATCCAGCTCCTCAAGCAAGTAACCAACTGATGTGAAGAGAAATATTGTATTTGTATAATCAAATGAATAAAACTGCACTTTCTGTCAAACTTGATGTAGGAGAAAATTCTTAGTCTGCTAGGCTAAATTCCTTGCTTCCATCCCATGGCTACAATCAAAGCAATCCTGCGTCTTCACGAAGGTTGCAAGTAGAGGTTGAGTTCTGAAGACTGTCCTTTATATAGACAGAGTCACCCCACCAGCCCTGGAAAGGGAAGGAATTGGGTAAGGCTAGCCAACCTACTACTATCATACAACTAGCCCAGACTGTTGACTGATGCTGCTGCATAGCAGATATCTCCCTTACTGAGTTCTTGTCATAAATGGAGTGGTTCCCATCGGTTCCCGGTTCGAGTGCGAATTGTCATCGTAAGTCATAAGTAACTATTATGTTGTAAGATTGTGCTCCAAGACTAAAATTTTCCTGTGGATCTTTATTTGGAAACTTATGCCAAGAAAGAGTGACATGGAATCATTGACTCCCCCATGACGGTAAAGTTCTACGCATTGGCAGTGCCCACCTTTTATTTTGTAGCCATTGACATCAAAATGACAGAACCATTGACCTCTCCATCAGATAACTGTCAGTCATCATAATGTCATCTATATTACTTCTTATTGTATGTCATGTTGGCGAATTCTATACTAAAGTTTATTGTTACATAGTGTCATAGGCTAACTAGATTCAGCCAACTAACTAGCGTGCTTCATGCCAAAGATTTGGTACAACAGTTATGGCATATAGAAGGAAGGAATGGTGTTTAAGGTTCTTACCACTAAGGAAAATGAGAGAATATTTCATTTATTTTTGTGATTCAATCATGTTTTTGAAAAATTCAGCCATCTAGATTCATTTATTTCTGGTTTGTTATACAAATCCTTTTTTTTTTCACCTCTCCTTTTAATTGTTTATACATAACTAAAATGATTGCCTTCATGATAACAAAATAAAATAAAATCAAGTAAAAATAGTTATCTCGATTGGTTTAGATTTTTTTTGCAGTCTTTCATGTGAAAAGTAATGCTCATCGATATGGTTATTTAAAAGAAAAGGAAAGTGAGAATATAAAGAGAAGAGGAAAAGATTTCTTCAGGATCTCTCTCGTTTCAGATGAACAAGAAAATTGTCTCTGCGCGTGCCACTTTATGGAATGAAGTAATGAACATAGATCAGGATGCATCATGTTAAGGTTTTGGGTAGGTGCTATGCTTCCTAGTTTACCTTAGAGCTGCTTGCATGAAGGGAAAAAACATTATAGTAGCTGCAGCAGTAGTAGTTGTAGACTTGTAGTAATCAAATTGTTCACTCTTACTTGCCCTTATGAATTAGTGAAGAAGCCTCCCTTTTATCAGTGTACTCTTCATGTAGGCTAAATGGCTATACAAAGTGGATTTGTAATTTTTTTTTTTTTTTTTTTTTGAGATGCTTAAAATATGAAAGAAAAGAAATAAAGTTTATAATTGGATGACCTCCAGCGGGAAGTGCTTATACCATCTCTGCCTGTCTTGGCAATAATTGATGAGATTTAGGAAATGGTAAGTACCTGTCCATGGGTACCAAGTACCTGCCCAAGTGGTTGTTTGGCGTTTGTAACCAGCTTGTTGAAGCTGTGCAAACAATTGCAGCTTACCTGGAAAATATATTCTGTTACCATTTACTTTGAACTTCTGAACTATTCTTTTGATATAGGTGGGTTCAAGGGTTTTGACAAGGTGGTTTGGGAAGTCGTTGAACATAAAAAGGGTGAAAATCCATCAATCACCTTCAGATATCACAGTCGTGATGGCGAGGAAGGTATTCTCTCTCTTTCTCGTGCTTGCGCTCTCTCGCGCATGTGCACACACCGTCATACAGAGCTAAAACTTTGTTTCTCTTGGAAGCAGGTTACCCAGGCGATGTCTCAGTAACTGCGATGTATACGCTTACTTCAAAGACAACAATGAGGCTTGACATGGAAGCTGTGCCTAAAAATAAGCCCACCCCGATCAATTTAGCTCAGCATACCTACTGGAACTTAGCTGGCCACAACTCCGGCAACATTCTTGACCATTCAATTCAGATATGGGCTATGCATGTAACTCCTGTGGATCAGAACACAGTCCCAACTGGTGAAATCATGCCAGTTAAAGGCACCCCCTTTGATTTCACTACGGAAAAGAAGATTGGTAGCTCTATCCATGAGGTTGGCTTAGGTTATGACCACAATTATGTGCTAGACTGCGGGGACGAGAAATTAGGCTTGAAACATGCTGCAAAAATGAAGGACCCATCAAGCTCAAGGGTTCTGAACTTATGGACCAATGCCCCTGGTATGCAGTTTTACACCGCTAACTATGTGAATGGAGTCTTTGGTAAGGGTGGTGCCGAATATGGAAAGCACTCAGCGCTTTGCTTGGAGACACAGGGATTTCCGAATGCCATTAACCAACCGAACTTCCCTTCTGTTGTTGTTCAACCGGGTGAGAAGTACAAGCACAGCATGTTATACGAATTTTCGGTTGAGTGAGTTACTAGACTCTGAAGGAGTATATAAATGAATAAAGTCTGCCTCATGTTGTTTTCAAGGTTTATGGGTTTATCTGAAGATGGATGATGATACAAACCTAAAATAATAATATGAATCTTAGACAAGGTTTTTTGAGATTGTTTTTGTGATCCAAGTGTAGAGGATTTATTCTTCGTATGAAAGGTAGCATATTGACCGGTGTAGTGCACCTATCTCAAACTTTACTGGTTTCTTGAAGTTCTTCACAAGCATGTTACCCTTCTTCGTACAATATCTTCAACTTTTCAAATTACAAAAGGAAATTTTAATTTGATATACAAGCAAATCCCAATGTGGCACTGTGGGCAGAACTTAATGGGATTGAGTCATGAGTTGACTAGTATTTGAACTTGAATGATTTTATCAAACTATGTTAAATTTGGACTCGTTTGCTTAGAAAACTTTTGTAATTAATAACGCAAACTTGATAGAAGTTCGTGTATCTGTGTCATTTGTAATGATTTATCATTCAATGAAGGAAGAATACCCAACGTTCTCCAATAATTATAACAACTGAGGCAATCAAATTACTATCTATCATACCCCTTTCAAATGGAATAACATACTCCTATCTTTACAGTTTCCACTACCATCCTTTCCCAACATCGCGCACACACACCCCCTCCAACCCCACTGTCTTTCCACCATCCTCTTCCTCCCCATCTGTACTTCCTTCCCATCCACACGCTGCTTATCCCCACCTAATCCTTTGTGGATTTTACCCGACTACCCTCTCTTGCATTTTGTGCAAACCAAAATCCCTGGCCCAGAGAACATTTTTCACGTCCTGGATCAAAATTTTGCACTTTATTTGGGTTGGGCTCGCCAGGCCAAGGTCATACCACGACACCAATGCCCCTGAGCTGACCCCCCTACCGCATTTTGGTCAGCAGTTGGCCCAGATACAATTTTTACGTCTCTAGCCCAAACTTTTGCACTAGCTTTGGGTGGGGTGCGCCCGGCCTATTTGGGTTGGGTGCTCCAGGCCAAGGTCATACTACAACGCCGACGACACTCATCCGACCCCCCTTCCGCATTTTTGGGCAGGACTGGCCCAGATACAATTTCACGTCTCTTGCCCAAAATTTTGCACTAGATTTGGGTGGGGTGCGCCAGGCCCAGGTAATAGTGCAACACCAAGGCGACGCCCGAGAACCCCAGCAGCAAGCTACTGTAATGGGCCCTCCCCCTCAAAAAATAAATTTAATATCGTGTGGGCCATTGGCCCATGTATCAGATATTAAACTGATAAGAACAGATACTACACTTGATCTTAGCCAAAAGGCCGAGAAAGGTATAAATTGCTTTGAGCTGGGCCTTCCATTTTATAACCAGCTCCTCTCTCTCCCTCTTTATTCATAAGCGATGTGGGACAAACATATTTAGTAAACAAAACTCCCTGTCTATTTGTCTTCAGAACTCAAAAAGTGCTGTGCCGAACATACCGTGAATTCACTCACCATCATTTGCTCTCTCTAAACATCTCTGAAGGCAAGAGTTGGAGACAATCCAAGCTGCACATGGCAGACTTCGACGGTAGCAAAGGATGTGATTCGATGGAGAGAATTGGGGATGGATTTTGGCGTGAACTGATTGGAAGATGGTGCCCAACCTCATGGGGTTTCTGATCTTGAAATTGAAATTGGAATTCCATGCTCCCAAACTAACATTAATCTAAAATCCAATAATTTCTATACCTAAAATCTGGGCTGTAGGCTGCAGCTTGTATTCTGATTGATGAATTATGGTTCACATACAAGTCAATGTGTACATATGTGTGTGTGTGTGTGTGTAGACGGGTATGAGAGTTTAAAAGCCAGATAATAGAACCAGATGGACGGGCAGTCTAAAGTTGCCATTGATAAAGAAGAAAGGTCTTTCCATCCAACAAGATTCATCAGAAAGGGTCTGAGCAAATGCACAGCAACACAATTTCCTTATCGAAGTGTATATATATATATATACATATATATTCACAAATAAGATAAAATGAGTTCAATTCCATCTCTTGCAAACCTTCTTTTTCCATATTGTTTACTGGAGCATTACATGATAAAGAAAGAACTTGTCACGGGCTTACCATAATATGTAAGCCTATAAATAGTCTCTCTGTATTTTTCTTTTTCTTCGGTTTTTTTTTTACCAATCTCAGCATCAAGCCTTGCAGCTACCGGTAATGGTGAGAGATAGAGGTTACACGTTTGAGGATATACAAACACAATATTGAAAAGGAATAAATAATTCTCATCCCATTGCTTAAAGTGACAAATTGCATAACTAATGCACATCAAAGTAATCGCCATTGTCCTATTCGAACAGGTGTTGTGGCTAAATTCATGTGCAAGAGTTTTTATCCGATTTTCCGATCTTCAGGTAGGAGAAGTTTGAGGAGATGGTATCACTTTGTTCGAACCAATTCCAGTGGTACACTTTCCATTGCCAGCTGAAATGTGATAATAAACTATTTTAGATACCACACATAGATGCATTATGAGTGACTACAGAAACTGATGCTTACCCACTGTCTGGGAGTTCTAGGATCGGATTTAGGATGCAATTTGGACAGCTCTGACTGAAAGGTAATGACTAGCGAAAGTTTGAACTCGACGGAGAAGGGACTGCAAAAATTTAAGTAAACCATTACACATTCATTATTGCCCTTGTGGACTGACCAAATTCTATGATAAAAAGCAAACCATCCACATTATAGCCATAACAAGTGAGAGTTCATGTTATTTAAAGAACTGGTAAAGTGAAAACTATTCGCTTATAATAGTACTTAAAAAGAAAAAGAAAAACGGGGGAAAATGTGGAAGAGTTCCATCTAATGACTGGCATACACAGAAAAGTCCTGTAAATAGATATTCCATTTAGAAGACAAAGCCACCAATTTGGAGCCAGGTGAAATAATACAAAAAGGGTCAAATACTTGCACAAATGAAATTAATTACCAGCAAGCCTTTCACCAATAGCAAGATAATCGTTCTTTGTGAGTGATCTCTTACATAAAATGGTAACCAAAACTGAGAGATCTTGTGTCAGACCACAAGTCCACGTGAAAAAGAAAGATTCAACAATTTCATGAATATAGCAATCGAGAGTTCAAGAAGTATCGAGGCCTTAGTAAGGAGTTCAATTATAATACTCCCTGTTTAATTAGGGACTGCAGATGAATGCTTCTCTTAACTTATTTTTGGCGCTTTCTATGATCCAATAATCTTGGAACCCTCCCCAATTGACAGACTGAAATTGAACTTTAATGATTCTTCACTTAGAAACCAAGGCACCATTGTGATTGATGGCAACTTTGGAGATCATATATCCCACATTATTCTAGTTTATTCTGTGCCCCATAATTGGGGCAACATGGTTGAAGTGAATATTTTGAGCCTTTTGACCAGTACAATGGATGCTAAACATCTCAATTGTAGAGATATTTCATATTTGGTCAAAGGCATCTCCCAACCATTATCTCTTGCACAAAGACAGCGAGTGAGTTGGGTTTATGTCCATGGATGAAATGAAGGAAACTGAGCTATATCACTAGGTACGCTGCCTAAATCCTTCCATCGACGCTGTTACAATTTTTTTTCTTCATAAATGACTCTTTTTAAAATCATTCTCACTTTCCAATCATGCATGAAACTAGTAATCTAAAGAAAAATAAAGAGGTTGTACGCATGCTTATGAGAAACAACTGACAAATTTTTAATAAAATAGGACGGTAGTGACGGAGAATCTCACCCAGCAAAAACGGATAAACTAGGCATAAAAAATAAATAAATAAACAAATAAAAAAAAAACACTACGGGTTAACCGATTAAAACCGGTTATTGTCTTCGGGTCAATTCCCTAGCTTCGACTGTGGTGCTTCTTGAGCCGAGAAGAAGTTGCCATCGGCTCATCGCCATGTCTGTAGAGCTCAAACTTTCCCGACCAAACCGTATCTATCGCCCTAATGTAATCTCTCTCTTTCCCAACAACTTACACACACACATAAATGTTTATGTGTATTGTATGATATACATCTCTAAAATGATCTGCCTTGTTTGTAATTATTAATTGATTTCAGGAAGCTCTTGAAGGCAAAATCATCACAAAACTTTCTTCTTCAATCTCCCACCAGGGAATTCGCCTCACTGTCAATGGATCAGTCAACTTACAGGTTTTGGTTTGTACTCTGTTTGCTTTTAGATAAAAATAAGTAAATAAGAAATAAGTAAGGAGATTAGTAGAAGTCTGATTCTTTTGTGTATTGTTGTTTATGTTTTCTGTAGCCCTAGTTTAAAATTTTCCAAATTTTGGTTTCTTTGATATATATATTGTGTATATGTTTTCATTTTCTCATGAACATATGTATATTTTCATTTTCTAATGAAGCAATCACACACAGCTTAAGCTGATCCGCATAATTCATCTTTGCTTGCAAATTAAATACGATAATTCCTTCTTGTTATTTAGGTACGTGGAGGATCGGCAGGAGTGGTAGAGTCTCTTTATGGTGTTGTCAAGCCTATCCCTATTGTGTAAGTCTCTCTCCATTCTACTTCTATGTAATTGGGACAAATTGAACATATATGATGGAAATTAATTGGGATTTAGACTTGAAGAGGAAATGAACAAGAATTGTTTTCATTATAATTTGGGTGATTGAGTGGTGTACTTATTGGTACCCTTTATTTCATAATGTGAACACTACCACCAAGACAATGTAGGAAACAGAGAAAAGAAAAAAATCTGTACTTTGAATCTTATATTTTGAGGATGCTACATTGGATGATAGAAATCAAGATAAATAATGAACGTATAAGGGGAACATTAGGTATAACGTCTATAAATGATCAAATTAAGAAAAGTAGACTTAGATGGTATGGTCATACTCAACGTAGTCTTGACAATGCACCTATTAAAAGAGGAAAAATTGTTTGTTTAGAAAGTAAGCAACAAAGAGACCAACCAAAGCTTATGTGGGATGAAGTAATTGAAAACGACCTAAAAAACTTTAATTTGAAGATAAGACAATAAAAAAGAATGGAAAAGGAGAATTCATGTGGCCGACCCCATCCATATGGGATAAAGGCAAAGATGACAATGATAATGATGATGATAATGATGATGATCTAGGAGGGCTTGAGAAACTGAAACAATTGGCAATTGAACTAAGCCTGATAATATAAAGTAGACTTCTAATTGCTATTTGGTCTGTAATTTTTGGTTCATGTATGTTATTTTCATTGCTTTTGGTTCTGACTAAAGTGACATTTTTTCTTGTTTATCTGGAATGTAAAAGTCACTTAACAGTTCAAACCTCACGTTTAGATAAAATAGTATCGTCTTTGGCTCCTTGGTACAAGAGAAATTATCTTACAAAACAACATAAAGCATGAGATTTGGAATCATGTTTCTTTTTCCTTAGCCCCAATTTCCTCAGCAAGCGCATTGGAAGTACTTCATTTGAAATGTTGTGATCAATGTGGCTTTTGAAAAAGAGTATGATAATTACAATTTTTTTTGGGATAGTCAATAATATTAAAATAAAATATTAAAAACAAAGAAAAAGAAAAAAAGAGGCAGCCCATTGCACGAGGCTTCTGTCATTGTAGGGTCTGAGGAGGGTTAGGGGTATGCAACCTTACATCTGCATGCACGGAGACCGTTTACCGTTTTGAACCCATGACCTTCAAAAATAACATGTCTGATACTTAATAAATTATTCATAATTGAATACATATGTATATTTTATTTCAAACTCGTGTCCAATACTTCTTAGATATTTTTAAAATAAGGGTTTCAAATATTTAGAATTTTTTAAGAAAAGGAAGAATTGGGATATAATTAGAAGTCCAAAATTATGTTTATGCAATAGAACTCTTAGTTTGTTTGTTATAATTTTTCATAATAAAAAGGATAGTGAAATATATATACCAAAAATTATATAGAAAGGATAGAAATACACACACACACACACACCCACCCCATGAGAAACAATAAATTATTCTAATTTATATATGAATGCATATATCATAATTTTTATACATACTTTTTTATAAATATGTGTGTGTACATATATATAGACGTGTCCGTGCCCGTACCATATCATATATTTCAAGACTTTTTCATGTCAGCGTGTTTGTGTCATGTTCGTATCCCACATTTATTTCCATGCCTCATAGTCTAGGCCTCACTAATCTAGAGCATTGGAAGGGGCAGATTAAGTATGGACCTAAATTTGGACATTATATGCACAAAATGATTGTCCTCAAACTTGAAACCGTGTTCATGCTTGACAGCCCAAGATTTTTGTTAGTGATTATTTTATTAACTCTGCAGGAGTTGTGATCTATTCAATTGTGTCACTTTTCCTTTAAAGAGTTCTGCAGCTCTCCTCTATATATTGTTCAAGAATAAGGCTTCTTCATAATTTTCCAACTATAATGTTTATGACTTCTCTGACTTTGGGAGTGACAAAGATAATCAAAATGTAAGGTTTTCTACAATGGTTGAGGCATCATCTCAAAATTTAGAGGTCATCTCTTGTAAGTTGAAATTCTTCCAAATTTGGAGTCACTATCTGCTTCCAATATCCTTTTAATCTATAAATGTTAGGCTTGTTGGCTATTTGTATGAATGAACCTTTACTCTTACTCATTTCTGTTCCTATTCCTCCTTATTTGATTATTTTCTTCACTTGACTATAGGAAGAAGAGTATTCAGGTTGCATCTTCTGGCAGGATAGGTTCAGGTACAACAGAGGTATGATATAAGAATAGAATGGTTTACAACTTAATGATACTTAAGAGTATGAATGAAATTTATTGTAATTGATGGGTCTTGGATATTGGATAACACGACAGGTCCTATGTGTACAGGAATTGAACTTTACCCTAAGCATATGCAAGTCTTTGCCATAGGATTTTGTATCCGTGGCTTCACTTATGTGCTGTTTGTTCATACGCAAGTCTTGGCATTTCATCATATTTTTATTCTTTCTTTCTTTCTCTTTTTTTTTTTTTTTTTTTTTTTTTTATGTGTCATAGTTACCCTTGTTCTGTCATAATTTTTCTTTTAATCCAGCAAGTATTTCACATATTAGATTTAAAAAATAATAATAATAAGTGTTATGAAGGTGGGCTGATCATGGAAACATTGGCAGGCAAAGCTTCCAATCCATCAACTGGATGATAAAAAAAGGCCAACAAGGACAAAGAACTGTTTGATCATGACAAAAGAAACCGTTAACAGCATGAAAAAGTAGATTTTTTTAATGAATAGTACCAGCTCAGTTTACCCTCCACAGGACTCGAGTGAGCTATGGAGATCCTTGTTCAACAAAGTTTAAAGACTAGCAGCCACAAAAGGAGGGTTCCTTAACAAGAGGAGTACTAATTAAAAAGCATACATAGGAATTTTTTCAATTGAAACAATAGCATCTAATTTGCATATGGAGCATTGATAAAATATTTAAAAAGTTCCATAAAATTGCTGTGCAACTTTGCCTTGGTTATCATTCTTTAAGTTACCTTCTAATATTGATTTTTCTCTACCTGACTGCAATATTCTAATGTTCATTCTGTAATTTCATAAGTTCTTTTATTATTGTGACAGATACCATTTTCCATGATTCTCAGACATCCAGGAGATGATAATTTGGAAAAAATTTATGAAACCTACCATGGAGCAAATATCAGCATCCAGGTATTTATTTTCTTTACAACTTGATCTTTCTTTATTTTACCGGATTTCTGCCCTTTAATGCGGTGTTAGTTTCCCTTTAACATTGATCTCGTGCTTGATGTCTAATAAATTCCATAATAGTATCTGGTAACTGTAGATATACTGAGAGGATATCTCCATAAATCATTATCTGCTACAGTGGAGTTCATAATTGAAACTGAAAAAGGTAGGAGTCTATGCTTTGTTTTCTAATTTCTTTTATAAATTCGGTGAACAGCCTCCTATATTTTATTATATTTTCTTCAGCTAATCTTCCGGAGCAAGCAGTTTCTCCTGAAAGGGTCATCTTTTATATTACTCAGGACACACAAAGACATCCATTACTTCCTGAACTAAGATCCGGTGGCTTCCTGTGCTCCTTCTTCCTCGCCCTTCTCTAATTTTTATTTTTTATTTTTATCTTAAGTCAAACTACAATATTTCCACATTTCATGATGTTTTAGTCTTTTCTAACAAATTCTCATATTTATATGGTTTTTCATTTTTTTTTTCCCATAAGCATGGAGATTATTATATTACAATTAGTAGTAAAAGGGACTATTACATTTTAGCAAAACACAGAATATCATTGTTATGCATTCAGTTGTGGCCTTCTTGACTTATTTATTGCTGGGTAGGTGGTTTCCGTGTAACCGGCAAAATCTGCACGCAATGTTCATTGTCAGATCCTATTAGTGGTGAGCTTACGGTTGAATCATCGGCAGTTCCTATTCACTCCATCGACATCCACTTGCTCCGTATGGAGTCAATACTGGTTGGAGAGAAGATTGTAACTGAGACCTCTTTAATTCAGACTACTCAGGCATGTAATGTTTTATATCTTTTCAAACATTTTTAGTCTCTATTATATATCATTTAATTTCTTTATTAATGCTTTATTTATTAGATAGCAGATGGTGATGTTTGCCGTAACATGAGTCTACCTATCTATATCATAATTCCCCGGCTTTTGACTTGTCCGACCATTTTTGCTGGGTGAGATTCTCCTTCACTCCTGTCCTATTTTATTAATAATTTGGCAGTTGTTTTTCATAAGCATGCGTACAACCTCTGTATTTTCTTTAGATTACTAGTTTCATGCATGATTGGAAAGTGAGAATGATTTAAAAAACAGTCATTTATGAATAGAAGTTGTAACACTGTCGATGGAAGGATTTAGGTAGCGTATATTGACTTGTCCGACCATTTTTGCTGGGTGAGATTCTCCGTCACTACCGTCCTATTTTATTAAAAATTTGTCAGTTGTTTCTCATAAGCATGCGTACAACCTCTGTATTTTCTTTAGATTACTAGTTTCATGCATGATTGGAAAGTGAGAATGATTTTAAAAAGAGTCATTGATGAAGAAAAAAAATTGTAACAGCGTCGATGGAAGGATTTAGGCAGCGTACCTAGTGATATAGCTCAGTTTCCTTCATTTCATCCATGGACATAAACCCAACTCACTCGCTGTCTTTGTGCAAGAGATAATGGTTGGGAGATGCCTTTGACCAAATATGAAATATCTCTACAATTGAGATGTTTAGCATCCATTGTACTGGTCAAAAGGCTCCAAATATTCACTTCAACCATGTTGCCCCAATTATGGGGCACAGAATAAACTAGAATAATGTGGGATATATGATCTCCAAAGTTGCCATCAATCACAATGGTGCCTTGGTTTCTAAGTGAAGAATCATTAAAGTTCAATTTCAGTCTGTCAATTGGGGAGGGTTCCAAGATTATTGGATCATAGAAAGCGCCAAAAATAAGTTAAGAGAAGCATTCATCTGCAGTCCCTAATTAAACAGGGAGTATTATAATTGAACTCCTTACTAAGGCCTCGATACTTCTTGAACTCTCGATTGCTATATTCATGAAATTGTTGAATCTTTCTTTTTCACATGGACTTGTGGTCTGACACAAGATCTCTCAGTTTTGGTTACCATTTTATCTAAGAGATCACTCACAAAGAACGATTATCTTGCTATTGGTGAAAGGCTTGCTGGTAATTAATTTTATTTGTGCAAGTATTTGACCCTTTTTGTATTATTTCACCTGGCTCCAAATTGGTGGCTTTGTCTTCTAAATGGAATATCTATTTACAGGACTTTTCTGTGTATGCCAGTCATTAGATGGAACACTTCGACATTTTCCCCCGTTTTTCTTTTTCTTTTTAAGTACTATTATAAGCGAATAGTTTTTACTTTACCAGTTCTTTAAATAACATGAACTCTCACTTGTTATGGCTATAATGTGGATGGTTTGCTTTTTATCATAGAATTTGGTCAGTCCACAAGGGCAATAATGAATGTGTAATGGTTTACTTAAATTTTTGCAGTCCCTTCTCCGTCGAGTTCAAACTTTCGCTAGTCATTACCTTTCAGTCAGAGCTGTCCAAATTGCATCCTAAATCCGATCCTAGAACTCCCAGACAGTGGGTAAGCATCAGTTTCTGTAGTCACTCATAATGCATCTATGTGTGGTATCTAAAATAGTTTATCATCACATTTCAGCTGGCAATGGAAAGTGTACCACTGGAATTGGTTCGAACAAAGTGATACCATCTCCTCAAACTTCTCCTACCTGAAGATCGGAAAATCGGATAAAAACTCTTGCACATGAATTTAGCCACAACACCTGTTCGAATAGGACAATGGCGATTACTTTGATGTGCATTAGTTATGCAATTTGTCACTTTAAGCAATGGGATGAGAATTATTTATTCCTTTTCAATATTGTGTTTGTATATCCTCAAACGTGTAACCTCTATCTCTCACCATTACCGGTAGCTGCAAGGCTTGATGCTGAGATTGGTAAAAAAAAAAAAAAAAAACCGAAGAAAAAGAAAAATACAGAGAGACTATTTATAGGCTTACATATTATGGTAAGCCCGTGACAAGTTCTTTCTTTATCATGTAATGCTCCAGTAAACAATATGGAAAAAGAAGGTTTGCAAGAGATGGAATTGAACTCATTTTATCTTATTTGTGAATATATATGTATATATATATATATACACTTCGATAAGGAAATTGTGTTGCTGTGCATTTGCTCAGACCCTTTCTGATGAATCTTGTTGGATGGAAAGACCTTTCTTCTTTATCAATGGCAACTTTAGACTGCCCGTCCGTCTGGTTCTATTATCTGGCTTTTAAACTCTCATACCCGTCTACACACACACACACACATATGTACACATTGACTTGTATGTGAACCATAATTCATCAATCAGAATACAAGCTGCAGCCTACAGCCCAGATTTTAGGTATAGAAATTATTGGATTTTAGATTAATGTTAGTTTGGGAGCATGGAATTCCAATTTCAATTTCACGATCAGAAACCCCATGAGGTTGGGCACCATCTTCCAATCAGTTCACGCCAAAATCCATCCCCAATTCTCTCCATCGAATCACATCCTTTGCTACCGTCGAAGTCTGCCATGTGCAGCTTGGATTGTCTCCAACTCTTGCCTTCAGAGATGTTTAGAGAGAGCAAATGATGGTGAGTGAATTCACGGTATGTTCGGCACAGCACTTTTTGAGTTCTGAAGACAAATAGACAGGGAGTTTTGTTTACTAAATATGTTTGTCCCACATCGCTTATGAATAAAAAGGGAGAGAGAGGAGCTGGTTATAAAATGGAAGGCCCAGCTCAAAGCAATTCATACCTTTCTCGGCCTTTTGGCTAAGATCAAGTGTAGTATCTGTTCTTATCAGTTTAATATCTGATACGTGGGCCAATGGCCCACACGATATTAAATTTATTTTTTGAGGGGGAGGGCCCATCACAGTAGCTTGCTGCTGGGGTTCTCGGGCGTCGCCTTGGTGTTGCACTATTACCTTGGCCTGGCTCACCCTACCCAAATCTAGTGCAAAATTTTGGGCCAGAGACGTGAAATTGTATCTGGGCCAGTCCTGCCCAAAATGCGGAAGGGGGTCAGATGAGTGGCGTCGGCGTCGTAGTATGACCTTGGCGTGGAGCACCCAACCCAAATAGGCCAGGCGCACCCCCACCCAAATCTAGTGCAAAATTTTGGGCCAGAGACGTAAAAATTGTATCTGGGCCAACTGCTGACCAAAATGCGGTAGGGGGGGGGGTCAGCTCAGAGGCATTGGCGTCGTGGTATGACCTTGGCCTGGCGCGCCCAACCCAAATAAAGTGCAAAATTTTGACCCGAGACGTGAAAAATGGTCTCTGGGCCAGGGATTTGGTTTTGCACAAAATGCAAAGAGGGTTGTCGGGTAAAATCCACGAAGGATTAGGTAGGGGGATAAAGCAGCGTGTGGATGGGAAGGAAGTACAGATAGGGAGGAATAGGATGGTGGAAAGACAGTGGGGTTGGAGGGGGTGTGCGCGCGCGATGTTGGGAAAGGATGGTAGTGGAAACTGTAAAGATGTATGTTATTCCATTTGAAAGGGGTATGATAGATAGTAATTTGATTGCCTCAGTTGTTATAATTATTGGAGAACGTTGGGTATTCTTCCTTCATTGAATGATAAATCATTACAAATGACACAGATACACGAACTTCTATCAAGTTTGCGTTATTAATTACACAAGTTTTCTAAGCAAACGAGTCCAAATTTAACATAGTTTGATAAAATCATTCAAGTTCAAATACTAGTCAACTCATGACTCAATCCCATTAAGTTCTGCCCACAGTGCCACATTGGGATTTGCTTGTATATCAAATTCAATTTCCTTTTGTAATTTGAAAAGTTGAAGATATTGTACGAAAAAGGGTAACATGCTTGTGAAGAACTTCAAGAAACCAGTAAAGTTTGAGATAGGTGCACTATACCGGTCAATATGCTACCTTTCATACGAAGAATAAATCCTCTACACTTGGATCACAAAAACAATCTCAAAAAACCTTGTCTAAGATTCATATTATTATTTTAGGTTTGTATCATCATCCATCTTCAGATAAACCCATAAACCTTGAAAACAACATGAGGCAAGACTTTATTCATTTATATACTCCTTCAGAGTCTAGTAACTCACTCAACCGAAAATTCGTATAACATGCTGTGCTTGTACTTCTCACCCGGTTGAACAACAACAACAGAAGGGAAGTTCGGTTGGTTAATGGCATTCGGAAATCCCCGTGTCTCCAAGCAAAGTGCCGAGTGCTTTTGTTTGGCTCAGAAACAAAAACAAAAGGATCACTAAAGGTTTGTTTGGCATGCTTTTTGTTTTTGGTATTTTGGAAAAAAAAATCAAAAACACGTTTGGAAATGAACAGTTGTCTACTGTTATGGGCCTTGAACAATTGTCAAAATAAGAAAAAAAATTTTTTTGTGTTTTCCCCACCAAACTTGCTTTTGTTGCCAACATCCATATTGTAACAATCCAAAAACAAAAATAACAAAAACAAAACGCATGTCAAACGGACCTTTATGACATATTATATTTCACTAATATTTTTAATTAAAATAGATACACCTAGAATTTCTAAAATTTTAGGATGCAATTTGAAGGGTAATCAACATTTTTGTGTTTACTGAAAATGCTCTCACCATAGACTTTGGTCAATTTACAGTCCAATTCCACGGTATCGGAATGAATTTATAACCGTGATGTACTCGCGTTCACTTTTAGAAAAGACAGAAAGATACCAAAGAATCCACATATGTGATGTGAAAAAAAAAAAAAAAAAGGTCGAGAGGAAAAAACTGCAATCTTGAAATTTCATTATAAGATGTGCACGGCTTGTATTTAGATTTTTGTTCAGTTGATAGGAATTGTTATTATACTTGCCAAATTTAGGTTTCTTAATTTAAATCACAAGTATTATATAATTCAACATCAATCTATCCACTCTCATTTGACAACCAACCTCTCCAATATGGAGTGGTCCAATTCTAAAATGCTACAAATCGAATGCTCTCTTGTTCCTTTTATGGTCCATACTTCTAGGCTTCGATTACTCACTAGGATCATGGATTTAATCCATTATAGCAACAACACACACATACATGTATTTACTAAAAGATTTGAAGAAGAAAATATAATTATGACCAAAACGATCAATTGGCCCAGCGGTATCACCTCAGGTCCGTATCACCCCTTCCTCTGCCAAAGGGAGGTCGGGAGTTCGAACATCGGTGGAGGTAAAGTGTGTGTAATTACTTTGATTTCCAAAAACAAATATAATGATGAGAGATGCATCACAAGTCCACAAAGATTTGAACCCGTTACATAACATCTTTTGTACAAGTTAAAAAGAAGAGGCTTCAAAATTTAAAACATCCTCTGAATCTAAAATCCAAGTTAAGGGGTGCTAGCTACCCACAATTCCTCTACTGTGATATGTCGCATGCCCGTAAAAATCACTTATTATCACAAGAATGTCTCGACTCTTCACTGCGTCGTGTACATAATTAATAAAAAGAGAACATTAATCTCATGGTGAATTTGACGACAGAAAATGACATCTGCTAATATGTTAAATACGGCCCCTTTCTCGTTTCATGCCCTAGGCCTCTCTATTCTATAAAGTAACCAAAAACAAAAGAGGCTGCTGCCCCTTTCTCACCAACCTAAAGGAAAGCAGAAACAACTTTACATGATTTGATACAAAGCTCACCCTTTCACAAATATAGATGGCACCGATTAATTTGCTGCAGGAGCGACATGCACATTAGGCTGGTGTGGGGGGACCATCTCCCCCACAGGGGCGGCAGCATTTCTACGTTGCCGCTCACGAAGGTAAAGAACTGTTAGAAGGCAGACAAATAGAGTGAGTATTGTTGCATTTCCTTCTTCCATAAGAACATTCTCTACCCATGCTTCCACCTTTGGATATACTTCAGGCAATGAATCGATCATATCAACCTAGAACAAAATCCAAAATATATAAAAGGCACGACACTTTATGAATAATGACAGCCAAAATACATTTCCTTCCATAATATCAAGTATGAACTACAGAAAGAAAGAGACGGTCATTTCTAAAATTTAAACCACTCATAACATAATGGACATTTGCATAACCAGAATAAAACTTCCATAATCAGCAATCTATGGGTAAACCGAGGCATGCTTTTCCAAACAATCTGCAAGACTAACTGTTCTTCAAAGGGCAGCGAATCTACAGGCTTTCAACTACATGGAGTCCCTGACGAGGGAAAAAATAGCTATTTAACTTTCAGTTTCTTCTTCCCTCTGTTGGAAAGCAACTTCAATTTTTTTTATTGTTCCCTTCCATCATTCAGATCAATCTTTTGAAGTCAGAGACATCAGATGAGGGAAGCAACATGGTTGTAACAGGGACCACTGACCACTGAGCCTTCAGCTCAAGTGGTATCTCCTCCTCCTCTCACATAGGAGGTTGAGGGTTTAAATTTCCATTAGGGGCAATATTGGGTATGCGCAAGTTGGGCGTGTCAAGGTCTTGCCTATGAAAATGAATAAATAAACTGTTTGTAACAGGACACAGAAGACATGGCAATTAACATTAACCACACAAGTCCTCTGCATGGCAAGAAAATAGTGTAGGTCCAAGAAGTCTGAAAATGCAGACCCCAAACCTCATTTGTTGTAAGAATTATTATCCCACCAAATGAAACTAGCCATGAATTTCTTCTTTGTAAGGATATCATGAAAATTTGTGGGGCTAGAAGATGTGATAATTCTTCAACCACTAAAATCTAGGACTAGGAGAGTCATCAAGCACTTCTGCACATGTGATGAGTGAATAAAAAAAGTGAAACAAACTTTAAAAGTCCAAGGAGCAGTCAAGAGAGATCAAATTATTAATCCAATTCCCAAGTAGCCTTGGGAAACTATATTTTCACAATATCTAAGAGTGTTAGCATGCTTTAAAAAAGTAATGTTACTAGAAATAGGCCAGAATGCATTTTATTAAGTCTTTTGGCCACAGTTTGGGTCACTTGACACATTCGGTCTTTACATCGGCTTTACTCCAGATCTTCTGTCTAATAAGTTTAAGGTTACTTGATTTCTAATTTTTTTTTTTTTTTTTTTTTTCGGTGACATTAGAAATTGATTTGGATGTCCACCATTATAATAATTTGGCAGGTGCTGGTTTAACAAACTGGATTTTGATTGAACATTCCAATAGCTGCGTTGGGAAGTTGGTAGTGGCAACAACCTTAAAAGTCCAACTCTTTCAAAAACAAGAATCGTGAAGTACATCCAACCAGAGAACAATGGGATTTATGAGGAAATATGAAACCAGCAGGCCATCTCTTGACATGCATATGTGGCATTTTCACACTGGATAGAACAGTATATCTGGTTTGAAAATTTGCAATATTTTTCCATCTCATTTCTGCATTATTCTTGTAGGAATCAGGCAGATAGGCTAAACAAAGAAACTCACCAGGAAACTGTTGGCATAGTTCTTTCGTACCCACAAGCTACCAAGGGCCAGTGTTACGGGCAACTTTGCTGCAGGATCAATTTCTACCGCCTGATCATAGTAACGCTTGGCAAGATGAAGATCAAATGGAAGTCCTTGACCATGCTCATGCATGTATCCAAGATTGAACATGGCTTGTGCATTGGACTGTGATTTAGCATGCATATAAGCCTCTGCTGCCCGATCATAATCGATCTCAGTACCCTGAGAAATGGAACAGAATAAAACAAGATGAGGACTACATGGAATTCTACATGAGAGAGATTCAAGTGTGTCTCAAAAGCCATATATTTTGAACCCAAAGCATCCACATAACTTCATTTAGATAAACATACCCGACCATAGTAATATGCATCCCCAATCAGTAAAGCAGCATGTTCATTACCCTGCTCAGAAGCTTGCCACCACAAGGAATGTGCACGCTGATGCCTTTCTACATCCGTGCAAAATCCTGATTCTCCCATACACATACTATGTTCAGCATACTTGTCAAGAATCCATGCAGCATTACTTTGTGCCACCTCATAGCCCAACTCTGCCATCCTCGAGTACAAGAAGAATGCCTTGCCCAGATCACCTTTTAAGTACGATTCTAGTGCCCATCTAGACAAGGAGCTCCATGGCCCGCGCTCTGCAACTAGTTTGTACAACGCAGTTGCCTGCAACCCACCAGGACTCAACCATGATCAGATGCGTAGATATTAATCACTTTAAGAATATGCACAAAACCAACAGATATAAAATTACTAAATACTACATGTTAAACCAAAAACCAGCACACCTTAATCCCAACTATTTCAAGTCAGCTTCACGAATCAATTTATGATCCATAGGAGAACTAAAAGCTTCCACCCATAGGAATGTTATATTAATTATTCAATCAATAGAAAGTGTTTGTTATTTGTGGAACACTTGCAAGGAGTAAAAACACAAAACTGAGGTCAAGTGAATTTCTAAATTTTCGTTTCATCATCCCACTTACGTACATGCAATTTGTACACTTGCTACAGTAGTAAAATTGAAGAATACTAGACAATAATTCAGCCATGAAATTCTGGTAGATCATGAATGCAAGGAAGACCTATATTCACTTTTGTAGAGAGAAAACAAAAGGCTTTCACACACACACACACACGTATAGAAAGAGGAGAAGAACCATGGTAGAGGCATCGAGACCCTGTATACATATTTGAACAATTTTAACTGAATTAGTTTCTTTCTTTATTTAATAATATATAATTTCTTTTAAAGATTCAAAGGAGAGAATGTACAATGGGTATATTAAAAGCAAAAAATGTCAAGTAATACTAATATGATCAGCTCAAACTAAACAGCAATGGTGAAACATTTTTTTTTTTTTTTTAAAGTTACAACTAGTCTCACTATCTTTCACTGGAGCAGGCAACATGTGAATAGGTTGAGGTGGTTTGTTACCATACTTTCACTTTGATCACTTCCATTTGAAATTTCTACCACCAAACTAGACTCTTGTAAGAGATAAATATCTCGAAATACATGAGAACACGCCACAGTTGTCTCAAGCTACATCATCTCCTCACAAATGTCATTGATAAACAGTAGATGAGAAACCACTGAAGGATTCCATGCCACATTGCCCACCTCAAACCCCCACATGAAACCTCTTTTCAACTATTTGGCTATTTGCGACTCAACCTACTCAAAACCTTCATCATCATAATGAAAGGAAAGAAGAGAGGGCATCACCCTGTGCAACCCCAAGAACTCGTAAAATACCCAATAGAGCACCATTCACCACGATGGATAAACGCATAATATATTCTTTTTCCATTTCCTCCATTTCAAACTAAAGCCTATATGGACCAAAACATAAGGAAGCTTCATTTGACATTGTCATAAATTTTCAATGTCTGGTTTTCATATAGGCCCTAGCAATCCACTTCAAATCCTAGAATCCACATGCTACATGCATTAAGTCTAGAATCTGTTGCACCCAAGAAACGAGGTCTAATAATCCGAAAGGAACATGTCCAAGAATACCAAATTATAAGGAGATGCAGATAAAAGGTATAGCAACAGGGAAAAAGTATGTAGGATCAATTAATAACATAAGTTATTTCAATAAGTAAAAGCATAACAAACAGGAACGGGGGAAAATGATCCAACTAGACTTACCATATGAAGGTCCTTCTTGAGCCCCACACCGGTATGGAACATCTTCGCCAACTGATAAAAAGCCTTAGGTTGACCTACATTAGCAGCTTTTATAAAGTATTTACATGCTTGCTTCACATCCCTCTTTACCCCAATCCTTTTGAGATACATTACTCCTAGATTGTAATACCCGCCAGGTTCCTCATTATCAGCAGCTTTCTCAAAGTATTCTTTTGCCTGTAACAAAAAGTAATCAGGTTATTGTATGCACCCTAAAACTAACCTATTAGATATATCTAAAACAACACAAGTACCACAGAGGTGAAAAGCAATAGCAAAAATCTTCATACAAACTAAGCAATATCTCAAGTAGCAACTTTTCAATTATGCTGTTACTGATCCAACTTAATAAGAAGCCTGCTCACAAGGAATTATGTTAGAAGCTGGATCAATCAATCAAGAAATCTGTGCATGCATATTGCTTTGAATGAATAATCATACATGACTCAAAAAACCTAATTCTACTTATTTGTTATCAGTACAACGACACGCTTGACAAGAAGAGACTAAAAGACTTGCTGAACAACACTATGAAAGAAACCAACCTCAATGCCTACATGTAACATGTGTCACATTACTTTCTTTCCATTGCACTGAAAATTCAAACCTCAAATACATAATCCTTATTCTAAAACCTAGTACAAACATACTAAGGGAATACCAAGAACCTGCATTAATCCATGTTCTTGCTGTAAATCAAAGGATACCGGTATAAGAATTTTCCATCTGTAACAATCTATGAAGCATGGACATAGGTTCAGGACAAAATAGAAAAGTGAACAGACATTATCTTTAAAAATTAAGACGTATGCATGATGAGCGCACAGCAACAAAGTGCATCTTATACATGTTAGGTTCATAGGACTTATTTTCGCAAATTTCGTTCAAAAATTGCAATCTATATTTTTATTTTAGCTTTCGATTAGAATTCTCAATAATTAGTTTAGTTTGTTGTGTTACCTCAATCCAAGGGAAGATTTGGAAGTCAAAGCTACATACAACGGAAAAAATGTAATTGAAACTCCCATTATTGCACTCACCAATTAGGGTTCATGTTTTCATGCATTTATTCAATTACGCTTCTAAAATTTCATGATTATAATTTATATGTATAAAAATCCTTTTTGAAGTGCATGAACAAGTTTTTGGAATTTTCCTCAAAAAATCATAATGCTACAAGGACAGAGCTCTTCAATTTATTGGAGGACCCATCGAAGATCAATGGCCATATGTCAGTCAATAAACACATCTCTCAACAATGGATACCAGCAAAATTGAAATATGCATTTATACAATTAGGGCTTCTAAAATTTCATGATTTGATGTATAAAAATCCTTTCAAGTGCATGTACAAGAGTTTTGGGAATTTTCCTTAAAAAATCCTAATTCTACAAGGACAGGGCTCTTCAATTTATTGAAGGATCCATTGAAGGCCAATGGCCATATGTCAGTCAATTAACACATCTCTCAATGATGGAGACCAGCGAAATTGATTTCCAAATAAAACTGAATCTCTTTTGAACCTAATCTTTATGGATCTCTAAGTACTATATAAAGACCCCTTTGTCTCCAGAAAACCTCAGAAGAGCATATTAAGGCAATAAATGAGAGCATAAGGAGTGCAAGCTAGCAAATTCATATTGCTAGTTCTTATTTCTTTCATACATCATTATTGTATTAGATGGTGAGTGTAGGTCGCATGTGCTGGGCATCTAATTTTCTATGCTATCAGAAGATTCAACACCCAGGGTTCAACCACATAAAGAAAACAAGCTTGAATGACTAGCCATGGAGATCAAAATTCTGAAGGAGAAATGGATGAAAACGGCAAGGGCTTGACTGTAGAGTATTGCGTAAGTTGGCTCAAGGGTAACTAGGAAATTTGTTAGGTTTAGGAATCTTGTAGCCTAGTTCTAAGTTATTTCTCGTAGAGGATTCAATCCGCTAGGACTAGGTCATGAGATTTTTCTCCTTGGCGTTTCCAGGTAAAAATCTGTGGTTGCATCTTTTGGTTGATTGCTTTACTCTTGTGCCTTCACAAGCATATAATCATGAGGAATGGCTTTATTTACTTACTTTCTAGTTAGATAACTTTTGAATTTATGTTATATTTGTCTAAATTAAAATAATAATAATAATAATAATAATAATAATAAAAATACTAAATTAGTTTTCAGGAAAACTATTGACCTATTCACCCTCCCTCTAGGTCTAGATCACAAGTCACGATCTTGTGCAGAGTGCCTAGGGTTCAGTCCCTAGATTTCTCAATACTTAAAGATTATATGATATAGAGTAAAATAAAATTTGCCTAGTTATGACAACAAATTTGTAACTAGTGGAACATAATAATCAATAAACACTTGTGTCACATGGAAACAACATAAAACTGACATCTCTATCCATAATTGCATGTTCATCTACATAGATAAGCATATGTGTAAGTAAACATAAGTATACTACTCTATTTTCTCTTCCCATGCCAAGTCATTTGATATAACCTTCTTATATCTTACTTTTCTTTTAAAATATGATCAAAATTTTTGTAATTTTTCAATAAATCTTTAATTTAATTTTTCAATACAATTATACTTTTAACAATTCTAGAGAGAAGTTATAATATTTAAGAAGTTTATTTCTAAAACTATAGAAAAATCAAAGATGTGTAATACACATGTATGGAGTGACCAATAAATGTCAATGTCCAGAACAGACACTCCTTAGAATGTTCCATATTTCTTCAGTGATAATTAAAGCTCTTGGAGGACAAGAGAATATGATAATTTGCCATGATGATGCCTAAGGAAATCTAGCTAAAGTCCTCAACAAATCTTTTTCTATGCTCTTTACAATGATAATGAGAAAAGAAAATTGTAAAAAAAGGGTCATTACCCAGTGAAATCCCTGTTAATAGAGGGCATTGGTAGGGTAGACTGAATACAAACCTAACATTTGGGATTAAATACACAAAGCTGCTCTTACAATGTAAACCCGCATTCTCAAGCTTAACAACTCAAGCAATTTAACAGTGCACTAAGCAATGACCCCAAGCTTGTGAAAAAAAAAAAAAAAAAAGGAAAAAGAAAAAGAGAGAATATATGAATGAGAGGTGAGCAGAAGGTCCACCCTCCAAGAATATAATAATAATAACAACAAGAACAATAATCAAACTATTGAAGAACAAGATCTGGCAGCAGAAATGCTGCTAACCATAAATGAAGCCATCCCAATTACCCTATATCAATCCTTATAAATGATTTAACACCGTAACCCTCTCAAGCAGTTGATGTATATACATTGTAAACATTTGAACTAACATCGTAATCTATTCCCTGCTTTTATATACGGTATACAATTTATCATTGATTGAAAAACACGAGTTGGGGAATATGAATTTGTTATCATAATCCTTTTGATCTTGTGATCATGATATTGTAAATTTTTACTGAACATTAAGAAACAAGAAGCACAAAGTTAAGTTACGTGTTTTTACTTTAAATATAGCATCCTACAAGAATGATGATTAATACCATCTCCCATAATTTTACCTTTCTTCTTAATAATTGATTATATTATTAGTCCAAATGATAAGATACAAATCATACCACCACACAAATAAAAATGAAAAATACAGCCCCAGCTCACCCTGACATTTCTTTTATAGTAACCAGCCAGCCATGTTTTACCTTTAAGAAGGGAGGAAGAACAAATGGAAAGATGACGGGAGAAATCCAGAATGAAAGAGTGATGACAAGAATTGGAGTTGCAAAGCAAACAATCCACAAATTTAAATCATTCAGTGATTTGCTAAAACGATATGTTACTTGTTTTCAGGAACAGCCTAAAAATGCTTCATTAAGAGCCTCATCAAGCCTCCCTGACTATGGAACTCTGTACTGGTAAGCATTTCTATGAGACCCAGATGTTGGTTCTCTTTTAAGGGCTTTGGTGACAAATGCAGGCCACTATTTTCTATGCTTCTATTTCTAAGATTCATCCATTGTGCCCCTTACTTTGGTTGGACCAATTTCTTCTTTTCACTTCCTCCCCATTAGCCAAAAAAGAGCCGGGTAATGTCGTCTCCAACACATTAAAATGTTTCATGGATTGCAGCATCACACTGTGTTTAACACCAAGCTTTTTTAAGAAATATACTGTCGTTCATCTTTCAGTATTCAGGAACAATTTTGCTGTTTAAGTATTGTTAAGGCAAAGAATAAGAATATTGAGATTAAAACCTGTTGAAGGGGTTAACAAATCAAATTTACAAGTTCAATATTCTTTTTTCTACCATTAATTACATCGCAATATTCCCAAGTAATAATAATAAAAAAAATTAAATAGATAATTAGTGTGGAAGTTTTTACATCTAAACACACACACACACACTGATAAGTTTTATTATTATTATTATTATTATTTATAAGTACACACACACTAATAAGTTCATCTGAATATATGGAAACAGGTATCCATAATTAACTAATCAGGAGGAGTAGCTCTAATCATTACGGCCAGTAATATAGGAAGAGGGGGAGGAAAATTAAGGAGATTAAAAAGATGTAAATAATAAAGAAAACACAAGTAGACTAAATCAAGCAAGCATAAGAAAGCCAACACATAACATATAATATGAAGAAACATGCAAAACGGCAACATACATATATATATATATGCAAAGAATTAAAATGATCTTGCCTTGGTGTTGTTCTTCTCCACTCCATAGCCCTTGACATACATATACCCCATCCCGTTATAAGCTGAATAAAGATGTTGTCTGGAGGCAAGTTTGAACCACTCAAATGCCTTAGTGTGATTTCTCTTAACTCCAGCTCCTCTTGCATATATCTCCCCGAGAAGCTCCATTGACCTCGGCTCGCCCTTCTCCACAGCCTTCGAAAACCAGGACAATGCCTTTGCATGATCACGCCTCACTCCTCTCAATCCAAAGTAGTAAAATATTCCAATTTTGTACATTGCTGCGGCATTCCCTTTCTGTGCCTGATATTCCAAGATCTGGAAGTCCTCATCCTCCTCCCCTCGTGATTTTCTTAGAGCGTCCTTATTCTCCTCTGCACCACTGTGGATCCTAACCGGTTCAATCACTGGTGAGTCCTTAGAAATCAAGAAACTATTAACTGCTATTTCCGCTAATTCAGCATACAGCTTAACTGCTTTTTCATACATCTGCAGTCGAACAACATATGGCCATTTATCAAACTATAACCTACATAAAAGAAGAACAATAATAGGAAACTGGTAACTTCCACAATCTTTCTATATGTAGGGATTTATATTAATCAAAGAATGGGCTTCGTTTTTGCACATTTAAATTTCCATAAACCAGAAATTTTGAAATTTCTACAAGAACCTTCTGCCACATTGTTTAAGTAATAGAAGGAACAAAAACAAATTGATCTAAGATTCATTATTTGCTCCATGGAAATATATCTAATGCAATTATTTAGCTATACAGCAGTTAAAATTTTAACTTCTGGAAACCAATTGAATATAAAACAAAAGTTCATAAATCTATCAACTTTCATTCCCAGTTTCTCAGAAACTGAATTAAAGGAAGTATCAACACCAAGCATCCATACATCATGAAGAATAATTTGGCCTTTTTTCTTTTTCATAAGTTTCTAAACACGTTCGAATTTATCATACAATTCCACAATCTAGTGTTCCCATACGTCGCAAAAAATTAATATCTAGAAATAGTGTTCCCAAACATTTAAAAATTTGACCTCCTTCCAATAATTTGTAGATCTAAATTCACCACCATCAGGGAAAAAAAGAGAGAGAGAGAGAGAAAGAAAAAGAAAAAGAAAAAGAAACAAGAACAACAAAAAGATATCCACAGTTATAACATACATACATCAAAAGAAATCGAACTAAACTTTTTAACAATTTCAGATTTAGGGTTCATAGACCTAAGCACGTATACATACATATAATAAACCAACAAGAAATAAATTCACCGTACATTCTGCCGGGAGTAAGTATACGCGCTGACCATCTTCGACTGCATATTACCACCATCGGCCGCAAAGTAATGATACGCAAACGCCTTAGCTCCGTTGCGTTCTCTCATCATCCCCATATCATACAGAAACCCCAACACAGACTGCGCGTGTGTGTGCCCTGCGGCCGCCGCAGCCTCGATCTCCGCTGCCGCCGCCTCCATCATCATCGGGTCACCGGAACTCACGGCGTCCACCATCTTCCTCACGCCCGAGTAGTAAAGCGCCTCGTCTTCGGTTGTCGGATCGGCCGTCTCGGGCTCCGGCTCGAAGATCGGGCGCCACGAGCCCGGGTCGAGCTCGTCCTCGGGCACGGCGTCGGAGTCGCCGAACTCGTCCCACTCGGCGGAGTCATTGGCGCCGGTGGGGTCGCCGTCGGCGGCTGAGGCGGCGGCGTCGGTGAGGTCGTCCTGGGTTAGGACGAGGACGAATGGGCGGGCGAATGCAGAGAGAGGGAGGAGAGAGAAGATCAGAAGGGCGTAGCAGAGTTTGCTAATTCTTCGTTGTGGGTGTCGCATTTTTCTTTCTCTCTCTAACAGGTGTGTATATTGTATACGTATATGTATATCTACCATCTGACTCTCTCTTGTTCGGCTTTGGTGACCTGACCGTGAATTAACCAATGTTTGAGCAAGAGATAGAAAGAGGTGTTATAGAGTGTTATTACATGTTTATTGGCCACGTCAAGTGTAGCCCACTTTTGCCAATTAGAAGTCGCCACGTCATCATATGACCCCTTTGATTAAACCATATTTTCTGCAACAAAATTTATGCATGGAAAAAAAAATTATGTATGGAAAAAGGTGAGTTGGATATCGTGTTCGTCCCTTTAGAATGTTGAGAAACAATAACCCGTTATTACATGTTTCGAACAATTTTAATTTCGAAATATTTGAAAGCCATCAGTGGCCCCTAAATGGGTTTGCGATTAGTACAGGAAAATAATTAAAAATTTAAAGCGAGTTTAGGTAAGAATGAATTTAGTAATGACCCACAGCACTATTTACTAATTTAAAATTTTTATATTCACTACTTACTCATTTAAACTCTGGGCCAACTTCGCCACATTCAAATCATGTACCCAAGTCACTGGAATTTTCTCTTTTAGCTCATCCTAACCATTACCTTCTCTTTTAGCTCATCCTAACCATTACCGTCTAATGCACTATTAAATCATCAGTTCATCAAATCATGTACCCAAGTCACCGAAATTCTCTTTTAGCTCATCCTAACCATTACCATCTAATGCACCATTAAAGCATCAGTTCATCATCGTATATCACTCACGCAACACACTACATCACATCGTCATGCAACATAAATTGTAAAATTAAAGCTGTTGCATTAAAGATTTATAATTGTGTTGTTATTTTAAAGTTGTTGCATTAACATTTCAAAAATATTGCATTGGAACTTCAAACTGTTCAGGGAGGAGCTTGATCCCCAAAATCACTTATCTTCATTGAGAGAAACCGTGTAAAGGACCTAATGATTTAAACTACTGGGTATGATATATTTTTTTGTAGTTACAAGGCTTTTGTCGTCGATGTCTAATGAACACAACCACAATATATATTTTATACATACAATATCATGCATTTCTCATGATCATTTTTTACAATACATCTACCTACTAACAATATAATTAGGAAGGAGATCCCTTGGAAAAGTCATATATCAGACTAAAAAATATCAAATTTACATGCCAAATCCATCATAACTCAAGGATAGTCGTCCTCAACATCGGATAGCAGCCAAGAGAGGTACTCGGACCCCTGATTCAGAATAGAATCAGAATTACTTGGTGGAATAACCCTCTTCCTTGTAAGACTCTCTATAGTCGGGCACTTCCTCTTCCGTCCACCCCTTGGCCTCAGTCGGAATTGTTCATCAGACTCGTCAAAGTCCCCCTGAACCAAAGGCAATTGCACATCCCAAACATCATTTCATTTTCTCACCAGGTTTGGAAAAAGAATGTTACCCTTATAGAGACGCAAAATCTGTCATGTAACAGCATTAAAGTGACCGATAGATTCGAGCAACTTACACGAGTATAGACATGTAACGCAGATTTCTCATGGTTATCTCTCACGTGCTTGAATGGAAATCTCATGCCACACCCAGGAATGCTGCAGGCAAAAGGTTTGAGTTCAAAGTGTACAGCTTTGACGTGTTGACGGAGATTTGATTTCTGCACACATATATTAAGTGAAAAAAATATCAGTAAAAGCAAATTGATATTTAACTGCAATTTCTTCTTCTGACAACCATATAACACAACTCGGCTTTCATCTCATATACTTGTATAGTTAGCACCATTTGGCTAACAAATTAGAAAAACATTTCTTGCTTTTGAGGTAGAAATTTATCTGGTTTCACATAAAAGCAAGAAAAACAATTATAAATATATTAACTATAAATTATTACATAGGTTACTATTAAAATTCTTGCAAGGGTATTTGTGTCTTACAGTTGAAAATGTGTGTTGGCAGCCCTTGAAGTTGCATTTCATTCTCTCAGATGACCCCCCTGATTCATGCATGCGAAGGTGCCGCTTGATGTTCTTCTTCAGCTGCTTGGTCCCGCATACCTCGCAGGTTATATGGACGTGGCAAGACTGGAGATGGGCCTTGAGGCATTCTTCGTTACTAAAATGTTTCATACAGCCTGGTTCTGAACAGAATACCTCCACTGTATCCAACTTAACTGCAAGAGCAATGGTTGTCATCGGAGCTTTCAAATGGAGTCCACCACTCTCATATAAGGAGTGTAGATAGCGTATATCAATTTACATCTCTTAAGTTATTGAAAAAAGAATATAAAAGAATTGGTGAGGACAGCAACTTGCCATGTGAATTTTCATGTGTTCGCAACTTTGATGCATATTTGAACACCTTGCCACACCCAATTTCTTGGCAGATGTACTCTTTCTGACCTTCAACATTGCTGGAGGGAGACTCCTCATCGTGAAATTCCTTCACATGCCTCTTCATGTTGCCTTGGAAAGTGAATCTACGGTTGCAGCTCTTAGCAGGACACTGAAACAGTTTCCCCTGGTGCTGAAGAAGATGACGGGTCAAGTGATCTTTTCTTCGGTAACTGGAATGGCAATCCTCCACTTGGCAAATAAATGGCCTCTGTGACACGATAAGAGTATAACATACAGTAAATGACGATATCAGAACTAAATTCCAACACACAGATGAAAAAAAATAAAAAACCTTCAAACCTCCAGACTGAAATAAGCGTGATTGAGGCTCACTTGATGGAGCTTCTCAGGAGGTCCCCCTACCTGGTACTGATCCATTCAAGGTAGATATTGCTGCCTCTCGCATTTTGGAGTTCATTACATGGGATCCAATGCTTCACACGACTACATCCGTTGATTTTGAAAAATTATTTTAATCATTCAAAATACCTTCAGACCTGCAAGATCATATAGTTTCAATTGCTGCAAGTAGTGATTAAAAGAACTAATAACTATATATTGAAAAACTTCAGCCTAGAACTTCAAAGAAAATTATAACATTCCAAATCTCATCATTCATGAGATAAGCAAAGGAACCCCAAAAGCCTATGGTTCTTTTACCAATACTATGTCTATGTTAAGATAGATCTAACAGTTTAAAAACTATATGATACAGTTAAAAACGTTTCTATCATGTTTAACGCAGACTACTCCATAGACGAAGGGGCCGTAGATAGTATTCTGAAAATCAAACATGTTACAGTATTAAGGTTTTCTCCTATACTATCTTTTGGAACATGTTTGTACATATTGTATTTGCTTATCTGAAAACTAATAAAAATAAAATCATAACCCTATTTGTAATCGGTTATAATCTACAGCAAATCCTTTCTGTTCTAAATTGAATACATAATGAGATTTCCTCCATTAAGTGCAGAACAAAATGCCATAGATAGAGAATCCGAAGCATACAACACAGACCTTTTTGCAAAAACTACTACTTTTTTCATAAACTACATCCATTATATAAAAGCTTATATATGAACTCTACAGCCGAGGATCTTCTAGAAACCATCCAACAAAAAAATGAGTGAACACAGAAATAACATAGTAATGAAAAAAAAAAAAAAAAAAAAAAAAAAAGCACCTGGCCATAAAACTTGAACGGTACAAAACCCAGTTTAGTCCAGACTCAACCTTATAGAATTCCAAATGTTGAACTAAATAAATATTACCTCAAAATATATTGAACAAAACAAAGAATAAAATGAAAATAAATAAATAAACGCTTAGAAAAATAAAATTACCTCAAGTGAGTGGCTTTGCATATGCTGCTTCAAATGAGCAGGTTTCTGAAAACTGGCACCACAATCTTCACACGTATTTGACTTTGCTCCCTCGCTTTCACCTTCTTCATCTGCTACTCGCGCTTTCATTTCATCCTAATTGATAAAACAATCACATAAATTAATAAATAAAATAATAGAGAAAAGCAAAAGAATTGATGAAGAAAAGAGAGCGAGAGATGGAATGGAAAAGGAAAGGAAAATTGACCTGGTGAACGGAAAGTATGTGAGAGGTAATAAGGGACTTCTTAGAGCGAGAGATACCACAATAGTCGCAGTTGTACCGCCTTATATCTCTGAAGATCGGCGTAGGCCTCCCTTCTTTCGTCTCTCCTCCTTCTTCCATTCGATTTTCAAACTTCCAGATATATCTATATATACATATATTCAACGGCGAACGATCGTAAATATGCCGGCTCTTGGCCGTTGAAGATCGTCAGCTCTTAATTGTCTGATATTGGCAGTAGAGTGTGGTTGAGGGCGGCGATGAGGGTTTGGGAGGACTGGAGGATCGTGAATAGGGAGCGGCGTGTGTACTGGTTTATAGTAACCCTAGCAGATCTGTATACTTACCTATTACGAGTATATATCTAGGGGCACATTTGGTAATTTGGTAGAGGGCAAGGGTACAAATTTGGGGTGCGAGTTGGGGGTACTTAACCGAGCAACTAAGACCCGCCCGAAAGTGTCATGAGAAACAAGCGAGGGATATTTGAGACGATCTACTGGATTGGGGGGTTTAGTTTTGGACGGAATTTGAGTTAAAGTTTTTATTAATTGGAAGAAGAAGTACAAGAAAAATTTATAATTTTATATTATTTGTACAAAATAAAAATTAGATGATTTATAATATGATATTAAACTAATTTTGACACACTTTAAAATTTTAAAGTAACAACATATTAATTGAATTTTAGTTAAAAAAACAAATTTGTAAAAATAAAAGATTTTCAGTTCTTTTTAATTTTAATACCAAGGAAACCTGTCAGCACCTAGCAACTTAGCAAGTCACACTTTTATTGAAAGAAGTATTTTGTAATGTTTATTTATTATATGGCTTCTTTTTTAAGGGATTTGGAAAGCTTTAAAATATCACTTTTGTTTTAGGTTTCTGTTTATTTGGATGTAAAATAAATTTTTATCTTTCAGTGTTTGATTGGTTTAAAAAAAAAAAAAAACTTACGTAACTATTTTCGACAAGTTATTTTATATACCTCGTCCAATGGATTAGTCTTTAACCTCAACTTAAACCTTTACGAAACATAGAAAAAATAAAAATAAAAACATTTTACCTAAAAAAAATATATTTTCCAAAAAAATATTTGATGTCAAAATAAATGAAGCCTTAATGATTTTTTTTTTTTTTTAATTACAAGAAACACTTATACATTCACTTTTTACACCCATGAGACTTAGAAGTATTAATTTTCTACTTTAAAAGATGATTAGTTACTGTAGATCATAAGATTTTACTTTGATTTGAATGATGATGCTTAGCACATTCTTTATATTTTGTCTTTCTTTCTTACTTGAATATTTAATCATTAGATATGATATTTAATCATTAAATATGACACTTTCTTTATATTTTGTCTTTATTTCTTTTTTGTATATTTAATCATTAAATATGAAAGGTTCTCTAGGGGTAAATTTATTTAAATACATATATATATATATTTTCTTTCCTTCATACATGATTAAGTGCTTGCTGCATTTGCGTTGGCCACATAGTAGAGTCGACTTTTCATAATCTTTTAAATTATTGGGGAGGTTGTAGAGTGTTAAGAGATTCTCAAATATTGTATTATAACAACATTTTAGAATATTGCAGAGATTGCGGAGATTTGTAGTGTCTTAGATATTTTTATAAGAGTTAGAGACTTTTGTAGGGAGATTATTGACATTAAATCATATTCATTGATTGTAAAACATAATGTTTATAAATAGGTGAAGTATCATTTGTGTTAATCACAAAAGTGCATTTAAAATTTAAAGGCGGGGCATAAATGTTTTAGGTATAATATATTTATTAATCATTTGTTAATGTTACTCTCCCAACTAAGAACTCCACGTCGGTTAATCTTGATTTCGAGTATAGACCTACCTTATTTTGAATTTTTTTAAAAGTGGTTTCTTTGTTATATAATTGTGTTTACTCATAGATTTGAAATTGGTACCAAAATAATAATAATAATAATAAATAAAATAAAAATATTTACCAAAATTTACTGCAATATTGACATCGACTCCTCCTTCTTCTACTCTCCCACTCCCACGGTGTGAGAGAGCTAAGCACACCAAGAAGGACTTCTGTTTGAATAAAGTTTTTATTAATTATAAGAAGTAGAAGTACAAGACAAATTTATAATTTTATATTATTTGTGTAAAATAAAAATTACATGATTTATAATATCATAGATATTAAACTAATTTTGACACACTTTAAAAATTTTAAAGTAACAACATATTAATTGAATTTTAGTTAAAAGAAACAAAATTGTACAAATAAAAGATTTTAAGTTCTTTTTAATTTTAATACCAAGGAAACCTGTTTGCACCTAGCAAGTCGCATTTTTTATTGAAAAAAGTTTATTGTAATGTTTATTTATTACCATCCATCCTTAGCCTTGGCTTCTATTTTAAGGGATTTGGAAAGCTTCAAAATATCACATTTATTTTGGGCTCCGTTTGTTTGGACTTTGAATGTAAAATATATTATTATTTTTTAATATTTGATTGTTGTAAAATATTTAAGAAAAAAAAAAAAAACTTACATATCAATTTTTGACAAATTATTTTACATGCCCAATTCGATGGACTCGTCCTTAACCTCAACCAAAACCTTTATCAAATATCGAAGAAGGAAAAATAAAAAAATATATTTTAACTAAAAAAAAATATTTTTCAAAAAAAATATTTTATGTCGAAACAAATAGAGCTTAATGATTATTTATTTTTTATTTTTATTTCTTTATTTATTTATTTTTTTAATTATAGAAACACTCACACATTCACTTTTTGCACCCATGAGTTAAAGTATTAATTTCTACTTTAAAAGATGATGAAGTATATATCATAAGATTTTACTTCGATTTGAATGATGATGCTTAGCACATTTTTTATATTTTACTTGAATATTTAATCATTAAATATGACACTTACTTTATGTTTTGTCTTTATTTCTTATTTGTATATTTATTTATTAAATACGAAAGTTGTAGAAGTAAATTCATTTATATATATATATATATTTATTTATTTCTTTCCTTCAAACACAGTGCAAACTGTAATTGCGTTGGCTTACGTAATAGAGTTGACTTCTTATAATCTTCTAAAAAATGGAGAGGTTGTAGAGTGTTAAAATATTCTCAAATATTATATTGTAATAACATTTTAGAATATTACAGAGATTGCAGAGATTTGTAGTGTATTAAATATTTTTATGACAGTTTTGTAGGGATATTCTAGAGATTAAATCATACTAATTGATTGTAAGGCATACTCATTGATTGTAAGGCATAAAGGTTTATAAATAGGTGAAGGTATCATTTGTGTGTGTAGAGTTATCACAACAGTGAACTTAAAATTTAAAGACAAGGCATAGATTATAAACTTGCATGTTTTCGGTAATGTGAAAATTTTAAGAGATTATTTATATTGAGAGATGTAATCACAATTATAAGAATAGTGACTAATTTTACTCTCCTCGTTCAAGTACAGACTTACCTTATTTTGAATTTTTTTGAAAAATGGTTTCTTTGTTTTATAATTGTGTTTACTCATAAATTTGAAGCGGTGCAAAAAACAAATAAATTAAAAATAATAAAAATATTTACCAAAATTTACCGTCACGGTCACACCTACGAGATAGACGATAAAAAAGGTGTGAGATAGCTGAGCACACGGAGAATTCAAAATGAGGGAGGTTCACCATTGCTTGATGCCTGCCACCACTGCAGTTGACAAGAGGGATTGAGGTCTAAGTTGAACAAATTTACAAACTCCCTCAACCACGAGGATTCAATAAAGCAAATTGGGCGGCCTGAAACTTGCTTGATCAACAGCTTGACGAACAGTATCACAAGAACTTCAATGGTTATGATTAAGAAAGAACCCATGCATTTCTGGCTTTCTCCATTTGCAAACCAAAAAGCTAACAAATATCTTCTGCATTTTCACTCATTTCCTAAGCATCCGGTTCCACTGAGATAGCCACCATCGACCTTGAAAGGTATCAAAATCAATTTCAAGTGTAGCCTTTCCATTTTACTGTTGGCATGAATGAATGTTAGCACTCGTTAGTTTGACATTATCATCCCAAACTTCAAAAACAAGACAATAAGATTGAGTGTATTTACTAAGTTACCGATTATTACATGCTTCCAACTAAGAAATAGTATATATGTATTTAATGACAGGACAATTTCCACAAAAAATTCCCAAGGCACCAATGCTCTCATCAACCAAACTGTTGGGGCTGAGGAAAGTTCATTGAAATTTGTTTGTCATTCATTATTCATTAAAAAAATAAAGAAAAACTTATCCAAATAAGATGACATGATTTATACCAATGGGCCAGCACTTACCGGTTACTTTACCTCAGTGAACTAGTGAAGGCATGAGTGTACCAACTACCAACTAACCAAAAAAAAAAAAAAAAGACATGATTTATTTATTGAAACATGAATCAGCATCCATTCAAGATCCAACCCTCCCTAACATGACGTGCACAAGTCATGGTAATGACTTATGAATTAAGCAATAACGTGCTGCTTAATTGAGCTTAATTCAAGCTGCTAGACTAATAGACCTCCTTAGGTTTTACCCAACAATATTAGAATGCATGTGATAATATATATGCACATACATATACATAGAGTTGTATATCAGGGCCAACACATTGAAAAATGTAATTAACGCACTAGAAAGGTCGAGCCAATTCGACCTCATTTCAGACTTTCGTGTTTGATCTCTTCTACTACTCTTTCATGGAGTATCTTTTTTTACAAAGATGGTACGACTGCAATACTCAGCACCGTAAACCAAGGAACAGAAGGTTCAATGTCTCAAAATAATTATCAATGCGAAAAATTAATGTCAAAAGAAAAAGGAGCACAAAACTTCAACTCAATGCTTGAGTTACAATTCGAGCGTAAATACACATAAGAGGAACAAAATCGGACTATACGTACAAACTCTTGCAATGAATATAAACCATAGCAGCTAAAATCGTTACCAGGTCGCAAGAATTTCTCCTCAAATCCACCTCAGGATGCCCTCTGACAAAAGGAAGGCATTGTTGTCTTTGAGACTTTGGAGGCATAGGGCATGCTTTAAAATTTCAAAATGGGCCCTTCCCATGTAGAGAAACTAAGAACGGCTTGAAAGAAAGAAATGTTTCTGTGGTCCAGCCATGCTGAAGCGTGCTTACACTTCAATCGCCTATTGAAACAGCTTTCTTAACCTGTCGGCAGAAAGAGATGCTCTTTTGTTTGTTGGCTCGAGAACAAGTGCGTATCTGAAATCTGTAGGATCAAACAACCATCACTCCATTAACTTAAGAAAATGGGACCAGATAAAAGCAAGACGTGCCCTTGACACGATGACCAATACAGTTTCCTTGGAATAGGCAACTGGGGATGGGGGATGAAAACGGCATTCTAGCTTCCCTTGGAAACAAATGCAAGCATGCAGTTTTACTAGCAACATGCCTAAGCAGCTTACTGCCCAATATTAGCTTGACATGTTAAGTGACTAGACCTATTCCTAAAGAAACCTCACAAATTTCTCCCCTAAAATGAAGGAAAATAGAAAAACTAAATCTCAACCTGTACATGTTAATATTTTTCCCCACTTCCTATTAGAAGTTATTGTAAAACTATTTCAAGTACACTATAATTTTCAAATCAATCTGAACTCAGAAAAATTAGCACTCTTTTTCTTATATGCCAAATGTGGAAGACACATGGCACAAAAACAGACAGTACATTATTAAATTAGTAAACATACAACTTTTAGCCTCACCTTCAATTGCCTCTCTGTAATAGCCAAGCATCTCTCGAGCAGTGCCTCTTCTTAAATATGCCTTGACATTCTGTTGTGGGTTGGAAAGCAGAAACAAAATTGTTTTTAATATGAATGGTTAATCACAGCACAGAATAAGAAGTGTGCACTGATAACAGATTTATACTAGAATCTAAAAAGTAACTCCTAGCAAAAATAAGACTAGTATCAGGCACAAGACTATTTGCTCAAGACATTAGACACTCTTTCTCCAATAGTTTTATTGACATGAAATCAAGTGGATTGCAAATGCGCCTGAAAATTGCACATGCATATACTCTCTAGAAAGTTCTAAACATTCAGAACAATTTTTTTCCCAAGTAGTTGGGAAAAAAGGCTTTGTTTGTTGTTGTAAGAAAATTAAATTAACCCAACAGAAATTACCATTGTGCAACTAGTGAACATGGTAGTTGGAATCACAAGTAAACAAATTGGCAACTTATTCTAGAAAACACATGCTCTTTGCAGGCTTTAGAATCACAGAAAATAAGTTTATAGTTAAGCCATTATCCAGTGTCAATCCTGCCTAAGCAAGGAGCTGCAAGGAAAAGACTGATATAGACCTATCCTGTGGCACAAACAAAATTCGAGCCTCCATTTTGGATCAAAAGCTCCAGAACTTCAAAAAAATGGTAGTCTTACTTTACTTGGTTTCAGATTATTTTGATTTTTCCAATTTGACTAAAAACAAATATAATGTGTGATATTAGATCTATAGACCCTTGCAGTGGCCTAAAATTAGCACCAAACAGAAGTCAATATATAACAGAATTGCTTATTGAGAATGAAATCACCTTCTTATCAAGATCGATGGCTTTAGTACAATCTGCTTCAGCTTGGTGGAAGCTGGATGAACAAAAGAAAACCTGTCAAACACGTTACACATTATTTGAGGCAGTAAACTCCCAAGAAAGTAAACAGTACCTTCCCAATTCTAGATATGCCGCAGCCCTGTTACTATAGTATGTTGCATTGTTGCCCCTGAGTTTAATAGCTTCTGTATAGAAGCTGATGGCCTTCTGCCACTGTTTATCTTTGTATGCTTGGTTACCCTAATTTAAAGAATCAGTAAACAGAAGATAATAATGAGAAAATGCATGAAGTGTATATACAAGGAAAAACACACAGCACTTGAACTCAGGCTTTACTGGCATTTTCTAATTTTCTTTCCATAACAGATTGAACATTTTTTCCCCTTTTCTTCTTAGGGTATCTCCTATATCCTATCTCGTGTTTCTCTTACAGAACATGAGCCGAAAAACAGAAGAGCACGTCAGATTGGCATTAAAAAAATACTAGAAGCCAAAAGAAAAAGGAAATGATGCCAATTTGTTCCCAACCAAAAACGGAAGGAAAAAATAAATAAAAATTGTAGACTATAATGATAACAGGTACATGAAATGCCATTCTCATATTTGAGTTTGACCACATATGTGCACACCCAACTCATATCATAACTCTCAGAATGATGCAATTAATCCTGATTGAGAATAGGAAATAACAAAACCTAGCAAAAAAAAAAAAAAAAAATTACTATACCTAGAACTCAAACACTCCTATCCTTTAAAATTACTAATGTATCATAAAAATTTTTATGTGTGCAATAGCTAGAGAATTGCTATCCCCTTGTTATTGCTCCTGCATCATTGATCACCTCCTATTGCTGATGATGTTAACAGAAAGAATTTGTTGCAGATACTTCTAGAAGGCAACATTTTCTAAATGGAAATTTTAATTGGTCATGTTGAATCCAAAATCGAGAAAATGAGAAATTTTGTCTCACGAATAACATCAGAATTATAAAAGAACGATACCTCAAGTGAATTACAGAAACTAAACAAAACTATGTAGTAGATCCAATACAAGCCATATTACAAAAATTATCCAAACAAGCTACAAAGATATAAATATTTACAGAAAAAAAAAGAAGAAAGTAGTCAACCTTTTCTTTAGCAGTCTCTGCAGATGTTTCTTGGCTGAAACTTTTACTAGATAATTTGGACTTTGCCGCTATATCAGCCTGCTCCTGTAGATTTGCATACATGGTCTGCAAAGTATCTAATAAAAACCTGTCACCCCCATGCCTTGCAATGAGGGACAAGGAAACAGGGCACCTATCATGTGATCCCAGCGGTACAGTGACCTACAGTGAAATGATAAAAGAACATAGAAAATAAAGAGCAGTATGAGTTTATTGTTCCACAAGAAATAGACCAAAGATTTAAAAAAATAAAAAATAAAAAAATAATAATAATGTAGGATATGTAAATTTATTTCGCCTTACTGCACCAGAGAGAGGAGATCACCTGACAGCAACCTGATATGCTAGCTAAACTCAACAGACTAGATGCACGGATCAGATAGTCCTCTGAGGAGATCTCCTTCCCACCAAGTTTTGGAGGAGGATCGGCAATTGTAGGGATTGCTAAAATTCCGTCATCCTGTCCAAATCACAGAGAGAAATAATGAAAAAAATTATCTAGTATGTAAGAAATTCCACAGCATAACGACAACACACTTCCTATGGAACTTTTAAGTTAATAGAGTTGGACACTCAATTCTAAAACAGGTGTAGTGCCAAAAAAAATATCCATTACACTAATAGTCAACTGAGAGAAGTGCCCTACATATTGGTAGTAGCTGATGTGTCATTTGGCTGTTAGCTAAAACAATTGGTAGTTAGGCCCACATAACTTAGCATTCAAAGGAGACAAGGAACACATATTTTGTTAAAGATAAAAATTGAACTTATGCAAGTATATATTTCGAGAATAATAAAAATTTCAAGAAACCAGCCAACATAAGAGAGGAGGGAGGGAGAAAAACTTCTAGATGTGTAACATACGAGAAATTGAACAACAGAACATAATCTCAAAAACTTGATGCACATTATGTCAACCAAGAAGTACTCACATGACAGTTCTAAGGGAACATTGTTTAAGATATACTGAAAAATCAACACTCGAACTACAAAAAATTAAACAACGCTGCACAGAAGTTAGAAGTTGTAACCAAACAAAGGTTATTGTTGCAAGAAAAAAAAAGGTGAAAAATTGGAATCACCATGTCTAAAAATACTGGTATGGCATCAAAGAAGAAGAGCATAGGTTGGGTCTAATTATAATTGGCAAACAGAGGGAAGGAGTACCTTCAGAAGAGAGTTCAGAGCTGAACGCATCTCATTCCTAATTGCATGGAAATTCTCAATCTCCGCATCAACAATCTCCAGCGTTTCACGTATTTGTGCTGAGATAACAGGATCCAGAGTAGGCTTCACTGAGTTGATCCATTCCTCATGATTATGTTTGAACTCATGCCTGTATTGTCAAATAGAGAAAATAACTTAGCTTTTTACACATCGTAAAGGGTAGTTTATCAAATAATGGAATAAGTAGAGATTGCTCTTGTCATAATATTACATTATCAAACACCACAATCGAATTATATGGCAGGACAAACTTCTCACTAAAATCAAATGCCGCAGCAAAAACATCACACCATGTCATAGCTTTCTAAAGGATTATGACTGGGACAACAACAACAAAGACGGAAAGGACTTGACTGGTTAATGTTATATTGATTTGTGTGTAGCATATCAACTTTTTAATTATAAAAAGGGAATATAAAAAATGATATAAAATGAATTGTGTTGGCTTTTCAAAGGGTACATCTATTATGGCACATCCAAATATAGGAAGAGGGAAACATAATTATTTCCATGTGTGAGGTTCTCTCTTTTGGGGGGTGGTGTGTGTGGGGTGGGGGTGGTGGTTTGGGGGGTGGGTGGGTTAATTTTGCTTCTTGTAATTTATATGGGACTTCCTATGCATTATGTATATTCTAATGTTTTTACTCTGCATAGGAGCTCCCCATATGAACTTCCCATTACCCCCACCTCTTTACAAAATCTATCTATCTTAGCATGCAAACGCAACTAGCACAAACATGGAAACGAAACGTGGACATGGCTATATATAACAATTATTTATTTATTTATATACATTTATTGAGTAAGACAATTATAAAACTTTAATTAATATTTGATTTCTATAATTAAAAAGTTACAAAATTTACAAGATAAAGATATGTGAATACTGTAAAGATTATTGTATTAGATATGATAACACTTCCTCGCTTTACCAAATATATTTATCATATATGTAAAGTTACATTGCATGCTTCACTTGCAATGAATAAGGCTTGTGTTGGGGAGTGCATAGAAGGTATCGGCCTCAACTGTTCGGTATGTGTCAGCCTAGTGTCGGAACTAATAAAATTTATTTTAACATAATAACTGTGCCTGACATAGACATGGTCACATGCAGCACCTTCAGGGAAGTGTTCATGTTTTTTAGATGTAAATCAAGCCCCACAATAAAAACCTATGTCCTCAACACAACCCACACATCAGAAAACGAGTTGCAATTATAAGAGGAATTAAATCAATAATTTCCGAAGTTCTATTAGCTTTATTATATAACGATTTCACATTAGCAACCTCACCTTTTCATTAACTGCATAACATTTGCGAGCAATCTCAATGAAGAAGATTTTACTTCACCATTAGATTTCTTGCTATGAAAAGTTTTCAAGCTTGGAACTTTAGAATCAAGATAGGCTCCAAGGTTCTCATGCTTCAAAACTTGTCCTGGAAAGTGGCACTTTAAGTTATTAAAAAATATTTCATAGTTGGAAGCGGGAAAATGCTTGAAATTTTTTAAAACGAACTAAATATAAACAGCAAAAGAACATACTTCCAAATTGCTTTTCTGTAGATTTGATGACCACCTGAGCGACCCGATCAACAGGAATCTTTAGCAATTGAAAACAGTCATCGGCTATTATTATATTCCTAGGATTGCGTTGAACTGCAAATGGAACTTGCAGCAGCACATGCCCAACACGACGTAGTATATTAGGATCCTTTGCAAACCATCCTGTGAGAGTGATTTTAGAGGCCAAACACAAAGATTAAAAGAACGTTGCATAACATACTAATGACATTCTAGTTAAACAAAAATGAAGCTTCTCTACGCCTAAAACCAAACATTAATATTAGTTAGAAAGTAGATCCCTCTGAAAATTTTAAATAAAACCAACTTTACACACTCCAAAACTTAAATTTACTCATTAAAAACTAGGAAATTAATGGCATTAACTTAATGTGTCAGAATCAAGAAATTTAATTTTCAAAGTATAATAATATAAACTAGCAAGGACAAATTATACCTAGAACTCAAAGCTAACTATTCTGGAGAAGCTCATTGTAACAAACTCAATCAACAAAGAAATGCAAGAAAGCAAAGATCGAAATGGGGAAAATAGCTCAATTAACAAGCCATTCCCAACTTGGATAAGCCACATGGATCTCCTCCATGAATCTACTCTATACAGAAAACTCAAATAAACTCAAAAGAGCCTTGCCCCTACTATTTGGAGTCAGCACTCTAAATCTTATTTCACCACTCTATTTTTTAATGTCATAATTTTAATAAACAATACTCTATCATATATTTCCTTACCATCTTAACACAAGGTATTTTTGGCTTTTCCATTCTTATCTTCTCTTATCTCGAATCAGGTTAATTAATTTTCTCCTTCGGTGCGGGTGTCGGGTACAAGTGCATGTCTAAGCATCAGATCATTCTAATCCCTAAAATATAGGATACATGGACACGGATGAACTGCCAAATAGTCCTTTAAATAGCACATGGTAAGCATTAAAAAATAAATAAAGAGGAAGGCTACAATTGAAATAAAAGCATAAATTACGGGTAAATGTAAGAATAATTTTTTTTCCTGTGAAGGAAAATTAATCTCATGATGCAACAAGTTGTTCAACTAATGTCATAAATAAAAAATAATAATGGATAACTTGCACACAGTATTTACATAATGATAAGTCCAGTATTTACATTTTACAGAACGAAACTATTTTTCTGAGAAGGAAAATTATATGTATTTCCTTGAAAAATCTTTATCATTTCAGATTGATTTAATTAATCTTCATGTTCTTTTTCTTGTACTACAAATTCATGATGTCAATATTGTACTTTTAAATGCAACAATTATTGGTAAGTACATTAATTGCAACAGGTAATTAATTAAATTACTAGTGAAAAGTTCTCTAGTCACAGGTTTGAGAGCACAACTTCTCTCTTCACATTTCATTTTTTCTTACTCCAATCGGGCTGATAGCACATATACACCTCTTTGAAGCAAGCACCATTAGGAGTTTCTCGGTGAATAGCACAATTACCTATTCTTAGATTAAAAACTAGGATATGGTACAATAACACACTCGATATGTACAAGTCAAAAAAGTTGGAATACAATGTGGCAACCTTGTGGGCCGGTGTGAGGCACTGGTAGGCTACCACATTGGGCGAGCTACATGTGCAAAATCCCACATCGCCTGGGTAATGGAAAGGTGAAGTGCTTATATGTGGTGGTGTCATCTCCAATTGGTATGAGGCCTTTTGGGGTAAAACCAAGAGCAAAAACTGTGCGGGCCCAGGCCCAAAACAGACAATATCATACCATGTGGTGGAGTGGGTTGTTACAAACAACTTGTATATTCTCCCCGAGAGCAAATATTATAAGAAGTTCCATGCAACAGTTATCACTCATTGAATCATACAAACTACAAAGCATCAAAATAGAGTGTGTTATGGTAAAATCAATACCATTTTCTCCATAATTTGAGATGCTTAATTGATATTAATTAGAAAAACAAATTAATAAACAATAAAGATAAACAAAATTCCAAAACCATAAACATAGACGTGAAGTCATGCATATACAAATTAACATATTTTTAATACAAATAAACAATTAATATAACAATACATACCAACAGTGTCAAGACTTGTTGAAACGGGAACAATCCCCATGTGAGAAACAGCTCCGTATGAGGGTCGAAACCCTATTATTCCACAATATCCAGCAGGTACTCTCACACCACCAACAGTATCAATACCTGCCATAGACTGTTAGTAATGAAATAGATACTTCTAAACTACAAAACAGCACGCATGGAATGATCCAGAGACAATAATAACATAATAGTCACCAGCTCTCAGAGCACAGAAAGAATGGAATGCAAGTTATAATTTATCAACAATAGGTATGATCCAGAGACAATAAAGACATAATAGTCACCAGCTAAGTACAGAAAGAATGGAATGCAAAATATAATTCATCAACAATAAGTATGCTCGTTTTATAAGTAAGAGTTATAACAATCACAACATGAGATATTCTATTGACATGAAAATTACCAATAGAATGAAATTGAAATCGTTTTATAAAAAATAGACACCAAAAAAAAGGAATTGTAACCCTAGCTCAATTCAGCCAATGCACCCCACTGACAAAATTTTACTTGAACACTTATTCCAATGGCTCCACACTTCATGTATGATGTACCAACTAAGAAACCCCTGGCAATCGCACCACTATCAACGCCTCAAACTAAGTGATGGATAACACGATTGATTTGTCACAAGCAATGCATCTCAGAACTTCCTACTACATCCTATTGGCCAACATTCTCAGAATTAACCTGCTCACTTGTAAACATAGTTGTTAAAGGCTCAAGGCGCACTAAGGCGCCAAAGGCCTTCTGGAGCCTAAGCGCAAGGCGCAGTATAAGGCGTGAGCCTAATTGAAGTAAGGCGCATGTATATAATAATGCATATATTATTATATATATTCATAATCAAGTTGTAATTGCAGTTAATGTAAGTAGTGAACCATAAATTTATGAATTTTGTCAAATATTTCGTAAGGATAAACAATACGGTATATGATATAGAACCTTTTAATTTAGTAGTCAATAAGTAAATAAGAAAATGATATGAAATGATTAAAAAATACAAGGCGCCTTTTTTGAGCCCGGAGCCTACTAAAAAGTGTGAGCCCGAGGGCTTTATGTGAGTCTGATTGAAGGAGCCTGGCCTGTAGTAGGTTGAGGCGCTCTAGCTGAGCCTTGACGAGCCTGGGGCTTTTTTGGAGCCTAGGCGCGCCTTTAACAACTATGCTTGTAAAGGCCTGATAAACAGGTAGATCTCACGTAGATGCAAATCCAACCCAGCTAAGCAAAACGGATACAGGAAAAAGTCATAATCCTACCTAGTCGAAACACTACCTTTGGTATTTCTAAACTATTCTGGATTTATGTATTGTATACATCACACCAACCCATCCATCAGGGATCAACTTGGACAAATTTTGCTTGTCAACTAGGCGTGCTTGGGTGCTATGTGGCAGCTCGCAAGAGCCAACACATTGTTCCGCCTTTTCATTGTCCAGATTCTCTAAATTGCAGCCGCAATCTAAGTGGCATAAGCCCTACCTTAGCCATAATCAAGCAACAGCTGGTACCTGTCCCCCATGACAAATGCCCACGAGTGTGGAACCAACCGCAGGGATAGTTGCTGAGGTGGCATGCTCACTGATGATATGTCCTCAACTACCCCTCGAATGTGCTCTAAGCATGGAACTCTGGTGTTTGATGCGTATCTAAGTCAACAAGGCCGAAAAAGCTCCTTCAGTTCTGCACTTGTCATCAACGTTAGGTTATTCATTATTAACTAGCCCAAGTGGTCCACGCCCTTGACCTTCTTGAGAACAATGCTATGCATATTGCCGAAACTAAGTGAGACAAAGATCGCTTGCCTGTCATGTACCACTTGTTCCACATCCATTGGGAATTAAGGTTGCAAGCCATGCAACCATGCCAAATCATAGGTTGCAAGACTTGGACGATTTCCATAATTATCATCCACGGCTGTCGTTGAAAGGACAACTAGCTCCACTTCTATAAGTGGAGGTGTTAGTGAGCCAACTAAACTGACGACTCAGCTCAATTGGGCAGAAGACATGCTCAAGCTAGACTCAAATTGAGATAAAATTAGCGCAAGTTCCAGTTTAGCTTGTTACAAGAAACAAGCTTCTGAGGTACTAATTGGGTTTCTTTAAAAATGACCCTCCACAACCATTTCCTTCTAATGATTTCGGAAAACTAGGACAGCTTGTATGTTTGTGTCAGTTCCTATAGGTAAAAAGACCTCACAAAAATGAGCTAGAATAAGGCCTATTTAACACAAACCCAAGTATTCTCTCCAGAAGGCACGTCCAATCTCTCTCTCTCTCTCTCTCTCTCTCAGGCTGACCTTGGGAAATAAATGAAATATTAACAATTAGACTTGGTTTGACTAATTCAAAAACAAGCTAGAATAAGGCCTATTTAACACAAACCCAAGTAGTCTGCTCATTTTAATGATGTATTCACAAGCCAGACAACGTAAAGCCTTTGGTATAAACTCACTACAATTATTCCTTAACAGTAACACTAGGCTGTCCACTCCCACCTAAGCTCAATCATCAAACCATCCCATCGAGTGCATATTGCCTCCAAGTTTGCAATTAAATATACTGCACTTGGTACTTTATTGGTTTTAACTTTTAATTATTATACAAATTGGTGAGTGCCTTAGGTTTTGAATGGCACTTGGCATGAGATTGGGTTCAGGTTTGGGATTAGCAACCAGTCAAAAAGTAGGGTTGCACAATTTTGAACCAAAAGCAAGCCTCCACAAAAAAGTCTCTCTCTTGCTATCATTTTTGGATTCCCAATGCCACGATACATAAGTTCGTTCAATTTAAAAGAATTTGTAGACAAAACAAGGCTACAATGAGCCCGAATACACTTACACTACATGGCCCGTTGGATATGCTCTCCCCTTTTGCCAGGTAACAGAAGAACTAACATGGAAAAAATTTTACCTAATGGAAACATTATACTCTTCCCAGGCAAAGGGAAAAAAAGAAAATTGCAGGGACAGAGACATCCAGCAGCATAGGAATTAAAAGAACCAAAACGAGAAATTATTTTGCAGGGGTTAAAATTATAAACATTGAAGTGAAAACACCCATCTTTATTAACCCAAAAAATAACCGCTCCTCATCCACCTGTAAAGATAAAATCAGTCACCATTCTAGCAAATCCAATGGCCAAATAAAAATTAAGGACCTAATGACAAAGGCTTCTTTAGTTTTGATGAAAATATTCCAGGTAAAACTTGTCCTTTAGAATATAATAAAATAAAATAAAAGAAAGACAAATTTCAAGTGCAACTGCCAAGTAAAAAGTTATTTCAAGTTCCCCAATGTTATTTTGGACGTTAAGAAGTGCATATGTAGCTTAAAAGGAAAAGAAATTTTATACATGTATCACATAATAATAAGATTTAATAAAAATCATAACACTCCTTTACCGGAATCATAGGGTATCACCACCAACTTAAAATATTATGAAATGTTTGCAAATAGGAACTAAACCCCGATAGGGAGTTCTATGATAGAAAATAAATGGTTGACAATATGATGCACCAAAAAGATAAACTTCCTCAATTATTTGTACACAATGTATATATTTTTCTTTCCAATACAAGTCAGTATAGCTACAAGAGACATCTTTTCATCCAAAAGCTGTTCTTGAAGTTTACCAAAATATGCCTCTGAGGTGAGCATTTTAGTCAATATGGGAAAGAGAAATGGAAAGAATATCCAAAGTTCAATGCCATGATAAGACTGATTCAATAACCTTACATGAAGGTCCAAGATAAAAAGAGGACTCACCGAGGGAGAAGTCAACAAGGTTTGCAGCAACAGCTACAGCAGCTCCACTAGAGGATCCTCCTGGCACTCGTGCAGGAGCAGCAGGATTGGTGGGTGTGTCATAATGCTTATTTTCTCCACTAATACTGAAATAAAACATGCCAGAAACAAAAGATAATAAGAAAATTCAAACAGCAACACAATGGAATTTGTGCAATGACACACTAAGATCAGAAGAACAGAAATTTAGATTATATCTTGTCAGAACATTATAATCCCCACATGGAATGTATCAAAAGAATTTTCATAAGGGTACTTTAAGTCAGAGGTGTTGATTCATCATTTGTCCATTGTGCAAGAATTTATATCCCAAATTCATACAAGTTAATTGCAGAAATTAAAGAATGATACACAAACCTGTATGCCATTTCATCAACAACTGTTTTGCCAATGCATGTAGCACCTCCTTCAATAAGAGCTGAAACAACAGCAGATGTCCGAGAAGCAGATTCATGTGTCTTTGCCCAGTCTGGATTGCCAAATCCGGTTACAAATCCATCAATATCAAATCTGTAAATAAAAATTCCAAAACCTTTTACCTTCATCGCCAGACAAGAAGCCTAAGAAATGAGCCTACCATAGCTATCTACCTATGTTGCATAAAATAATTAGCAACCCCTATGAACCCATATGAACTGGTTACAAATTGGAATTCTACAAAGAATAAAAGGCAGGCAGGTTGAGATCACGTGTGGTGCAGTACAACAAGCAAGCAACATGTGTTGCCAAAAGAGTTGCAAAACTTCATTGAAAAGAGAGGAGGAAATAACTTTGAATTCTAAACTTTTTTTTTTTTTGCCGGGATTAAATAGTGTTATAGAGAAAATCATAAAAAAAATAGCAACCAAATGTCCGACATAACTGATTGTACTATCTACTCTAAAACCAAACACGCTACTCAATAACTTTGAATTTGACTAAATGCAAATTTAGGATTTTCTTGCCTTTTCTAAGAAAAATCATTGAGGGTTAAATGGGGTTACAGAGAAAATCATATAAAATAGCAACCAAATGTCAAGTACGAAAAAGTCTGGTTTTAGAGTAAATAGTACAATCAGTTATGTCTGCTAAATGGAACTGGTTTTAACGTGTGCATCTAATGAAGCCCATTTTTGCAGTATATGTAAGGTTCATAGTAGTACTGACCAATACTACACAATTAAAGTTATTCAGTATTAAAACCCAATCCTCTAAAAAGAACAAACATACAAAAGAAGCATAGTTCCTCATACCATCAAGACAAACTCTGAACAAAAAAGACCATAAATAAAAAAAGGAAAAAAAAATTTACATCACCAAATCAAATCAAAAATATTAACAGATACAATCGTACAACCCCTTTTTTCAAATTTAGGTAAAGCCAAATAATTGTGTTGGGACAGTTAGGTGGAGGAGTTATTCTATCAGGTCTCCAATACGGAAAAACTGGAAATTGAAAATTCAAATTTCTTTTCACTTCAACGGTTTCTCATAATCCAAACAGAGAATGAAAAATAGAAAATACGTTCGCTTACACATCGGAGACAGCGAAGGATAGACCGGTGAGAGGATGAGGAGCTTTGGGAGGAGCGGGTTGAGGCGGTGGTAAAAGCTCAAACCTCTCTATAAAAGCGCCAAAGTCCTCTTTGACCACTTTCTTCAGCTTTCTGGTCATCAGGAGTATTCCAGCCAATCCCAAACCCAGTAACACCCACAAATTGGCTGACGAAGACGCCATCTCTGAAGCAGAAGAAGAACAGAGGGCGTCTTCTGAAACCCTAGAATATGATCAAGGATTCTATAGATAGAGAGAGAGTTTTGAGAGTAGAGAGAGACAGAGAGGATAACACAGCGGGCAGCAGCAGCATGGAGGAAACCTAACTGGAAGGAATATTTAGGTAGCTTTCGGAGCTTGGCGGACTATCTTTAGAGCACGTGAGATTTGGCTTAGCCGTGCGATATACTCCGTAAATACATCATTTTTTATATTATTTTTTAATTTTTTTAATTTAAAATAATTTTTATAAATGTAATATCGTAGAGATAAATAGTTTGATTATGGTTTTAAATTGTATAGAAATTAAAAGTTTGTGGAGAAGTAAGTAATGTTAGATATTCTTTCTTTAAATTTATCCTAAACTCAGAAATAATTTTTATATATAATTATAGAATTTAATAAACTATACTAGTTGATTTCTAATATGTATTCAATCATGCTTTAGTTTTTTTTGGAAGATTATTGAGAGGGTTTTTTTTGGAAGATTATTGAGAGGATTAACTCTTAATTGATTATTGAAATTTTAGTGGCACTTCTTATTGTGGTAATAAATATTTATCAAAATTTTTGGTTAAAATATTCTTGAAATTATTAAAAGTTACCATTTAAGAAAGCGTTTTCACATTGTTGACACCAAAAACATGGATAACGATTACCTCAAATCGAGATAATGTATATATATATTATATAAATCGTTTGGCATTCATGTCTATCGAATTACAAAAATAACCTTAGTTATGTTTGGAAATGTAAGTGGATAGATGATACTTACTTGATCAATTTAAGTCAAAAGGCTACGAAATTTAAAAATTACGTCCAAAATCAACATTAGATGTCTATCATCCGTTTGGATTCGCAATAGCACAGTAAGAATAATAAGTTGAGAAAAATTAACTATTTTTGATAAATTTTAAGATTAAATTGATGCTACGACTATATTCCATTAAGATGTACTCACTTTTAAAAATGAAAAAGTAAATACATAGTTGGTAACTTCACAAGTTTAGATTCCCTACCATATATCGTTTATTTTATTTAATATTCATATTCGTGACTTATATTATTACAATTTTTTACAAAACAAGAACCTAAGCACATCGGTGGCACAGGCTAATTCTCAATAATCAAAGCAGTTGGCTCTCATGAAACTTGCTAGTGTTTTTTTATAGCAATGATCAGAGTTGAACACCCTGATCTATACTACCACCAATCTTCACAAACAATTTATCCGTGAAGCTCACGAGGATACATGTCAATATTAAGTATATACCAGGCCCATTACCATCCGACAAATTAGTCGGAAATGTGTAAATTTTTGTTCAACTTTATGCTTCCGTGTCCAATAGGTGATTGGTCAGGATCATCTAAAAATTTCTCCAGAAATTAAGCCAACATCAGTACCAACACTTTTAGAACTATAGTACCACCAATCTTCACAAGCAAACGTCTCATAAAGCTCGTGAGGAAATATCATATGTCAATAATAACTATATATCAGACAGAAATTGAGCCTACATCATAAAGGACCTATATGCACACCCAAAACTTTTACTCCGTAGAACTCAATGTGTTACAGCTTACAATGTTTTGTTCGATCTTTTGCCACTATCATAGAATTAAGCTTAAATCAAGATGAGGTTAAGCCACATGAGAAAGAATTGGAAGCTTTCTTTTAGAGCCATTGTAAAAACATAAGCACTACTAGACATGAGAACACTCAAAATCTCCAGACTGGATTACCAGAGGAAAATAAACAAAAAATACAAAACTACATCTAGAGGACTTTGCAATGATTGTAATTAAGGCGGAAAAAATATAGTATTCAACAGCTACAGGAATCACAATTCCAGAAAATCAACCTTTCAGAAGTTGTCTGAAGTTTTTTTTCAATATTAATAACTCCAACACAATGACAATACAGATCCTCCTGACATATCAAAACTTGCATCTGAAATTTCTTTATTCATCAATTTTTGCTCAAAAATTTCTACCTATAATTGTAATCACAATTTGATCGAGAAACAATGTTTTGCAAAAGCAATATTATGCATAATAAAATTTATAATCATCCATTTGATGCAACAATATCTTCAAGGATCAAAAGAACAGAACAGTTTCCATTTTCTCCTCCTTTTTTTAAAAAGAAATACTTTGGATGGTGACAACCTTCAAGTTCAATATCAAGCAGAGTATACCAGTCTACTAGGCCTTCATCCTTGAAGGCTCCCCCACAGAACTCTCCATTCTTGTGTACCATTCACCAATGCGGGTGTGCTCCACCATATCTTTGCCGGATCGCAGATAACGGATAGGTCTTAACACCCCAAAAACAGCAAGGTCAGCTAAGTTAGGCTTAGAGCCCCCTGAAGCAATGGACAACAAGGGAAAGTCAGAAATTTGGTCACAACAGCAAAATGACTAGAAGAGTTGTCACACAGCTGCAGTCCTAGGATGTGTGGGCTTATGCCTTAGTAGTTACAACTCTACTCAAGTAAGGTCGTATTCTTGAACACAGCAAAAGCCAACTAAACTCATCAAAACACAAGTTTCACAAATTAAAGCTACCTTTTGCATAATATACCAGCAAAGATTGAGCAAAGTCATGTTCTTGAGGCTCATAAACCAAAAGCCAAGTTAGATCATCAAACAAAGCAAGTTCATAAACCAAAAGCCAAGTTAAGTCATCAAACAAAAGTTTCGCTACTTAATGCTTTGTTCGGTAGGGAGGGAGAGAAGAAAGGATAAATGAGACATCCCTAGAGAAGAGATTATGTTATTCCCTCTTTTTGTTCGGTTGGATGGAAGAGGAGAAGAAATTGACAATTTACTTTGATCGGTAAGATAAAAGGAAAGATAGATATTTAAGTTGTTTTTACCATTAAACACATCACTTACCTTATTTATGGGATTCATTAAATATTTATATAGGATGATGCAAAAATTTAAAACTTCTATAATAGGTCCACTCGTCTTCTCTCCTATCTTACGCCCATATTGGGACGGATGAAAATTTGTAAAAGAGGAAGGATGACTCATCCATCTTATTATCCTTTCTTTCCTTATATCATCTCTACCGAACGAAGGAAGTTTGTTCCTTCCTTCTTATTTTCCTTCCACCCCTCTTTCTTCCTTCCTTCCTTCCTTCCTACCGAACGTAACATAAAGCTCCCCTTTGCATGACACACAAGCCAAGATTGAAGTACTTTTCACAAACCCTAAAGTTTTTTCACACCTCTTTCTCTCCGTGCTGGAAATCCTTGTCCTAATCTGTACATAGCTGTAAACACACGTTGTTGATCTTCACCGTCAACTATTGATAGGGAGTTTCCGGCAGATGTGGTGCTTGGTGATGAGAGTGCTAAGGGAAGCTTGATTCCCCACGTCGCACAGGCTTCAAAGGTTGCAACGTTATTGAGCAGCGGTCCAAACCAGATCATGGTGGATATTTTCACACAGAGATCCCTTAGTTTATTTCTCTCATGTCCCAAATTACAGAAGCCTGGTAAATTGTTTGAACACCATCAAAGTGGTCATGTTGGTGTGAGGGCTCCGATTGTGGATAGTTAGAAGTACCAAATGTTTATCTACTGTTTAGAGAGATTTAGAGACAGGGAAGAGATAATTGCAGAGAGAGAGAGTAGATGGGCATTGAAAAGAAAATAAGAAACTAAAGGTAGCATAATAGTCTTTCTTCTTTATGTTAATTTTTCATTAAAAAAATATTAAAACAAATTAGGTCAAAATTGTAAATTTACAAGTTCAGTTAATGGCAAGTAATGGAAGCTACTGGCACGGGAGGTCAATGTTATTTTTCAAATTAAAGGGGAGGTCCCTCTAATTATGACAAACGTCAAGGAAGGTAAGTGTAATTACCCTAATATAAATTATTAAAAGATCACTACTGCTAGCTGATTTCGGAAATTTGGGGGCTCAAATCTCTGGAATATTTGTGAAGAATAACTAATTATTGAATGAAAGAAATAATTGGGTTTTGTTCTCCACAAAAATTTTACACAAAATATAGAGAACTGAACGATTTATTCAAGAATTGTCACAAAGGTTTATAATCCAATTTACAGTACAATTTAATAATAAAATCTCCCTTTTTTTTTTTCTTTTTTTTTTTTTCGGATAAGTTAATAATCAAATCTCCCTTTTAAACCCCCAAAAAATTTGCAAGACAGTTTTTCAACTGATCTTTTTCCTACTTTGACCAAGATAAAGAAATTTTGCCTATTGCGAGATAATTCACAATATCAGCAAACCAAGGCAAATTCTTATGTTGGTCTAACTGTAACTATGAGGTCACGATCACATTAAGAAGGCAAACGAAAGTTATCAAAGATAAACCTAAGTGCTGCAGTATTCCGTTCAAGTTTAATAAATTCATTTTTCCCCCCTTTAATCTTTCATTAATATCATTCATAATCTACGTACATTTTATAATGTCGTATTTCTAAACATTCAAAATTTGTATTTCATACTTATTACGTTCACCTCATGGACCAGGAAGAAGTCTAGCTTTGGTAGTTCAATAATATTTTTTTATGTGGACTTAAAATACCGTTGTGGCTCACTAAATCATTAAACAGTTTAGGGCTGTGGTGATTTGAGTGAACTGAATTCAATAAGTAAAATCATTATGATGGTTGCAGGGATTTGACAGAATTAGTTGATGCAATAGCCGAGGACAATATATAAGTTCATAGCGAACAACAAAACCATAGATGATGCAGACATTTTGCCATCAGGCCCATCACTGTGTGTGTTAGCGTGCATTGTCAGCTGTGTATGCCATACTTATGAAATATCCAAGTGGCAAGATGATATCAAGAGTACAAACCAAGAAACTCCCGCCCATTTAGTGCATCCACCCAGGTTTCTGCAGCTTCATACAAGGCTGCACGTTCATCAGTAATGTTGTATTTCTTCTTCAAGTTCTTTGAAACAAAATACATAGCTGCAGCCCCAGCATATTTCACTGTAAGTTTTTCTGTGAAGCCGAAATTACCTACAAGTCCATAAGGTAAAATGAGAATCAAGACTCATACCAAAATTTAACCAGAATTACGTCTCACAACTAACTGAAGGATAACATTATACAATATATACACAATAAAATTCACATATATGCAAGAAACACATAATACATGTACAAGGAAGGCGACAATGAGTAATATTCTCCAAGATAGTGTGAATTGCATATCAAGACATTACAGAAGGTGCACCAAATACAGATTTCAACAGATGAAATGATACACGATAAATGTTTCTTGCTTCTCCAGAGTCAAAGTTGTAAGAAGAAGCTCAAAACTTGAATCTCAAGACATTACTTATAGTGTCAGATACTGAAATCAACAAAATGAAAAAGGCAAAAGGAAAATTAACAAATGTCTCCCGTGTCTTGCTCTATCTTGATTAAGAGAAGAAACTCACTGAAAATAACTCTTAAAATACATGTTTATATATAAATCCACATGAACTCTAAAACCTTGGAACTATATCTCTGTAGTGGCTTGGTGATAAGATTTACACAAATGCTTATCATATACAAGTATAAGATTCACATATATCTTACCGTTGCTGGTGATATAATCAAAGGATTCCAGGGCCTCAGAAGTATTTCGGTAGATGTTTGGTGATAACATATGCACCAAATGATTATCAACCCACCTGTATCACGAAAACATAAATCATAAACCAATGAATGTTTCAGAAACTCGATTCCAGTAAAATATTACAGCAGTCTTAATAGCAATGATAACATAAAACATAATAGAGTAAATGATATTAATAAATGGCCATAAAAATTCCTGACAGAGTTAGAATCTAAGCATATGCTATTGCCCCACAATACTCTGAGATTCTGACTATTTATTTCTCAAATCCTAGCCTAATCAAAATCTCATCTATTTTTACCTCATCGTTACCATCCCTGCCTTAATCCTATATGAATAGGGTTGGCCACATGAATTCTCTTTTTCCATTATTTTCTATTACAAGCCATCTCTCCTATAATATTTAACTTTCTCATGTTAATTTCAGCCACCCTCTCTCTTACCCTTTATACAAATTAATCTTCCTCTTCTTACTGGTGCATCTTTGGTATATGTTCATACCACTTAAATCTACTTTATCCTACTTTATCACTTATAGGCATCACTACGAATTTCTCCCTCACACTTCCTACCATCCATCTTAACATCCAATTCGCTGTTCTTGTTTCCCATTTTAAAACCCAACACACTTCTCAAAATCTCATGTACTTGTTAGGCCAAATACCTTATTTCTCCTTTTTAGATTATAAATCTACAGGTGGTTCCATAAATTCAACCTTCCTATAATCAATTGCAGATACCCGTACCAATAACAAGACGTACATCACAGAAACGTTTTTGTATGCATGTATTTGAATATTAATTTATTTTACTGTCAATGATACGATGCAGTTTCACTACAACAGTCCTAGTTAATAACTGTAAAAATATTGAATTTGCCAAATGAATACCGGTAACATGTAGCATCATTTCTTCATAAAGCATTTGTCTTATCTAGTTCTTACATATAAAATCACATATCAATAAAATTTAACTGTGTTGCCAATAAAAATTATTTAATCATATTGATAAAGTTGAAATAGGGGTTATTACCAACGGGCAGTGGCCTAGCGGTATTAGCCTCTTACTTCTCAAAGGAAGGTCAGGGGTTCAAGTCTCAGTAGAGACGTGTGTGATTACCAACTAGGGAAAAAAAAAAATTAGGGGTTATTACCTGGTGCAGTAGTAAAAACTTAACCATTCTGTGTAAAATTATGCTAAAGCTGAGGCCTGTCTCCAGTTTTCCTCTTCCAGCACCCAGCATAGATGGGATATAAACTGGTAATGCATCTTTTATTGATAAAGTTGAAATCATTTTTGCTCTTTAAAGTATAATACTCTTCCCAAATTTTAAAAATCTTTTACCAACTACCTACAGCTCACTACTTAAACCTTTTTAAGATTGTTATTCATCTAGCAACATGAAAAACCAAACTAACTTTCGATGCCAAGGTCCAACTTAATTTTCTAAAGAAAAAAAATGGTCCAACTGCAGCAATCTAAAATCCATTGGAGTATTGAACGGTTAGCAGCTAACATGTGGGAGAATATGCAAACTGAACTACAAAAAGTTTAAGCCACAGATACCGAACTGGAATAAATAGAGAGAGAGAGAGAGAGAGAGAGAAATCAATTGATCAAGGTACGATCCGGTCCCAGCATGCTAAACTATCAAGGTAAAAGAAATTCTGCACCCCTCTCAGATTTCTAAGTAATCATTTGTTGTGAAATAGATCAACTGCTAAGAAGAATGATCTTTTGGTAAAATATCAGAGTCTGAAAATTGAACATTAGGTACAAAGGAAATTAAAAAAACATACTGGCGCCACTTTTTCTCTTCATTATCATCTGGGACTGAATCAATAGATTTCTGAGGATGAATCCTGCCGCCCAACTTATCAATAATAGCTGCAAAAAGTCGACATGCTAATTTAGTTAATTGCAATGATCTTACTGACTGAGAAAAAAATCATATCCTGCTTGACATCATGCAGCATCTTAGAATTACTATTATAATATAGAAAAAGAAAAACAATTTAATTAGAATGGTGATTGTAAGAACCTGATGAATCGACCAGCTGCTCACCATCAACCATCAATATTGGCACCTTCTTGTAATCAGACCATTTGATTTCCTTTTTACTAATTGGGTTGACCTCCACAACTTTGTACGGTATATCATAATAGTCCAAAAATGCTGAGATGGCAAGAAAAGACTACTTAACAAAAACAGCATAAAAAGTGAAGTAGCAATAGCATAATAATGATCTATTAAACTTGCCCATGAATCAATCTCTTGTGCCAAATTATTTTACCCAGATTATATCAATAATATCAAGATATCAAACCGAATGAGATAAAAATACATAAAAAATAAAGAAGAACTAACAAAATTAACAAGTTATACAACCAAATGCTCATCACTATTTCAATTACATAAATGTATTCAATCCAACAAAGGAGACGGGACATTACCCTATGCTTCACCACAAAATCCATCAAGATCAACAGATCTTTACGTAGATGTTGTTGTTAAATATTTTATTATGAACAACTTTAAGTTGAGACAAAAAAGCCTAAGTCTTTGTTGGCTTGCTGGAGAAACCAGTCAATATGAATTTTATAAACTGCGCTTTTTTATTGGCTTCGAAGACAATTTCAAGTTGCAGCATTTTTTTGCCCATATGCAAGAAAAGAAGGTACAACTTCATCTAGCATGGATTTATGTTTGGACCATTTGAATGTGTGATGGCAAGCAAGCAAGTTAGTTGCATAACTTGTTGAAATATCCTTAGTTTTTCCCCTTTTGGTAACAGAAGGTGCCACCCCTGAGGAAGGACTAATCCTTTCGGTTACTCGCAATCACCCTAAGACACTGGAATTGAAAAAACTTAGGGTTCCCATGAGTTGAACACAATTATCGAGTGCAAATGTGTGTTTAAGTGTCAGTTAGATCTCAGATCTTAGGATACGAAGAAATGTGTCCAACAAATTGGCTATCAGTACAAGGAAACATTCTCTGCATGTGCAATACATGCTACACATATTCTTATGAATGATGTGATTGTTGAATTTAACTCAAATAGAACGTGGTGAAAAAATGAGGTTTCCTTCAATCTCACAATTTGGAAACTTTTTCTTCTTCTTCCATTATAGCATTTGGGGATTCATAGTGTCCGATATGGGTACACGTGTTGGACACATATCTCATACTCATATTTTCATTCTTGTCAACACGGGTATGCAAAGGAAAGAAACAGTCCATGTGAAACATAATCTAACTTAGCTACCCCCTGGCTTGTTGACAAATCTAAATGTTGAGCAAACCAACTGCAAATATATCATAATAAAAGATAATACATTCAAAAATAAATCAATAGCCGTCATCTTTAGGTGATTTGGTGGCACAAACTTGGATTGCCAAGCTTGAGTACATGGGTTCAATTCTATTTATCCAAAAAAAAAAAAATTACACGGGTTCAACTCCAATTTATGCAAATAATGCCGAATGATTGGTCTCCCCCAGCACTCTCAATCATTGTGGAACATATTGGGTAATATATATATTTTTAATCACTTATCAAAATATATATATATATATATATATATTTTTAATCTAACCCAATAACCATAATAGCAATTATCCGTTTGGCATTGCTGTTGGAGAGACTTAAAGTGCTTTTAATTTCAAAATTCTCTTTTAGATGTGTTTGGTAAAAAAAAGAAAAAAACTTTTTTTAGTTGTAGATATAGTAGCGCTTTTAGTTGAAATTAGAAATTGACACTTTTTGCAAGTGGAAGTAAAAAAATATATAGAAAGAGTCTATTTCTGAAAAAAGAGTATTTATAAAATCTGTTTTCCATACTACATTACCAAAAACACTATTTGATCTTCCAGAGACAACACCTTTTTGACAACTCTGCATAAAAAAGTGCTTATTGTATTATAAAGCAAAACCAAAAGGGCCCCAACCCATTATTTTGAAAGTCACATTGATAGTAGCTTGGATCCATATTCAAGACTATTTTATACGAGCGAAGGGAACTATTATTTGGTGGGTTTGAAGAAAAACTAAGAATTTATAGTCCAATGTATTTTCTTTATCTTCACTCTATCACTTATATACAAAACTTCATGCATTAAGTTCATTAGATAAGAAGTTTATTTATTGATTTCTTTACCTCGCTCAAAAACCTATAATTTTCATTTCAGCCCATTTTCCAACAAGAATTGGAAAAGTGAGCCCCCCACCCCCTCTTCCAAACCAAATATAAAAAATCCAACACGCAAGTATCAGGTATCTCAGTACAAATTTTGATTTGGTCAATTTATATATATAAATATATATATATATATATATATATATAAATATATATATATATATATATATGTTCAACATATTGAATTTTAAACCATAGTTTTATTATCCTTTCCAATAGAAGGACATCCAACTATCCTCTATTCATATATTAACACCATCAACATTGTTGTGTATATGTTCACTAGATAGTCTAGACTCTTATTGCAATTATTATCCTAATGATACCAATGCATTGGCTTGAGCAGTATTTCCTCCACCTCCCTTAAAAGGGAAGGTTGATGGCTCAAGCCCCAGTGGGCCATGTGCATGTGAGCATACTTGCTTATCGATACACACACACACCCGCACACATATTATCCTAATGATAACCTAAAACATAAAACTGAAATGTTCCGTCCCAAATGTAAATAATGTAAAACTTGCTTAATTGTATCAACCTGAACCATTAGTCAGGCATTCTTCTCTTGTTTCCCTCAAATTTGTGGAGTATGCTACACATCCACAGATACATGTGCATATCCAACTACATGGGCAAAACTCAAGTCAAAATTCAATCCATAATAGGTTCAAATGTTGACAAATTCTTATTAGGTCTAGCAATGGGTTAGTAAAGTCAAGTTTAAATCAGATTAAAAATTCAAACCTAGTCCAACACATTTGTTGTTGGGCCAAAGTTCAACTTCCAACATCTTTATCTTTGAAATCAAATGATAAAAACAAAATTTATTATAAAGTAGTATTTCAAAATTGATAATCAATTATAGAAACTAATTTAGCTGAGTTTGGGTGGGCATTTTAGGAGCCAAACACAAAAGCAAACCCTATTGGCAACCGAATCAGGCAGACAATTCCCCACATCAACTTGGATCCAAAAAGTATACCCGACCTATTTGGTTTCTAATAGATGATAGAAATTTTAAAAATAGATGTTCCTTTCTTTATCCTGGTCTTATCAATGTATCAATGTTGCATCAGACAGTTTTTTTTTAACCAATGGATTCAAATAGACCTGGATTTGGCCAAGAAAATTCATCTGTTAAATTGCTCATTTTCCTTTCATGGAAATCAAACAATGCATCCAAGCTAGAGTGCATATCTACTACCTCTGACAAATCTATCTATCTATCTATCTATCAATATATATATATATAAACAGTAAAACAATTAAAATTAATCATTGCTCCTAATTAAAATAAACAGATATAACATTTAACTTAATTTGAAAGTAATAAAAGCATCCATTCAAATACTTGCACAATTCTTATGTTACAACTGTCTCACTAATCAACTGAAACAATGTTAATCACTTAATGAAGTTGACTGTAAAAGGCACACGTTTATACAATTCTCCTTTTAAAAAAAAAAAAAAGAAAGAAAAGAAAAATATATATAAAGGAAAAAAAAAAAAAAGGCTAAGACATATCATTAAAAAAAACCAAAAACTACATTTTATAGAATTCAACAAGAGCATCATTTCTTTTTCAGTAATAAAAATTTAATTATCCTTTTGAACGCTTTCTGATACATCTTTACCTCAAAAAAATTACCTTTAACCTTGTTACAGAAAGGGCAAGCTTCATACTGATAGAGAACAACTTCCTTGGGGATGAGCTCTGGGGAGGGAGGCTCTTTGGCGTACGCCTCCTGGAAGAATGAGGTGGCTCCAGCGAGGGAGACAAGAGCTCCGGCGAGTCCGAGAGACGCGTGTTTGGCCGAGCTGCCGGTCTTCGAGAACCACTGCCTCCGGGAGGAAGAAGAGGCGGTTCCGTACAACGCCGCCTGGATGAGCCTGTGTTGGACGGCCGCACAACCGTCGTGCCATGGGAGGAGAGCTCGGGAAAAAGCGGAGGAAGCGAGAGTCGAAGCTCTTCTCATGGTATGATATTAAATAAATGAGAGAATTGTTCAGATCTCTGTTTCTCTCTCTAAATGCCGTGCCGTGCTGCTGGAATTACCTCGAGCTTGGAAGGGTTTATGTCGATTAAGAAAACTATACACACCGAACCGGAGGGTTTTAGGGCCTGACTTTTAGTCTTCCTTGGCTCGGCTAAATGTTGACCCAACCCTTTCAAAGGCATGCCACTTTTTCTATAGACACATTCGTAAATGTTGACCCAACCCTTCAAGGCATGCCACTTTTATGCTCTGCCTTGGTCACCTTTTAGAATTAACACTAAATCAAATTTAATTTAAAATTCAAGTTTTTTTTTTTTTTTTTTCCTCAATTTTAATTTTAAGATACTAATTTTATACAAACATTAATATTATTGATTTTTACGCTACAAAATATTTTAAAAATCCTTGAATTTGATAGTAATTGTGTACACAGAAAGATGTAAATACTTGTTAAAAGAAATTGTATATTTATAACGTCTTTCTTTATGAAAAGTCCCAATTAGCACATTTATTAATATTAATATTATTATTTTATTTTATTTGGCAATGTGGAACCTTCCCGAGCACAAGATTGGTGATTGATATTGACAGATAAAGGTACAAGGGGAATCAGTTCCCTCTAGTGGCTCATCTGGCTCCAAGTCTCCAGGTGGGTCATCGTGCGTTTGTGTTTGTGCTCTTTGTACAAACAAAAATATCTTGTCAAGTCACCCATTTCATAGCAAAAAGAATAGAAAGAAAATAATCCGTTTGGTTCCTTTGTAACCCAACCTTAGCCCTCATTTCGATATGAAAAATTGAACTAAAAGATTATGTAGTGATAATAATGGAGACTATTTTGACAGTAAGAAAAATCGAATTATAAAATATACATGAGGGCATAAGTAATTTTGCAGGAGAAAGTGGTACTCATATAACATGTGAACTAAATATGCTCCTTTGCTCTATCAAATTCTGCCAAATTCCTGAACATTGATTGATGCATTCTACCCATCATAAAAAGTCATTTTGTTAAAGCATTTAAGAACTCACCAAAAATCAACCATTTTCTTTAAGTTCATTGATCTCTCTTGTACACTAGAGACCTGTATATTTCAGTTTTGCCAAGCATAACAACCTGTCTATACAAGCTAACACGTCAAAACAGAACTCCACTGTATAATTTTTTGCCATGGATCATTTTTACCATATAAAGAAAACAATCAACTAAATGCCATATCAGAATAGAGAGCCATCATCTTCAAAATCAGTGGCAAAAAGTTCATGTAACTGCTCATCTGTCCACAGTGGGAGCTCGGCTTTCGGCATTGGTGGTTGTCTTTCCTTCTGAACTCCAATTATTCTCTGACTATCTAGATCATTATGGTTCTCAACCAAGTTTACTACCACACTGTTGGGTTGAATGCTGCTCGATGTGTCATCTCCTTTCAGCTGTTTGCCAAAGTCATTCAAAGTCACTTGGTTATTAGCATTGACATCATTTCTGGACGTCTTTTCTATGATATTTTTGGCTACATCTTGTCTCATTGACATGGGCTCCTTCCCAACAGATACATTATGGTTTCTATTACTTCCACCATTGCAGCGGCTGCTTTCTGAAAATAGATTTTCTTTTTCCATTTGTTTATCGATTTGTGTTCTCCCTCTCAAATTAGTACATTGGCTGACCTCATCCATGACAGTTGTTTCCAGCTCCACAGAAAATGCATTCTGTGGCATCCCTGTTTGTCCCCTGCACTCTGATGATGCAGAAGGATATCAGCAACAGGATAAACCAATATATTCATTTTCAACAATGCAATATTTGAATTGAAGTGTGTCTTGTAATCTAATTGCATGAGAAGCCACACACGGGACTAGTGCATGACAATTTTTGCTTTAGAGGGATTGCCATACTAAAACTTGACTTGTCTACAATGCATGGTAATTGAGAAAAGAGATTGGTGACCCACCATTACCAGGAACACCATGTTTGACTGCCAATGCAGGATGACTTTGTTTCAAAAGAGGTCCAGTGTCCTTACAGATTACCTATGAATCAAATCACAATTTATATCAGAAACAGCAAAGTGGTTATTCAGAGCATTTCTGGAAAATGTTACAATAAACTGCTACCGCAATCACAAAATTGGACATCTGTGAATATGATTGCTTGTAGTTTCCCAATTATTTCGAGTTTTTCAGGAAAAATATTGTATTTTGCATCTTGTCCTCTCATTACTACGTGAACCAAAGGCTGGCCTGACCTGGCTGGGTCAAGTATGACCTATGCAAAACATAAAGGGTGTGGTCCAAAGAGGCAGCCAAAGGATGACAGGGTGATAGTCATCTAATTGGATATTTGGGTGGATATTGAATGGCTAGTAGGTTATCTGTGCATATGAATTACATTATGGTGGTATAAACCTACAAAGTTGATGCTTGCCAAGAACATTGTAGGCCTAGAATTCAAAAGGGAAAAAAAAATAAGACAATTTGATCTTTCTCCCCTATTGCTACTTTGAATGGCCTCTCTCATCACCTTGAATGGAGCTCCGCTGAACTTCCATCTTGAGATGAACTTTTAGATCAACAATAAACTTTTGCATAATTCAGGAGTCAACCAGCGCCAATATGAATTAAACTTAACCAAGAAATAGTGTAGCAACTCTGAAACATTGATAGCCATACTAAATTTAGCTCAAGTTAGAAGTTTCAATATTTTACAGAACTAGAACCACTGTTTGGACTTTCAATGATAATCAATTCTCTCCTATTAAGCCTAAACAAATTAATTATGCTTGCTTAGTTACCAAAATTCGACCTAAACTTGAAGTTCAACGTCTGGCAACAATTGAAGTCATATTTTTAGGTACTCTGGTCTTCACATCCATCTGCTCTAAAAGCTTGACATGTAAGAGAGGATGTAACTAAGTAATCATATGCCATTCAAGTGTGACCAAAATTCTGACCATGAGGTGTCAAACATGTCATTAAACATACTTATGAAGGTGTTGATGAGATTTAGATTTAGGACCGATTGACCCCCTCTTATACAAAGTCAAATCCAACTTATATAAAACGTAAGCTTTTAGAGAAGATGTTGATATCATGGTATATGAGAGGGATAATCAAATCATGTCATAATTTTTTCTTCTGCTAGTTTCATATTATTTTTATTCCAAAAATTAAGGAAAACATTTGAAAATTTTCTCGCCAATATTTTGCACATTGGTCTCATTTCATTTTTTTTTTATTTTTTTTGTTGCTCCAAACAGTTTCATATTGATTGAGCTCCAATTTATTCCAAGAATTAAGGCAAATATTTGAAAATTTTCTTGCCATTATTTTGCATGTTGGTGTCATTTTGTGGTTTTTTTTTCCTCTTGCTCCAGACACATAGCTTATGGCCGAGAGTGTTGATATATGATTGTTATACTGACATCATGAAATTAGTGCATTTTTTGATGAATTTATCATTTAGGCAGAGGTGTCTCTATCAAATTTTATTTGTTGCCATGATGCCATCTCATTCTCATGGAGCTTGTGCTAAAATGTACATTTATTGGTTTTAGGCCACCTTTCCCAATTATGTATTGAGATCGTATTCTTCACTAGAGCAGACTTTATTTCATGACAGTGAAGATGTAGTGGTGTTTGGGGTTTGGCATAAGATAATATCAATAAATTTCTTTTCAAGTTCAAGATGGACACTTCAATTAAAATTTCCAATCACCAACATGAGAGCATGGGGGTGTTCTCTCGACCAATGGAACTATTCAAGGGTTTAATTGATTATTGAGATGAGCCATTCATGACCTTAATTTTAAGAATCCTCCATTAATTAAGTATATATTTTCATACTTATCAAATGCTTGTATTCTTTCACATATTATTATATCGGTGAAACAAATATATATATATATATATATATATATCAACCACTAAGAAATACTGGAACAGTTTTTTCTCATAAACATGGTTATAAATCAAATGTTTAAATGCCCAAGGCAGTCTGGATTAGAATGCATTGGCATACTAGAAATCTCTAATCATAATATTGGGGAAAATATGCACCTTGACCATGTTCCCCTTTGTTATGTTGAGATAATGTGCTGCCCGTGAAGGAACAAAAACAGCAACCTGAAAGTACCATGTTATTATTAATCATCAAATTTAGGAAACAATGTCATAAACTTCAATTTGAGATCAAAATATGAACTAGAACATGTATATGGTACCAATCACAAGAAGACACCTAAAGCATTAGATTGTAATATTTTAGCAATCCGTAGAGGAATGAAAAGAGACCTTCTGTAGTATCAAAACCGAGCCAACAGATATGTCCTTTCCGAACTCACCCTCTGTAAGAACTTTGCGATGAATGCTGGCCCCAATTGTTCCCGTAGGATCCTAAAACAGAAATTTAACCAAATTAATCACAATTATAACCAAATATCCACTATAGTATTGTCCATATCATCATAGTTATACCTTCAGGGTTACTATAAGATCACCAAGACCATTTGATGTGCAGGACTTGATAACAGCAACAACCTAACAATACACCAACCATTAAAAAACACACACACTCATATGGTGCACACAAATACATATCAAATTCAGCATTTAAAGTACCTGATCAACCCTAGAAATGTCTAGGCATTTCTTGATAGAGCTCAGAGGTGTAATAGGAAGGACACCGTCTACTTTTCCCCAAAAATAAAGAAGAAAAGAAAATTAATCAACAATAGAAATTCCAAAACAATATGTATAATATTCAAAATGAAAAAGCATTGATAGTACCATCACGACGAAGAAATTCAAGAGCGCAAAGCCACGGATTGCACTTGAAATCACCATCATCCTCATTTCCCTCTTCCACCGCCCTCCTTATGTATTCCTGGGTAGGGATCGGAGGATTTTCCCCGCCGCGGTTCTGATTGTCACGGGTCTTACGGAGCATGGCGGCCTGAACAGCGCCTGCGGGTCCGGGAATGATGCGACGGGAGGTGGAGGGTGGCGGAGACGGCGGGAGGTCGAAGTGGGGGAGAGAATGTTGAGAGCCTAGGGTTTGAGATTGGGTTTTGGGAGTGGGTTGAGAGCGAGAACAGGGTTGGAGAACTGATTGAGAGTGAGAAGTGTGATTGTGATTGGTTTGATTGAGGGATTGGTTTTGACGCTTGCAAGGACGGAGGAGAGAGGGGAGGTCAGAATCGTCAATGTCCAATGCTTCCCACGGCTCCATTTCCCCTCCTTTTCAACCTCTTGAAAGCGCGGGAGTGAGCTCCCGTATATGGGATTTTGCTCATATGGAATTGGCTTCTTTTGATTAAAAAAAATTTGAAGTTACTGGGCGGTATCCACTGTCCACCCGAACTCGTAAGCCTTCATTGTCATCAGGTCACAGGTGTGTGACCGTGTGTCTGGACTTTGATAGTTTACCCGTTTATTCAAAAAGTCGTGTTGCATACCCAATAACCCAATTATTTATATTAATTTTACTTTTCATCCAGATTTAACATGACAAGTTCACACTTATAACACCTATCAAGTCTACTAACATGGTCCAATAGAATTTAAAAAAATATATATTTATTTATATTTTTAATTTTAGCTATGATGGTATCATCACTCTTTTGAGTGGGGTGTTTAAACCGAAACTAATTCGTTGAAAGAAAAAGAAAAAAAAAAATCAAATATTTATTTTTAAATGTAAAGTAATAAAGTTTTGTGCATTTATCAATGTCTTGTGATTTTGAAAAAAAGTTCTGTTATTTCATGGGTAATTCTGGTTTGTCGACCTATTAGAATTATGGTACGTGCACAGGGTAAAATTGAAAATGGCTTTACGGATGAGACATGGCAGAACTCAAAAGAGGTACTCCCTAATATATGTCCCAACCCCTCTATTTGTAAATAATATATATATTAATATCCATTTTGCTTTAATTTTAAAAAAAGCATATCCATTTTCTATATTAACTTAAGTCTCACAATTCTCTTAAAAATGTGTTGCTGCTCTCATTTCCATTCCACACTGTGTGCCCGCTCCCGTTCCCAATCTCACTTTGTTGTTAACTAGTAGGCTTATGTTTTGGTAATGAAGAAAAGGCAATTATCTGTTTCAACAGGGTGTTGGAGTGAGAAATGATTTGAGATTTGGTTTTGTTTCGAAATAAATATTTTTTTAGATAAGATTTTTTTATATAGGTAAAATATTTTCTTTATTTATGTTTTTTTTGGGTATTTGTTAAAAGTGTAGGTAGAAGTTCAGGTCGAGTCCATCAGACATGACGTATAAAATAATTTGTTGAAAATTAATGAGTAAGTTACTTTTGTTAAGTTTTAATATTTTTTATATCGTAAAATTACGATAATTAAACATCAAAAAATAAAATAATATTTTTTTAAAAAAATATTTTACATCGAAATAAACCCCTTGAACTCGTGCCAATGACATCAATATCACTAAGGTAACAACCCTTGCTTTGGTGTTTGAGAAGCATTTTCCAGTTTATAATGTGAAAATAATAAGAATTGCCGGGCAAATTAATTCCAGATATTTACCTACTCTTAATTCTATCACCCTTCGGCACAAATTGTCATTGTGAAAAGATCTTCTCACGTTTGCATTCACCCCTTTAATAGTCTAATAAGATCAAAACAGCTATCATCGGGATATTAACTCGGTATAATAACAACTTCTCTCACATGGAAGGTGAGAGGTTCGAGCACCTGGTCAAAGCAGCTGGGACAATACAAATCAAAATACCAGTTGCGTAATACGGATCAAAGCAGCTTAGGTAATTGAATCAACACGCAAAGCAACACTTGTAAACATCAAAATACCAATTGTTTTGGTTACATAATTAAAGCAGATTGGAGAACATTACAAATAAAAAATAAATGCAGCATAATAATGAAAAATGGTTGATATACACGCAAGAACCCAAAGCTAAATGAGCTCATGGTTATGCCATCGATGAATTAACGGCATGTCAAGCCACAATTGCCAATCTTCTCTTCAGCCAACTCTGCACTCATCGTTTCAACGCAAGCCTACGCTGCCAAACTTGTGGTCAGTGATCCGATCCATCTCCTCCGCCATTTCTGCACTCAAATGATTCTTCCAGTCCCCGACCTTCCCTTTCCTAAAGAATGAACTCTTTTCTATCTCCAGCAAGCTAGAGCTACGTAAGCGATGCATTCCGGTCTTGTTAACACTCAAGTTGCTCAAATTTTCAAAACTACACAAGTTTATGATTTTTTGCACCATACCTTCCTTTTCTTCCTCTAATGAGAAACCATACCCCATGAACTCGGCCAATCTTTTCACATGAAATTCGGTGTCTCTCATAACATCTTCATATTTCAGGATGAGTACCCTCCCGGGCCATTCCAAGCTCGCTTTCCAGTACCCTATAACATGATCCCAATAGGGTCCATAGAAAGACATTCCTTTGCAGAACAACTTAAAAGCCTCCTCTAAAGGACAATATTCTTCTCTATGGTCCTTTGGAGCAATATACCTACCAGCAAAATGCCATAGTGAAACAAATGCATCCTTGGGATCCCGAAAAATGTAAACAATTTTACAACCCGAATCCATAATGGACTTTGGTAAGGATGTATAGGGAATGTGTGTGGCCACGAGTGGAAGTTGAGGGTCTCGGTTTGTTGAGTTGTGAAAGAGGTCACCCTCCACCGTTGGGATGCATTCATGTGGCATGGTGGTGAGTAAAGGGCTGGTGGTGGAGGGATCAAAACGAGCTCGAGTAACGATAGCATAAGTCAAGGCTTTAAGCCAGGTGGTGCCGGATTTTGGGACACTGCTCACCAGTATGTCACTAGGCTGAGCCTCGAATTGTTCTTGAGCAGACATGATTCCTTCTAAGAAGGTGGCCGGAAAATACCAAAAGCCTTGATATTGGTAATGAAAGCCTAAGGGTTTCCAACTATCATCTTTAGGGAGAGTAGAGATGATGTCTCTGTATCTGCTTTCATGGCCATTTGGAGATGATTCCTCCTCTTTGTCCAATGAGGTTCTTTGGGAAGGGAATGAGGGTTCCATGAAAATGAAAGGCCTAATTAAACCTGTCTAGGAAGTGCTAGTGTTGTGATGAGTTTTGGTAGTAAGATAAGATCGAGTACTAGGTTTATATAATGCTTGTTGGGTGTATTAATTATCATTATTATTTTTTTTATTTGCGTGTCATTCAATTTGAAAATAAAATATTTAATTTGAAAATTATTTATTTCATATATGTCTAAGCTGTATTCACCTACGGACACATCACCTTTAAGTATATTTGTTTCTTAGCTGATGACCCAACTCAATGGTTCACTGAAAATAAATAAAGAGTGCATGTGTATGCTTCTCAATCTCACCTGCCGAAAAATGGACCATAATGTATGACCGGAGATCCTATTAGATCCAGGACTCACTTTACCGAATCTGGACAAATTTTCAAATTCAAACTTAAAATGATCAAATTAGGGTTTAGTGAAACAGAGTACTGGCTTTATACGCTGTTTGTTGGGTTAATTATGACACACATCATTTTGGTGTGAAGGCCCAACCTCATTGTTCAGATGCAGAGGGAAATGTTAGATGAGGACGATTATCATCATCCCAAAAAACACACATCACTAAAATCACAACCACGAGTTCTGCTTTCCCATGCAAATAAAAAAAATTTGTTTTAATTATCGGTCAATACTACGTCAGTACTGGTCATATACATCCATTATGTTGCTTTCTCATCCAGCATTGCCATACATAATATTATGGAGAGATATATTTTAGGATCTCTCCATTTCGATCACCAATTCCTCGTGCGTAGTTTTAGGATCTTCCAATATCACAAATTTTGAACGCGTACAGATTTTGTCCATTTAGTTATGGAGACCATGTGGAGAGATTTATTATTATTATTATTTTAAATATATTATTTTATAATTCATTCAATTAAGGTAATTAACAAGAAATTGAATAAATTTCAGTTATTCTTTATTCTAGTATGATAGAGAGAGATTCTGGGTTGTTTGATTGAGGGAATGGTTTTGACGCTTGCAAGGACGGACTTCGGAGGGAGGAGAGAAGGGAGGTCAGAATCGTCAATGTCCAATGCTTCCCACGGCTCCATTTCCCCTGCTTCTCAACTTCTTGAAAGGGCGGGAGTGAGCTGTGTCTGTATATGGGATATTTGCTAATATGGACTTGGTTTCTTTTCCTAACCTGAGGCCGACCCTTGGTCCAGTAATTGACTTAGATATGACTCGTGGCACAATTCTTGTATCAATTCTTATAATATGATTCAGATTTAATTAATGAAAACTCAATTCACAACCATTATGCCCGAATGTGAGAGATCAAGCTGTTTCATAGAAAACAAAATAATTAATTAAATTTAAATTATGTGGTAGGTCTAAAACCTTTGAGAGCTGGAGAAGCTATTAGATATGATCTCCAATCGTGATGTGAGTAAAATTTGTTTGTTTGCTTCTTCTTTTTTTTTTTTGTCTCATTATTATTATTTTTACATGATGAATTTAATTATTTGTTCAAGCAAGCATCCGAAATTTAAATGGCTTAATTTAAATTAATTAAATTAAAAGAAAGTCTTGACATGATTTTTTTAGTGTAATTGTTTCCTGATAATGCACCCAATTAATGTACTCCATATGATAAAATGGACTTACATTGGAACTCAGGAATGGGGCGGGCAGCGTGTTGCACCGAAAAATTGACAAACTACATACATTGATTGGTACACCAAAACATTCTTAAACATTAACACTTTTATAAATATAACCATGATATGATGTGCCAGTTGCGACATGTCATTAATGTACTCGTTCAATTACCACATACATTATTTCGTTATCACTAATTTTATAAATAGGTAGATCAATTTTTTTTAAAAAACTACGTAATGCTATTCTTAAATATTAACATGCCATTAATGTACTCATCCAATTACCATGTACATATTAATTTGCTATTACTAATTTTATAAATAGGTGGATCAATTTTTTCAAAAATACTAGGTAATGCATTCTTAAATATTAACACTCTTAAATATTGTTAATCATGATATTGGAATGCACATATTATTTCGTTATCACTAATTTTATAAATAGGTGGATCAATTATTTAAAAAATACTACGTAATGCATTATGATTGACTAATACACTAATAACATGTCGCGCCCGCACCCAACATCTATAATAGGTCACTGACATTAAAAATAGAACCACACAAGTATTTGGTCATTTTTATATCTTTTACCACAATTGCAACTCATACAGATGGTCTACGGTTGCATTTGTCGAGTAGCAGAAAACAGTTCATTGAAAGCAAAAACTAGTCACTTGTTACCTGTGGGCAATGCAGCTCAATGACAAAGTTCAATCACTCTAACCGGAAACAATATGAGCAGCCAAAGCAACCAACACCGCCCGGACAAACATTTATTAGGCAAATCTGAGATCTAAAAATAAGCGCCAATACACCAAATACACATAAAACAGATGACTTGCGATAAAATATGAACAATTATGATACGATTTTTAAATTCTTATCAATTATGATACGATTTTTAAATTCTTATTTTTCCTGGAAGGTTATGAAAGAAAATTTTCAACAAAGAGCTGCAAATTGCAAATTGATGACGAGAAACTCAGTTTCAATTCTCTTTGCCATGTGCAGATTGATAATAAGCCAAATCAGTAGTAGGAATATAGATCCCAATAGAAAAGCTGTCATACAAAACAAAAGGCATACCAGTAATGGGGGGGTGCATAATATCAGTAGCATTGATGAGGTGATAACTGATGACACCCAACCCAATGATGGTCTGTTACAAATAAAGTGGTTATAATGAGATCCACGAACTATTTTTGTTATGCAATGAGATCCACAAACCACCCGACATAATTTTTCAACAATTATCTTCGTCAATATACAATAACATTCCCAATAAATTACCTAAGTATGTTGGGACAAGATAAATTACTTTGTGCGTGCTGTGTTTGAAAAATACTAGAATTTGCAGTTACAAAATAATAATAATAATTTAATGCAACTTGCACAAGTTCAAAATAGAGTCTAAAACTTGCTGAAGTTCAACAATTGTAATTTCAAAGACAAATCAGTCTTACCAACCAAAATTAAGTCCAACCAAGTTTCAGAAAATTCCACCTCATGTATCAATTGCAGTATCAAGGTACCAATAGGATATTCAAAAGCCAAGGAGATGATAAAATAAAATTTAAAATATGTTAAGCCAAAAGTAACATTTTAACAAACCATGAAGAGTTAAAATTAATAATGTTCAGATAGTAGCAAATGGAACATAGAGCATTAATAAAAGGAATACATTTACAACATTGTACTGTTTGTACAAACATCTAAGCACAAGACATACAGCCAGGATGAAAGAATTTAAGATTACGGAAACTGTTTGTACAAAACATCCAACCATCAGACATAAGTAGGCGAAAATTTAAGATTGAAGAAACTACACAACAGTTTCAATGGAGCATTTTTTGGTAGAAAATTATAGGCAACAGCCACCAAACACTGCTATTGGAGTGATTGAGTGAAAAGGAAGTTTGTTAAGCTTCAGACAGTAATTTAGTTCGACTTCAATCATAGAAGGTAGGTAAGGGCAATGGATGACCGTAGGTGCTCTTTAGCTTTCGTAGGTGAAGCAGAATCTATGTAGCTTTGCGAATACACTCAAAACTTCCTTCCCTACCAATATGCTTCCTTCCCTACCAATATGATCATCAGTACTGCAATCCGCATCTTTTATTACTTCTTCCATTGCATCACAATCAGAAATTTACAAAGTTCGAAAGTTTGGCGCGCAAACTAGCCTTCAAATTTTCAGGTGGTCTTGAGCTTCCTTAGAGATGATGATGGCCATGGGGTGGGAATCATCGGGATATACGGAATGGCGGGAGTAGGAAAGACAACCTTCTTGAAGAAACTCAACAATGAGCTTGCAAATCAATCACGTGGCAAATTTGATGAGGTGATATGGGTTGTGGTGTCTAAAGGTCAAAACAGTGTGGAGAGCATTCAAGATAAAATTGGAAAAAAACTAGGTTTTCAGAGGACAAATGGAGGGATCAAAGCCAAGATGAGAAAAAACAAGGCTTTTGAAAATGAAGAGATTTGTATTACTTTTGGATGACATATGGAAGCGGATTGATCTTCTTGAAATGGGAATTCCATTTTCAAACAATCAAAACAAGACCAAGGTAGTATTCACCACCCGATCCAAGGAAGTGTGTGGTCCTATGGAAGCAAAAAGAAGATTAAAACAAAATGTTTGGCATGACAGGAAGCCTGGGATTTGTTTAAAGATAGGTTGGAGAAGAGACCCTCAATTTAGATCCTCTACTACTGAAGCTCGCAGAAGATGTTTGCAAAGAATGTGACGGTTTTCCATTGGCAGTAGTTACAATTGGTCACAGCTGAAGGATCTAACATGGCTAGTTCGCGTGTCAAACCTTCAAACTTCTGAATTTTTTTTATCGTAATGCAATGGAAGAAGTAATAAAAGATGATGAAGAAGTGTTGGCTAAACGAGATTCATGGTACATGTACTCATCAATCTCAACACTATGAAGCTTTTGCACTTTGAAGCTTTTCATCATTGACTAGGGCCTGTAGTATAAAACAGAGATGTTTAGAATAACCAAAGAAGAATATGCTAAAGAAAGTTTTTACTCTTACACACACAAAGATATACACATAGATAAATAAGTAATTAAGAATATATATGTAATATGTTTTAAATGGTAGTATAAAGTGTGAACCATTCCAAAGAGCTTCGTCTCCAAAAGTTGAATGTCCTCTTGCTCATTGCTCCTGTGTACAAAATATTATTTGTTTTCCATTGGAACTAATCCAATTGTAACCAGCACCGATTGAAAACCGCCGTACTCTTTGCAAACATCTTCTGTGATAGGGTCTCTTCTCCCACCTATCTTTAGCAAATCCCAAGCTTCCTGCCGTGCCAAACATTCTGCTTTAATCTTAGCTTCCATAAGACGACACATTTTCTTAGAACGAGTGGTGAATACTAGCTTGGCCTTGTTTTGATTGTATTGAAGTGGAATTCCCACTTCAGGAGGATTAATCTGCTTCCTTATGTCATCCAAAAGTAACACAAATATCTTCATTTTAAAAATTCTAAAGATTTCTTGTTTGTTCTCATCTTGGCTTGAATCCCTCCATTTGTCCACTTGAAAACTTAGCTTTTTTTCAATTTTATCTTGAATGCTCTCCACACTATTTTGACCTTTGGACAACACAACCCATATCACCTCATCAAATTTGCCATATGACTGATTTGCAAGTTCATTGTCGAGTTTCTTCAAGATGGTTGTCTTTCCTACTCCCGCCATTCCGTATATCCTGATGATTCCCACCCCGTGGCCATCATCATCTCTAAGGAATCTCAAGACCTTGTGAAAATTTGAATCCGAGCAGTTAAAGGATCTAACATGGCTAGTTTGAATGCCAAACTTTCAAACTTCGGAAATTTTTTATTGTGATACAATGGAAGAAGTAGTTTGGATGATGATGAAGTGACAGGTAAATGAGATCCATCGATCTCAGCACTTTTAAGCTTTTCATTGACTAGGGCCTGTAGTATAAAACAAAGATGTTTTAGCATAACCAAAGAAGATTATGCTAGAGATAGTTTTACTCATACACACAAAGACATACACATAAATAAATAACTAATTAAGAATATATGTGTAATATGTTTTAAATGTTAGTATAAAGTGTAAACCATTCCAAAGGGCTTTGTCCCCAAAAGTTGAATGTCCTAGTGCTGAGTTGCTCCTGTATACAAAATACTTTCTTAAATATATATAAAATAATTAGTATAAAACAAATATGTTTTAGCATAACCAAAGAAGATTATGCTAGAGATAGTTTTACTCATACACACAAAGACATAAACATAAATAAATAACTAATTAAGAATATATGTGTAACATGTTTTAAATGTTAGTATAAAGTGTAAACCATTCCAAAGGGCTTTGTCCCCAAAAGTTGAATGTCCTAGTGCTGAGTTGCTCCTGTATACAAAATACTTTCTTAAATATATATAAAATAATTAATAATTTCAAATAATGAAAGTGTTGAACTTTGGTAATCAAATGCGAATTTGAATTTTACTAGCATTAATCTTGTACGTCTCTTAATTGTTAAATTCTGATATTATATATATATATATATATATATAAAATAGAAACTTCTCTGCTCTAAAAAATGCTACTAGTTTAGGCTACAAAGGCTTTGGTAATAAGAGCAGTACAATATAAGACAAGGTTATAAAAAAAATATAATCTAAAATCTAGAAAACATATGGCAGAATACTATAAACTTGTACAAAGAGTAAACACATTCAGCTTTTTAGAAAATGAATCCCCCGTCGTCAAAAAATGCAACTAACAAATCCAAGGTTGGCAAGGAGTAAAACTATTTCCCAACTACAAGAGATTGAACTCTGTCGAAAGAAACTTGTCCATGCCACTTATAAAATTTCATTCGTGTCTACCATGAAATGAACTGCTATCATATGTACACAGACTGTTGAGCTTCCCAACTTTATGCAGAGTATTCAAAAGCAAAGAAAGCACACTAAAAAGCAGTAAAACAAAAAAGAAAAAGAAGTGTGAATGAGAGAATGAGAGAGCTCGAACAATAAGGGTTGAGCCATCTCATATATTTAAAAGGTAAGAACTGAATATTCAGATGGTCCAATTACATAATATATATTTAGATTCCAAATATTAGCTTGATTTCTGATTTAGAGAGATTATACATTTACATAAAAATAAAAAATAATAAAAATTAGATTACACATAGATTTTCAGATTCCACGTATTAGTTTAACTAGAAATAAATTTCCGGATCTGACTAATAAATCAGGTAGAGACTATATCAAAATATCAAAGTGAAACAACATACATATGTTTAGGCAATTTTCAAACACATTAAAAACACACAAATATACTAAAAGGATCAATAATCACGAGACTATACAAACACAAAAAGAGAAAAAATAGATTTGTTATGTCATTTAAATAGCGAAAGCCGATCAATGATAAAAATCGAAGATATCAATACATAATTCAGAGTGAGGAGGTTGAAAACCCTACCTGCGAGTTCCGATATGGATCCATCCTTCGGAGACTGGGATGTCTGAGCTAGTGACTCGTGGAAGCCGAAGGTTTTTGCAAATTAGGGTTGGGAAAGTGAAAGAGAAGAACCGTCGCGTCTAGTCTGGGGCGTGCTGGTGGAGTAATGACTCGACCACGGCGCACGCGGCGCAGGGTTTTGAAAGGATAGGGTATTCTATATATAGGGGTGTGTGAGGATTGTTAGGGCATGAATTCAATTTTTTTTCTTAATATATTATTTTCAATGGATGGTATGACTAATCAACTTAATACATTTTCTTTTTCTTTTTTCGTTTTTAGTTCAAATTGAGATTCATATTTATTACTAGACAAATTTATAAATAAAAAATCTAATTAAAAAAAGGACAAATTACAAAAACACTCTCTTCAGCTTATAACTTTTTTAGTAAAATTTCTCGTCTAATTTTTTTTATCAAAAACTTCCATCTGTAGCATTTTTTCAATAAATCTCTTTTGTTTAATTTTTTACCAAAGAATCCCCTCAACTATTTTGGAGTAAAAGAGTTTATATTTAAACCAAAATGTCATTTTATTTAAATCTTAATTTTCTCGAACTTTAAAAATTCATATATCATAAACAAACTGTACATCCAAATATTACAAATAACTTATGTACGAAAAGTTTATAAAACAAAGATTTTAGAAATATAAGATTTATTTATCTAAACTTCATAACCAAAGAGAAATAGACTTTAATAATCTTATTCATTTTTTTTTTTTTTTTAAATGGCGAGTCTATAAAAGAATGAAAATATTTTGAGGCAAAATATGATATCTCATTAAATCAATCTCTGTTGGGGCTAAATTTTTTATATATTCATTTCCATATGTAAATGAATAATTCGTGAAATTTTTTTTACAAATATCTCGAGTATTTTTAAAATAAAATAAGATTGTTGGAGTAAATTTTTATATTTCCTATTTCCTCTGGTTATGAAGGTTTGTTACACAAATCTTATATTTCTGGAATTCTTATTTCAAAAGTTTTTTGTGCATATATTATTTACAATTTTTAAATATATGTTTTGTGATATATGAATTTTTGAAGTTCGGAAGAATTAAAATTTAAATAAAAGAACATTTTGGTCCAAATATTAACTCGTTTACTCCTTTCAGATAGTTGAGGAGAGTTCTTTGATAAAAAAAATTGGACAAGGGAGTTTATTGGAAAAATATTATAAGTTGAGGGGAACTTTTTGTACTGTGCCCTTAAAAAAAACACACTTTACAATGAAATTTGCACTACAATTAAGAAAGAGTAAATTTTAAAGTTTATAAAACAACAAAGTTTGATTACTAGATCATTAAGCCTCGTCAAATTTATTAATTCAAAATGTAAAGAGGCGTGAAGGATGGATAGAGAGAGCGTGGCTTTGAATAATAATAATAATAAAAGAAGAAGAAAGAAATCCGGAGAAAAAAGAAAAGAAGTTATGTATAGCGATGTGAATCATTGTACAGCATCGAATTACATCAAGACACACTGCCATATATGCAAAACATTTAATATTACAGAAACTACACAGAACAGTTTCAATGGATTATTTTTTTTGGAAGAAAATCATAGGCAACAGCCACCAAATCCTTACAATTTGACAGACAAATTTAGATATTGCGAAAGAAAACTTTCTATGTCTTGAAATTTTGCAAAACAACAGGATCAGAAGAGTCAAGTGTTAATTGCTGTGGAGAAGAGACATTTCTTTGACTCCTCTGAGTTAAACAAAACATTCCATATTGATCTCATAAAATTTACATCAATTTGAATTTATGTGGGTGATTTGTGGTTGTATTTGGTTCATTCCATAGCATCAAATAATAATACCATCAACCTTAACTGTTTTGCAGTACAATTCATTCAAAAAAAAAAAAACCTCTCACTCGTAACCATGGTTCGTAGTCGCGGCCGCAATGTAACGAACTCAGACGAATATCGATATAAACCGGCCAAACCAACCAGTTCATAGAAGTGTGTAATGGTAACGAACTACTGAAAAGATGTTATGAACCGGCTAATACGTCGCGTATCGACCGATACGGCTTGATAATCTGTAACCTATATTTCGTGTGATAAATTCAGGTTGACCTGCATTTTACCAGGCACAGAGATCTCAAATAGAGAGCCAAGCTGATACATCAATTCGCATAAAGATGAATAATTATAACGGAAAAGTCAAAATTTTCAAAGCACCTGAGAAGACTCTAATCCGAAAACGCACACAGATCTTCGTGGAACTTGGTCTTCTGACAGAGAGCTGCAAATTGAACCAGAAGCTCATTTTCAACTCTATTTGTTATATGCAGATTTAATATTGGTAAGGCAAAACAGTAACTCTTAACATATGCTTCGTTAAATGATTCACCGTGTAACCGAAGGTTAGATTTGTTACAGCCAAACTGTTGAAAGAGATAATGAACATATATACTAATCAAGAATATAATCAGCACCCAAGACATCAAAATGCAATATTAGAAGAAATGAAAAAAGTTGACTTTAACAAGCCAAGGATTTCTCTTCACACAACCTAATTGTTTGCCGTAAGATCTCTCCACATAAACGCCACATAGATCATGACTAATGATAATCCCATTAAAAAAAGAAAAAAAAAAAAAAGAAAAAAAAAAAGGGTTTGTTAAAAACCTAATACGAGCAAGAGACAACAATTTCTACCATTAACACAGATAAATCCACCAAACATGGATGCTAAAAAGGTCTACACTATCAAACCACAAAGACTAAAGAAAAAAGAGGTCACAATTTTACCTTTTGATTGTATTCATTTTAAAACTGTCTATATCGGATCCACTTTGGGCTACATGAATTTCTATTTTTTCATTCCTTTCTACTCAAGGCCATGGTTTTGGGCAAACCAATATTAAATAGTAAGACCATACTAACAAGAAAATTTGAAATGGACAATATTCAAACATTTGTAGAACATTAACAAAAGAACACACCTATAGCGTTTTACAGCAACTAGGGATATTGGACACACAGTGCAGAACAAAGAATACCTAAAACTAGGCATAAGAGTCACCATGGAGCATATTTATGAAAAAAAAAAAAAAAAAAAAAAAACGAAAAGAAAAGAAAAAAGAAGAACAGTTCATACACATTAACACATAGAGTAAATCAATAATATAAGAAGTATATTGAAGCATTAGCAAAACAGAATGCAGAGTATGAATATAAGAACACATATACGCCATTTTAGGGCAACTAAGCATAATAGACGGTGTGCCCAGTATGCCGAACACTCCCTATGGATCATTTTAATCAGAAAGTGCTGAAAGACAATTTTACAACTGAATGAAAATAATGCATGAAAAACTTTCCTGAACATCCATGTCTTGAGATATTAAAAGGAAAAAAAATAGAAGAAAGAAAAGTATATATTCTTTATTTGTAAGTACTTTCAGAGATGTGGTGAATTACAGAGTTTGTGCTAGTTCATTAGGCAAGAGAAGCATCAAATGATGGAAAGGAGGATTGTTTGGGTTTGGCAATGCAGGAAATTGGAATTGAAAAAGAGTTGGATGTGAGTGAAGTGACCTTACCTTACCTTAGCTGATAGAAAGAACGAACTCTGTTCGATCAGGGGATCTCTTATTCTTCTTCATAAATGTAACGATTGTCTATCTCCACGCAGGGGATGTCGGCGATGATGTGCTCATAATCCCCTCTGCCCTTCTTACACCTGTCTTTTAGTTTTGGACATAAAACTATTTCCAGCCTTTGAAGCGTGGAAGGCAGCCCCTCCTTAGACAAGGACTCGAGCTTAGGGCAGTTGAGCAATATTAGATGTTGAAGAGAGGTGAGGTTCCGGAGCCCCTTTGACGATATGGATTCCACATTTGGGAGATTGCCAATAAATAACTGGGTTAGACTTGGAGGAAACACACACAAGTACTCTTCTTCATCATTATCAGGAAAGCGAACCATCTCTGAAAGCCCACCAAAGATGCAGAATTTTTCCAGAGAGGTGAGTCTGTGCAGGCCCCACTCTGACAGGGATGGCTTTCCATAATCACCATCAACTAAAATTTCAACAAGTTTTGGGGGCAAATTCCCATTTCCAAACAACTCAACATTTGGACAATGACGTAATAGGAGGATTGAGAGGTTTTGAATCTGGTCGAATGGTGGCAAGGACCTCAGATTCACACAGTTGTGGATTATTAGTTTTCTGAGGTTGGGAATGGATAAACCTCTTTCTGGGAAACACTCTAAACTATCGCAATTGTGTATGGACAGAAGTTTGAGATTTGCGAAATGGTTCAGGTACCCAACTAACCTTCCCATATTTGTCCAATTCTTTATGATTATAGTTTCAAGTGCTGACATGCTGCTGCTGCTGCTGCTCTCGCATACCATTGTTTCTGAAACCCACCCCAATTGCATGCAATTATCAATAATAATATGCTTGAGTATGGTGGGAAACATGTTTGTCGGCCATGAACTCAAAGACGAACAATTTAGGACAAACAAAAATTCAAGATGAGAGATGCCATCAGGGATGGACTTCAAACCCTCGCACACTTCCAGCCAAAGGCCCGAAAGCTTGGATGGAACACCATTTTCTGGAAAGCACACAAGTTTTGGACACCCAATCACAGTCAACCACTCAAGAGACGTCAGGTTGTTCAACCCACTTGGTAGCTTCTCCAGATTGGCACAGTGAAGTATTTTCAATGTCCGAAGTTTACAAAAGGGCACTGGGGATATATCTTCGTCATCCAATGTAAAACCGTTCTCCCACAAAGTAACCAGTTGCTCACATTTATTAAATTCAAGAAAATCAAGTGCCGCCAAAAATTGCATCAGTTCTTCCGGGAGTTTAGATAGCCCTGCAACACTCGTGACTTTAAAAGTAATAAGTGAGTTCAAATCAGTAAAACTTTTTAACACCACCTCATCACATTCTTGCAGGTGTAATTTGCAAAGAGAGGGAAGCTTTAAAATTGAAACCCTCCTCAACTTGGGACATTTCCGTATAGTAAGCACTCGGAGATGAGGGAATTCTCCTGTAGCTTCTTCTTCCGGCCCATTATTAAAGAAACACCATTCTTCCCATTCCGGCATATCTTCAAACGTTAGCCTCTCCAGTGATTGAAAAGCTGGAAATTCTGATGGACAATCGTATTTGCAGAACTCTGCCCCGATACTTTTAACTCCGTGCATGCCTCCAACAAATAAGTCTTTGAGCAAGGGTAGTTGTCCGACTGGTGGTAAAGATTTGCATCTTGAACAACAACTGAGACTTAGATTCACCATTTTAGAGAACGTTGGATCTCCTATCCACCTTGGAAAACTCATGCCACCGTAGAACTCAACTTTGAGCTTTTTTAGGTTTCTATGTGGTTGTAGCTTGCAAAGTACATCCATTTCAAAATTTTCATTTCTAGAATCATCCAACTCTTGACTCCATGCCAACACTAATTCATCAAGGTGCTGCCTACCCACTAAATTGGCATCCATTGCTTCTTGCACACCCATTACATTTTCTAACTTTACAATAGAAAGCATTCCTCGAAGATACAATAGGTCCTTCAACTCCGTTAGTCTTAACCCATTGCCTTTTCCCACAATAATCTTTGACAATGTCTGCAAATTTGTTAATTTACCAATCCCCAAGGGCATCTCCTGCAACAGTTTGGTGCCAGCATTGTCAAGATGGCGCATGCTAATTAAATTTACAATGCTCGGGGGCAACATACACAGACGGCCACAGTTGCGTAACAATAGTGTTTCCAGATTGCAAAGAGTACCCAATGATTGAGGTAACCATTTGATTGAAGTATAAGACAAATTAAGGTACCGCAGCTGCTTTAAATTGTCAATTGAATCTGGTAGCTTGCTTATGTGATAACCAGACAAAGACAGCACCCTTAAGCATTGCAATTTAGGCAATAGATCGAATAAAACCTTGTGACTTAAGTAGGAGATAGGCTGTCCATGTGAACCATTTTCAGATAACGGTAAGAAAGTTCGCAAATGGTTAACTTGATAAAGAGCCCTAAACTTTTGGAAGACTTGATAAGTTCGATGAGTGTATGACAAATGGCGAGCACATGTAGGAATTGTATATTGCTCATTGCCCTCAAACTTGTCCAGCAGCCTAAAACATATTTCTCCAGCAAAAAATTGAGCTAGTTCATTTAAAATGTCATGCATCACAAATCCAGTCTTATTGCCACTTGATTGCTGGAAAAATGACATTGATAATAAACCATCAAAACATTCTCTGCCGAAATCTTCCTTGCGTTTTTTCCTTTCAGATAGTTGTAAGAGACCTTCTGCCATCCATAACAAAATTACTTCATCTTTGTCAAATTCATAGCCCTTTGGAAATATTGAACAGTAAGCAAAGCAGCGCTTCAAATGGGAAGGAAGGTGATGGTAGCTTACTCTCAGAGCCGGAAGGATATTACTTCTCCCTTGTGGTAGCTCCCATATGTTGCTGTTTAATATATCTTCCCATTCATCTTGGCGAAACTTATTCCGTAACAGGCCTCCAAGCGTCTTTGCTGCCAAAGGTAAGCCGTTACATTTTTTCACTATTCTCTTGGCAACTTCTTCGAGTTCCGGATGTGCATCAAAATTTCTTCTTCTGAGTGCATTTTGAGCAAATAAAGATAGACAATCATCATCATTTAACCCCTTCAGGTAGACAGCAGGAACAGTTCCCATGATTGATGCAACATTGTCACTACGAGTTGTGATAATAATTTTGCTTCCTGGTGCCCCAACAGAAAAAGGACTAAGTAACTTGTCACACTCTTCGGGATTCTCATTCCAAATATCATCCAAAATAAGAAGAAACTTTTTCCCAGACAAGAACTCCTTTAGTTCAGTGGTAAGCTTATTTTGATCCTCGAAGTTCCAAACAATTGAAGTGGCTGATTCAAGAACCGTCTTTGTCACCTTAAAAAAATCAAAATCATCAGAAACATAAGCCCATGGCTTCAAATCAAAATGACCCTTCAAACTGTCATCGTCATACAGAAGCTGAGCGAGAGTTGTTTTACCGACGCCTCCCATACCCACAATTGGAATGACAGAGATCTCTTTATGACTAGTTTCATCTCTCAATAACAACTCAAGTATTGCCTCTTTATCTTTTTCTCTGCCATAAACATCAGACTTGTTTGCCCAAGCAGGTGGGGGCAATCTTTCTCTCACCCCTCCAGCACTTTTTTCCAAACCCAGGTCATTTTTTAGTGCTACAATAGCTTGTAATCTAGCATTGATGTCCTCTATCTTGGATCTCATGTTGTAATCAAACATAAAAGCACCAGGAGTAGGGAAGCCAGTGAAGCAAATAGGGATGAATTTTTGTACCTTGCTGCTGGTGCTGGCGTGAGGTTTCTGATCCATCAACTCCCGTCGCAAAGCTTCGGTGGCAAACTGGTCCAGCAAATCATCCAAATCGTAAGCCAGTTCGTTGAGACGCTCCAACCATATCTTCACAGCTTTGTCTGTTATCTGCTTCTCCTCTGCATCACCAATCACGGCTTGAATTATCATCAATGTATCGCTCAATTTGGTCAACTTAGTGTGAATTCCTTCTCGACGTGCAAATTTGAGCAACTTTGGGGAGGCCAACTTGTGAAACAGCACCTGAATGAATGCAGACAGAAAGATCTCTCCGATAGCCATCTTTCAACCTTTGGAATCAATTATCAGCAATGAACAACGTGAAGATCGAGAGAAAACAATAGCAAGCAAACCAAAAAATAAGCCAGAGAGAGAAGTTAATTATTTTTTGTGTGGAAACTTGATGATGAGTAAGGTTGACTCACTGGGAAGTCAATTAAGGACGCTAGGCGATTAGGACATTAGGAGCTGCTGGCGGGTTTCATAAAGCACATATGATGGTCCCATCCCATCAAAAAATAGTATTATTGGAGATTACCATACATATTACAAGCTAAAGAGCTTTTATCAAAAGTCAGGATTACAATGCTCAAAAGGTGGCCCTTTTGCAATGCCCAGCTCAGCCCTTTGTCTTTCTCTTCATTCAGATGGATAAGAACAAAAGTAGCTAAACCCCCCTTCCTTTTCAATGAGGCTCAAATTTACTGTGTCTTAACTGTTTTATAATTGTTAATCACGCTTAATTTAGATTATTACTTCTTTATTTGAAACTTTCTCAAACAATGTCTTAAAATTGGCAGGCCGGAACTGTGAAATCCTCTACTAAGAAGTTACAGTTCATGTTGGATGATTGAAGAAGCATTACACATCTTCAATTGGCTTGTGGAACTGCAAAGTCACACAATCCTTCTTAATGGGTACCGTTCTCAGGCTCGGCTCTCACTCCCATTTCTAATCTGTGTGACTTAAATTTTCCCGCTCCCTCTTTATGTAGTGTGAAAGAACTCCAAATCCTACTTTATAAGCAGCATGTGTCAAAGAGTTCCTTCAAATTAAGAACAGGGGAGCGCTATACCATTAAAGGAGGCGTTTAAGTTGTTCTGTAAAGGAATATATATATATCTCTCTTGGTATGGACCTTATTGGGATCATGTTATTGGGATCATGTTAATGGGATACTAGAAAACAAGCTTGGAGTGGCTGAGAGAGTACTTATGAAATATGAAGAAATAATGAGACACCGAATTTTACATTAAAAAATTGGCTGAGTTCATAGGGCAATCCTTTTGCTTTGGAGGAAGAAAAGAAAGTTATGTTGCAAAAAATCACAAACTTGTGTAGTCTTGAGAATTTGAGTAATTTGATTGTCAACAAGACCATGTAAGGAAAGTGGGTGCAAAAAATCACTAATGCTTAAAGATGTTTGGGAAAATATCACTCGTCTTTCTAACTTAGGCCTAATTAGTACTCCTAATATTTTAAATATTACGCTGACCTCCTTCACAAAAGTCTCCGGCAATATTAAATGACTAAAATATCCTCTATTATTAAATCAATTTAATTAATTTAAAAATCCTTTAATAAATTACCCATTTGTCCCATTCTCCCCCTATTTTCCATATTTGCAAAAATAAAGAAAAAAACTGAACCAAGGAAAAAAGACTTCCAATTAATCCCATTATTGAACCAATCCACCATATACACATTATGAGACTTGGATCGATCTGACCTGAACTTGCCACCATTGTTGAACCCATCATCAAAGTCCGCCTAGTTACACCACCACAACCACCACCACTCCCAACTCCACAACCACCGCCACATACCGCCCCCACAACCACCACAATCAAAGTCGCCCCCAAACCACTGGCGTCGTCTCCAGCCGGACAACTACCTCCATGTATTCCGGCATGATCTACCACTGATACCACCACATCCCCACCTCCACTCTCACAACCACCACGATTAATGTCATCACCCCATTATTCAATATAAAATCAGAATCACAACCTTCACTTATTCATTGCCATCACCATCGCCGTACTTACCTCATCGGTGACTCTGGGGATCTCTGGATTTCGACGACCGTGACGTATGTACCTCCACAACGTGCATCGATTCCGGCAGCGATTTTCCATGTGTTTGTGGAGGAACCGATCGATTGCGCCGGCGAGTTCAAAGGATTGGATTTAGTTTGGCAGATTGTCCGTACCGGTAAATCGATTTGTGTTTTCTCCACAAGGAAATCCGAGATGTTCTTCGCGATGTTATGTTGGGATACCCATAAGAATCAACGAGGCGCGGACTGCCTGAAGTCGGACCTCCTACCGAACCCCCTGACGATCATTTCCTTTCGAAGTTGTGCAGCAGTTTTACCGCCGTGTAGAGGGATTGGCATCTTCATCCGTATAGTTCAGCACACCAGAAAGGGGAGACACCACAGAGAAGAAGGATGAAATCTTCGTAGTCGCCATTTTTTTTTACAACTGATGCCGCCTTTGACATTCTTTCGTCCTGTTTCACTTGCTCGGAAACGGTGCGATTTCTACGCCGGGGGGGGGGGGGGGGGGGGTGGTGTTGGGTTTGAAACGGGGGCGGTGATCATGGGTTTAACATTGAAGCGGGCAAAGAAAAGGTCGGCGGCGACGAGGGTGGTTTTGAGAAGAGAGAAGAGGGGAAGTAAATGATGATGCTTTGATTGATGATGACCATGATAATGCTGATTGTGTTGGTGGAGTTTTGAACAAGAGAGAATAAATGGGTTTTGAGAATGATGGAGGTGATGATGGAGTGAAAGGAGTGGTTGATGATGGTACTGTACGCAGCAAGAGTGATTCAGAGAGGGGAAATGGGTCTATGGTTGTATGATAAGTTGATAACAGAGGTTTTTTTTTTAAAAAAAAAAAAAAAAATTAATATTTTTGTTTTTATTTTTTGCCCTTTTTTATTTCTATTAGGGTATACAAGTAATTTAAATAAAAATGAAGATGTAAAAGTCTTTGCAGTCTTTCTTGGGGGCAAATATGGCATTTCACCCCTCAAAATAGCTTATGTCATAAAAAATTATTGAAAGGGGAAAAGTGGTTGATAAGGGAGCTTTGAGGGAGAACGTATAACTTCGATAGGTAAGTAATAGTTTTTCAAAAAGTTTTGTATTATGTCTTATAGGAAAAAATAAACATATCTTGGTCTTACGATAAAGGCAACTAAGTGTTAATCAGCCATCAGATCTATTCGGTGATCAACGATAATATTTCGTTATTAGGGGTAATGATTTCTATGGATAAGAATGATGATAAACATCGAAATCATCATTCTGACATAATACAAAATATTATCATCATTCTGACATATTAGGGGTCAGATCTATTCGGTTATCATCATTCTTATCCATAGAAATCATTACCCCTAATAACGAAATATTATCGTTGATCACCGAATAGATCTGACGGCTGATTAACACTTAGTTGCCTTTATCGTTAGGCCAAAATATGGTTATTTTTTCCTATAAGACATAATACAAAACTTTTTGAAAAAATATTACTTACGCATCGAAGTTATACGTTCTCCCCTAAAGTCAGCTCCCTTATCAACCGATAAGATTTTCATAGGCTAAGTTCCATAGGATAAAGATGACGAAATTCCCTTATCGAGGATAAGGGAAGCGACCAATAAATAGGACGACGACTCGGGAATAAGGTACACATAAAAAAAAACTCCTACTAGGGAAATTACGATTGAAATTCTTTCTCTAGAAACCCCTACTAACTTGATCGTCAGAGGGTCAACGATCGGCACCATACTGGTGTTTGACTTTGCCGTCTTTGTTTTGCAAGAAATGGTGTTGTACCAGGCCGCGGCGAATTTCAACCTCAACAATTGGCGCCGTCTGTGGGAACAACGATTCCCTTGAATCAATTAATTACTCGGTTGGGTATATACGTTTGTGGTCCGGTATGGTTACCGAAGGAACACCGTCGCAGGAATCTGGTCAAATGGTTGAGTCAGGTGAAAGCCTAGACGTCCCAAATGACCAGATATGGCTTGCAGCATTGGAACTACAGGTCCAAACTCTGAGTCAAGGTATGGACCAGTTGTTCCAGCAAAATGCAGCGCTCCTGCAATATCTTGTTCCACCGGTTCAATAAAACTTGCCACGACAGGATCTCTCAAGTCCAAACGGAGGTAATGGGAATCTTGAAGAGCAGGATAATCATCCCCCCCAAAATGAGACCGAAATGGAACAAAGCTGGTGGGAAACTGACATAGAGAGATGGTCTACCCATCTCTCCCACGGAGTTCCTGACTTCATGAAGGCATAGTTTTATGTCTTAAGGAAAAGACAAAGAAAGTTACCTATTTCGACCTGCAGATCGAGGATCTCAAGGGGAAAATGGAAGATGTAATGCAGGCTATGACAGGGAAATGTCATGCCACCGTAGATGACCTGGTACAAAGGACCAACTTGCCGTTCAGCCCCGCCGTTACGAAATGTCCACTGCCTAGCAGGTTCAGGATGCCTTTGTTCGAAAGCTTCGATGCGACCAAAGATCCCCTCGATCACCTGGAAACCTTTCAAGCTCTTATGCATTTACACGCCGTGCCAGACGAAATCATGTGCCAAACTTTTCCCACTACACTTAAGGGATTAGCAAGAGTTTGGTTCAACAAGCTGAAACTAGGAACCATCAACACTTTCAAAGAACTAAGTAAGTAATTTGTGAGCCACTTCATTGCAGGTCAAAAGTATAGGAGGTCGGCTACCTACCTGTTTACCATGGAGCAACAAAAGGAAGAGTTGATCCGAGAATACATCACCCGATTCAACGCAAAGATGTTGCAGGTAGAAAAGGTAGACGGTAAGGTAGCTTTGACTGCTTTCATAGGAGGACTCCAAACCTCCAGATTCTTGTTCTCCTTATCAAAAGAACCTCCACCAATATGGTATAGTTGCTGATCAGAGCGCAAAAACACATCAACGCTGAAGACATCATGAGTGTACGGAAAGAAGGAGAGAACAAAAAGAGGCCAGCCCCTCTCGTCAGGGATGAAAATGATACTAAATACAAGATATCGTTCTTCAACCAGAGCGATAACACATATCATAAGAAGGACTCAGATGAGTATACCGACTAAAAATTGTTTCACAGCTAGAATTAGCCTTATCAAGTCATTCACAATAAAGAGTATGGACATCTTAGTTAATCATTTTAATTAGAGGGTAGCTCCCTCACGTGTTATCTTGTTTTCAATAAGCCTTGAGGCAATAATGGTCTTTAATAAAATTCCTTTCAGTTGCCTTGACTCTTGGTCAATTATTTTTATACGTGCAGTATCCCCGTATTACATGAAATAATAAATGAGTGTCACGTATTATAAAGACCCGGGCTGAATGAATCCCGTAATCCATATCCCCGTACTATAAGGGATAGTAAATGAGTGTCCTGTATTACAAGGACTCGGGCTGAGTGAATCCCGTAATCCATATCCTCGTACTATAAGAGATAGTAAATGAGTGTCATGTATTACAAGGACCCGGGCTGAGTGAATCCCGTAATCCATATCCCCGTACTGTAAGGTATAGTAAATAAATGTCCTGTATTATAAGAACCTGGGCTGAATGAATCTCGTAATCAATATCCCCTTACTATAAGGGATAAATATCCTGTACTAAAAGGACCCGGATTGAATGAATCCCGTAATCACTATCCCCTTATTATAAGGGATAGTAAATAAAAGTCCCTTACTAAAGGGACGAGCTGAGTAAAGCTCGTAAAATTTAATTCCCTTATTAAAGGAGTGACGACCTGAGTGAAACTCATACAATTTATTTCCTTACCAAGGGAATATTACCCAAGGATACCAAAAATAGTACCAAAGGGAAGAGTACCCAAGGGAAGATAACCCAGGGTACAAAAAATAGTACCCAAGGGAACATTACCCGATGCCAGAGTATCCAATGGAAGATTACCCAAGGGTAAAAAAAAAAAATACTGTTCAATGAACAGTACCCAGCAGGGAACAGTGCCGGGTGCCAAAAAAAAAAAAAAATTATTATTCTTACATTCCCAAAGCTAGACGAGCAAGCTTGGGAATGGGGGGCAACTGATAGGAAAAAATAAACCTATCTTAACTTAACGATAAAGGCAACTAAATGTTGATCAGCTGCCAAATCTATTCGGTGATCAAAGATAATATTTCGTTATTAGAGGTAACGATTTCCATGGATAAGAATGATGACAAATCTTATTAAGGATAAGATTTCCATGGGATAAGGATGACGAAATTCCCTTATCAAGAATAAGGGAAGCGACGATAAATAGGACGACGACTCGAGAATAAGGTACACACAAAAAAACTCCTACTAGGGAAATGACAATTGAAATTCTTTCTCTAGAAACCTCTACTAGCTTGATCGTCGGAGGGTCAACGGCCGGCACCACACCGGTGTTTGACTTTACCGTCTTTGTTTTACAGGAAACGATGTCGTACCAGGCCGCGGCGAATTTTAACCTCAACAATGTCTAACTCTCTATTGATGTTGTCTTATTGATTGTTTTAGTCAACTATAGGCCAACACTATTAAAATTAAAAAGTTTTCCTAAAATCATAGAAGCAAAATGTCTGAGTGAATTTCTTGACATTTTTCGTATGAATAAATAAAAATGAAAACTGCTTTAGTTTTTTACAAAAATTTTAATTTAACCCATACTTTTTTTAAAATTAATTTTAAAACTTTTAAGCAATTATACTATTTATCAGCCATTTGTCGTTTTTTTTATTAAACAAGTACTACAATACTTTTTTTTTTCCC